CATTGGAAAGGTTTCCAGCATTAAACATTTATGTTCAAACATTGCTTGTTTATTAGGCATATGATGTCGGGTAAAATTTGTATTACTCTAGTAATATCGTTTTTATTAATGGCTTAATTACACTCATATACCATGTGACAAAGTAAGGAACCTATTCAGCCTTTTTTTTAATGGTCTGGTTCTTAACAGATGTCTTCCTGCGTGTATAAAATGATTCTAACAAACAATGTTAAGTGTCTGAAAACCAAATTTAAACAAAATCTCAGTTATCTGGGCATTATACAAAATAATACTTTGCTAAATATGTGCGTTGCCTTTGCATTAGCATTTACAAACATCTCTTAATATTTCTATGTCTTTTCCTATAACTTTTTGATAGTTAGGACTATGGTTTTAACACATGATACCATACATCTACCATGAAAGCTCATCCTGACCTTTTGGTTCTGGTTACCTAAAAAGCATCTGCATTTGTATATTGTAATGGAATAATATAAACACAATGTATTCATTAAAACAACTTTATTATCAACATATAAATATAATCAGTTTTCTTAAAACAAGCAATATTATATATTGTGGAATAAATGCAATGCTATTTAATCCAATAAACTTAAAGAGATGATTACTTGGCAAACCAGATACACCATATAATCATGATTGTGTTGTGATGTGCCCCTGGTATACCATATAATCATAATGCTGTTTAACCCATTGCTTCATGAGCATTTTGTGAAAAATGGCTGTTTTCATTGAAAAGTCTCCCGTTACAAGTTCAAATTGCTATAATACTATAAAAACTGCTTCAACACTAATCAAACTTGGCACAAATGTTGACTGGACCATTGCCCTTGCAACAACATGCTCAGGCTTAAATTTTCTGTTACCATGGCAACGAGGGGACATCTCAAAATTGCCAAAAATCACTATTTTGCGTTGATTTTTTCCATCAAAATTGATTTCAAAGTGCTGCAACTTCTCAATGGATTGAGATAGAGTCAAATGCTTTTCAGCGTTGGTTACACGTTACCTTATGATCAATCTGGGGTCATTTACAGCCTCTCACAAGTCCAAAATTTTCTTGGCGATGACGGGGACTCCGCCCCCCTTCAAACCCCCCCAAACAGAAGGGGGCACATCCCCCTTCTGGCAACCCCCTGATGTATCTTTTGGTTGGGGGGCCGCGCCGAAAAAGAGGTCACTTTTTTTAACAACATTTCTCAAACAAAAACAAGTGTTTGGGGCCTAAATAAGGCATTTTTTCATCATTTGAGACAACAAAAAGGGGGGGGGGGGGTGAAAAAGGCGTTAAAAGGCGTGTATATGAAGTAATGGGTTAACAGAAAATGATGAAAATACTTGAAATTACCCTTAATCGCGTTTTTTCATGTTTAAACATGGTCTGTCATATAAATTTGAAGAAAAATTGTTGTTTTGTAGATTTTTTTATTTTATTCATTAACCCATTGCTTCATGAGCATTTTGTGAAAAATGGCTGTTTTCATTGAAAAGTCTCCCGTTACAAGTTCAAATTGCTATAATACTATAAAAACTGCTTCAACACTAATCAAACTTGGCACAAATGTTGACTGGACCATTGCCCTTGCAACAACATGCTCAGGCTTAAATTTTCTGTTACCATGGCAACGAGGGGACATCTCAAAATTGCCAAAAATCACTATTTTGCGTTGATTTTTTCCATCAAAATTGATTTCAAAGTGCTGCAACTTCTCAATGGATTGAGATAGAGTCAAATGCTTTTCAGCGTTGGTTACACGTTACCTTATGATCAATCTGGGGTCATTTACAGCCTCTCACAAGTCCAAAATTTTCTTGGCGATGACGGGGACTCCGCCCCCCTTCAAACCCCCCCAAACAGAAGGGGGCACATCCCCCTTCTGGCAACCCCCTGATGTATCTTTTGGTTGGGGGGCCGCGCCGAAAAAGAGGTCACTTTTTTTAACAACATTTCTCAAACAAAAACAAGTGTTTGGGGCCTAAATAAGGCATTTTTTCATCATTTGAGACAACAAAAAGGGGGGGGGGTGAAAAAGGCGTTAAAAGGCGTGTATATGAAGTAATGGGTTAACAGAAAATGATGAAAATACTTGAAATTACCCTTAATCGCGTTTTTTCATGTTTAAACATGGTCTGTCATATAAATTTGAAGAAAAATTGATGTTTTGTAGATTTTTTTATTTTTTTCATTAACCCATTGCTTCATGAGCATTTTGTGAAAAATGGCTGTTTTCATTGAAAAGTCTCCCGTTACAAGTTCAAATTGCTATAATACTATAAAAACTGCTTCAACACTAATGAAACTTGGCACAAATGTTGACTGGACCATTGCCCTTGCAACAACATGCTCAGGCTTAAATTTTCTGTTACCATGGCAACGAGGGGACATCTCAAAATTGCCAAAAATCACTATTTTGCGTTGATTTTTTCCATCAAAATTGATTTCAAAGTGCTGCAACTTCTCAATGGATTGAGATAGAGTCAAATGCTTTTCAGCGTTGGTTACACGTTACCTTATGATCAATCTGGGGTCATTTACAGCCTCTCACAAGTTCAAAATTTTCTTGGCGATGAGGGGGACTCCGCCCCCCTTCAAACCCCCCCAAACAGAAGGGGGCACATCCCCCTTCTGGCAACCCCCTGATGTATCTTTTTGGTTGGGGGCCGCGCCGAAAAAGAGGTCACTTTTTTTAACAACATTTCTCAAACAAAAACAAGTGTTTGGGGCCTAAATAAGGCATTTTTTCATCATTTGAGACAACAAAAAGGGGGGGGGGTGAAAAAGGCGTTAAAAGGCGTGTATATGAAGTAATGGGTTAACAGAAAATGATGAAAATACTTGAAATTACCCTTAATCGCGTTTTTTCATGTTTAAACATGGTCTGTCATATAAATTTGAAGAAAAATTGTTGTTTTGTAGATTTTTTTATTTTATTCATTAACCCATTGCTTCATGAGCATTTTGTGAAAAATGGCTGTTTTCATTGAAAAGTCTCCCGTTACAAGTTCAAATTGCTATAATACTATAAAAACTGCTTCAACACTAATCAAACTTGGCACAAATGTTGACTGGACCATTGCCCTTGCAACAACATGCTCAGGCTTAAATTTTCTGTTACCATGGCAACGAGGGGACATCTCAAAATTGCCAAAAATCACTATTTTGCGTTGATTTTTTCCATCAAAATTGATTTCAAAGTGCTGCAACTTCTCAATGGATTGAGATAGAGTCAAATGCTTTTCAGCGTTGGTTACACGTTACCTTATGATCAATCTGGGGTCATTTACAGCCTCTCACAAGTCCAAATTTTCTTGGCGATGACGGGGACTCCGCCCCCCTTCAAACCCCCCCAAACAGAAGGGGGCACATCCCCCTTCTGGCAACCCCCTGATGTATCTTTTGGTTGGGGGGCCGCGCCGAAAAAGAGGTCACTTTTTTTAACAACATTTCTCAAACAAAAACAAGTGTTTGGGGCCTAAATAAGGCATTTTTTCATCATTTGAGACAACAAAAAGGGGGGGGGGGGGAAAAAGGCGTTAAAAGGCGTGTATATGAAGTAATGGGTTAAGAGTCTTTGATGCACCAGATATGCCATATAAAAACTTGGTTATATACACTGTTATTGATGGTTTATACAAGACATACCATATGTAGAGAATAACATGCTACTGTCTTTTGATATCAATTTTATCAGGCGAGGCTGATATGGGCTAGAAAGGGCGAGGCTTGCCGAGCCCTTTCTAGCCCATATCAGCCTCGCCTGATAAAATTGATATCAAAAGACAGTAGCATGTTTTTCTATTTGTCATGTTACACATAATAACTGTCAAAATAAAAAATAATCTACTTTTAATTAGCGAATTTCGTAAAAAGGGGGATTTTTGTTCAAAGAAATAATTCTTGAAAACAAATTCCTCCGCCCCTGAAACTTAGAATTTGTTATTGGCGGCCATTTTTTCTTTCGACTCGGATAAAAGATACAACAGAATGTAGGCCTAATACGATAAAATTCTTACCTTTTATTTAAACATCGATCCAAAAATCCACTTAGAATCACATAAACTAAACTTTACTGCAATTTTTGTCTTGAATTGTCAAATTCAAAAGTTCACGATAATTTCAATCAAAGAAAAGTCAAATCGGCAATCAAACACAAGCTATACAAACATGCGTCTTATTTTTTTAAACGAAACAATTTGTTCACTTATTAAATAATAATCCGGCGAAATAAAGTAAACATTTACAAGTTCTGAAAGAAAATCGTCTAGCCTGTTTGTTATGGTTACATGTATAGTATGACGTGAACATGGATGATGTCATTTGCAATATAAATTATGACGTCACTTCATTTAGTTGGTGCAAAAACTATTCGCTATCTAATTTATTCGTAATTGAAATCGAAATAATAAATATCGCACCTTGATTCAAGACTTGTAAGGGAATGAGATTACATTTCTACATGCTGATGAAAATGAGAAAAAAAGTCCGTTAAAATGGGCGGGGCTTATTTTTGATATCAGGTTACTGACCTGATATCAAAAATAATTATCAGGCAAGTGTTATCGGGCAGTTACCATAGCAGTTGCATGATAAAATAATCAGTGTTGCAATGAAATACTGATACTGATACAGTTTTTAGCTGAAACACTAACTTTTTAGCTTATATATGATAAAAGCTAATTTGAACCCCTACAGAGTTTGGTTCAAGGAATTTGTGTCAAATGAGGAAACATGGTTTTGACACAAGTAGCTTTAAATAAACCAAATATATCATATAATTATCAAAATTTTGTAATGACACCTCAGTAGATATACCATACATGTATATATCATCACAACATTTGCGGGATTACATATAAACTTTATGTTTTCACTCATAAAACTTATTTCAATATAAAGAAGTGATAAATATGAAATTGACTCAAAGGTCATGGACACCCGTAGCATAATTAAGTACAATAAATATAATCTTGGTATTTAAAAATATATATATATATTTATATATAAATCTTAATACATAAAAAACGGAATTAAGATATGTCATAAAATAAATCTATAATAAGCTACATGAATGCAAATAACCTTATCTTAAAGCAGCATGCCTCCAAATTCATGTTAATTTTCATGAAAATTTTGAAAATGTATTTAAAAGTAAAATATTGTGAATTGAACAAAGACAGTAATTTACATATTTCAAATGGCACTTGCAATCCTCATAAAAAACAAAATGAGGTAAAAGAATGTAAAAAATAGCCCTTCTTGTGTTAGTCACAATTAAATCACACATAACATGCACATTTTTACTTGAATCTTGAATCCTTTTTACTTTTCTTAAAATTTTTGTACATTTTTCTCAAGTTTGATTTTCTTCAAATATTCTGGATTATCTGGAGGCATGCAGCTTTAAAGGCTGAAGACATAACATAGAACATATTATATAAAATAAAAGTAAATTTTCCTGCATTAGTGCAACAAAATCAAAATTGTTGCAAAATACATGTATTTTAATTCTGAAATAAAATTTACTTCAGTTTCCAAAACAAAAACAAGTAACAAAACTTTTGAACTGAAGTTAGCAATGAAATACTTCAATATCAGGTAATTTATTAATTGCTCACAATTTTGATATAAAACATTGAAAGACTGAAGCTATGGATTTACTTTGCATTATTATACAAGTTGATCATTAATTTGATTAAATGTAAATCAATTTTTCCTCATCAAGGCATATACGCTCATGCATATGTACAATCGATTCTAAGTATGACATGCTTTAGAACACAGTACTTTGTGAACTTCCTGTTCAAAAATCAAATATTCCTATGGCACCACCGAATCTGGAATAATCACTTGCATGCTGGGCTGTAACAAACACTTGCATCTGCACAAAAAAAGAGAGAAGACACAAACTTTCATTAATTAATTTTGATATTTCTAATGCCTGTTAATCATAAACGACAACAACATTTAGACAGATGGAATTTCACATATCTAACTTGTTATAATATATCATTTTATCAATAGTCCACTTAAATGGGTCACTGACCTTTTCAAGCCAAGTATTGAAAAAGAGTAAATAGAATCTCCTTTCCGGAAGTCATAGAAACAACTACAAATGTACATTGTACACAGTTATTTGTGTGCATTCTGTGAAGCATCTATAATAAAGGACACCTCAGTTAAAAGCCTCATCCAAAAGACTTAATAATTTTAGGGATGAAGCTCTCAACATGTGGATACGTACATGGTCAGTGTTAGCAGTGGACAATGAGTCGGCTTTAAAATAAATTTTTCGAATCTCAAAAAATATGTACCCAGCAAATTTTTTCCCTTTTAGCCTGTATCAAAATATTACAATTTCAGTAAAATTACCAGTATATCTTTGTGTTGTTCTTAAAACTATATAGCATATGAATTTTGGGTGGAACTTCTATGTTTGGTTTTATTTTCATTCTCTATTAACTACATCTTTATTGAAAAGATTTTCAGATTTTATCCAATGCATTATTACCTTTTTTGTGGAATTCAAGAAAGCAAAGTTTGTCCCAAATCTTGTTTTCCCTTCTAGACCGGGCCATTGAAGTACATAATCAGCCTGACAACATAATAAATATTATAGATGCATCATGAATTGGATAATCAAATGAAATTTACTTATTGTGTGGTATAATGATTCACTGAAGTGAAATACATGTGATATACAAGTATCATAATAGTAAACTAAAATGAAAATACACATAATAGACAGCAATAATACATTGAAAAGAAATACGATAAACATGTTGCATATCATGTATGACACAAAGAAATGAAACAAGATGATGACCCAAAGGGGCACGAGATACATAACTTTTGTAATAGACCACAAGGTGATGCTACATGCAAACATCTAATCGCTAAAGCATTGTGGTTTGTGAGGAGAGGGTTTTTGAAGACTTCATTTTTAAAGTCTATTTTTAGTTCCGACTTATTTATGCGTCACACTGGAACAATTTATATAACTTTTGTATGGGGCCACATTAAGATCATTCCTGTGAAGTTTGGTTAAAATCTAGCAAGTGGTTAATGAGGAGATGTTGTTTAAAGAAATTGTAGACAATGACAACAAACAAAGGAGTGCTTGCCATCATAAAAGCTCTTCACTCGATCTCCTGCCATGGCATTGTAATTCCCCGATTTTTCAAAAATCAAATAGACACAAAGTAAAATAATAAACTTTTAAAAAGTATGTAAATGTACATTACAAAATGTCTTTTTGATCAAAATCCCCTGCTTTTTAATATCTGATAGGCTATAAATATGGCATGTATGTTAAGACAGTCCAAACTTTACCTAGTATTTTTGAAATTATCTTAAGAAGGGAAATAGTTGCTTAAAAAACTTACCTGTACTTTTGGACATGGTTGAATCAATGAATTCCCACAATCTACTTTAAAAGCAAAATGTTCGCCTCCTGTAAAGATGTAGACCTGTCCTTGCTCAGCTGCAACATAAATATTAGATTTTTTAAAAAAGAAAACCTTATAGCTTTTATTTTTATCACTGACAGAATGAAAATATGAGTTTCATCATGTCTCAATACCAGCATATATATAATTTCAACATGTGAGTAAATGCATATGATTATATAATATTGTATCTAAACTGAAAATTCATATGGGGTCAAACACATGTCAAATTTTGTAAATATTTGTGTTATGCACTGTTTTCCCTTTTTTGTATGTTTTACCTTTCTCAAATTAAATTCTATTGCATTGCATTTCTACTGCCACTAATACCTAAAGATGCAATCCTTAATGATAAAAGTTGGGAAGAATTAATTTACATTAACCATAACAGGATACAAACAGAAATTATTTTCTTTTTACACTTCATGAAATATAAAAGGAAAATGCTTTGCAAAGACCTCAATATTGATACTATTACAATTTATTTTCTTTAACAAAAAAAAATGCAAAAATATCATTTTACGGTCAAACAGGCGCTCTGTAAAATCTTCACTCCTGAATGGCGCTCCAATGAACAGATCACTCATTGTATCATTGTTGATATCCCAAAACTAAACAGAAATAACAAATTAAATCAGTAACAAGCAAATTGTAAACTTAATAAATACATACATAATGGAAATTTAGATACAATGGCATTGGAAATTAATTAAATACAGACACTTCAGAAATCATACAAATGCTAATAATGTAAATGCAAACTTTAGCCTGCTTAAAGCAAAATATTCCAACAATGCTACAAGTGCTGATCGACCAGCCAGCAAATCCTTGGAGTCTGATCATGGTCTGCACTGTTCGATATTGAGTCCGTACATATTCTAAATTTTTCTAAAATATGATGAAGTCCATTTAGATATTCAGTATAGTTAAAGTTATTTTAAATTTTGTATGAAAATAACCCTTTGATTCACATTTTAAGTTAAAGCTTTTTCATAAAAGGAGAGATGTTCAATATTTTCATCTAATTTACGTGACATAAAAAAATTTCTGATTATATTAAATAATTTCGAATCTGGGACAGTTCTTGCACAATCCATCAAATCTTTATACATCTGAATTAAATCATACAAAGTAAAATAGTCTTTACCTTAACTTTTTGACCAAATCTTCCAAATGATCTGTCACCTTCTATTACTTGATCACTTAATGGTGTTGAAGGCATTCCTCCTGAAGTTGTGTTAAAAAGTCCAACAACTCCAGCCTGAAGGAACTCAGAATGTCTACCAGAGATAGTTCCGCTGACCTCTTCACCAAGTTGACTTACAGCTATAATCTATAAGTAAAAACAACAGTTTTTTGGTTTAGTCAGGTTTTAAGTTGCACTAACAGTGTAATGGTCATATGGTGACTTTCAGCTTTACTGGTGGAGGGAAAACTCCAGAGGCCCCTATGTGCATTATTTCAGGCATATACATGTAGTTGTTACAAATAGTTGTGATCACTTAAGGGTTCGAACCACAAATCCCTGGGTTGACAGGCAGATAGCTACGCCACCACTCCTTATACTGGTAGTTACTGACTTACCTACATTAAGTATTTCTAAAAGCATTCAATACAAAAATGTAAAAAAAAAAAACACATCATCTTCACCTGTTGATTTTTGTCAGGGTATGGTGACCCAATATCAGCACTCCAACCAGTTTCTGAAAATCTTGACTTTCCAAATGATGTCCAGTTTTGTGTCAGGTTAGTTCCATAAAATGCAGTAATTTGTCCTACACTTTCAATATAATAGTCCGAGTCATATGTGCAATTAGGGCTGAAATAGATATGAGATTATCTTAAAAACAATACATTTCACAATTCTCAACTCACAGTTGTTTGTTTTAGTAGGCATATAAAAACTGTATTTGTTGCTTTATATTGATGAGAAAGTCTTTTGCCATTTCCTCATAAAAATCTTAAAAGTTGTTGCCCAAAGCAGCAAAAATTGAAAATGGTACAGGTATAAAACCCTTCATAAAGTTTATAGCAAAATATTAGTTGAGACAAATAGTTTTATTTAATTGAATTAACCTTTAACCTGTCAGAACAAAAAGAGATTTGCATTTGTCACCAGTATGGATCACGGAGAGCCTGCAGTTCCATGTAGTCTGACAAATCTCATTACTGTTGGCAGACAAGCTTTAAATTTTCCTTGTTTTATCCCTAAAATAAATAATGGAAAGTTCCAAAAATGTAAGCTGAATGAGTCCATTCAGGAAATAAAGGGTTAAAAAACAAACTTGATATCCTGGTAACAATATCTGTATACTGGCTGGGAGACAAACATAACATTTTGCCCATTCCATTTTCCAAATGACATATCATAGCCGAACCAACCATAGCTCTGAAATAGATGTCAGTACAAAAAATCTATCAATTCCTGATGATGTTAGTGATATTTAATCATTATATCTAAAAAAAATTAAAATGTTTATTAATACACATTAAGAAATATACATCAATAAGAGCATTTGTGCATAAATGTGAACAATCAAGTCAGTCCCAAAAAATGAATAGACTAAAGGTGACGGCTTCCTGTTGGTACTAGGGACAAAGGAAGTTACACCCTCAGGTGACCATGATTCAAAACATAAGCATTTCTTACAATGTAAGTTTTATACAACATATCTCTACTTGTTCACGTAAAATGGTGCTGATACATAAATCTATTATGATGTTAAAATTATTCTATTTTTTCTTGTGTTACAGACATCTCATAATACTTTGGGACATATATAAAAGTTTTGTCAACTAGGCACAGGACAGGGTGGAATCTAGCACACCTGATGGTAAAGACAAACTCCATTTCTATCTGTTTTATAAAGCTCCTAATCGAATTCAAACATGATCATCAAGTAGATATAGATGTATATGAAAAAATCTTACTTGGGTTCCATTTATTCTCCATGGCAACTGGGTTACATCTTTATATGTATAACCTATAATAAAACATCAAGGATAAACATGAAGTAAACAGCAAAAAATTGTAACACTGTTTAAGGGAGTTTGGAATTTTCTCTAAAATTAATTCAAGGGCAGTGATAGCTAAGTTGTTAAGGTGTATGCCTGTAGTTAAAGCTGCTGACTTCAAACCACTTGCACCTCACTGCTGAAGGTTCAAATACTGTCAGGGAATTTTCATTCTTTCATATAGGAAGCTATCAAGCTAAGTAATGGAAAGTCGGTGGTTGTACCCATGTGCTTGCTTGTGAAAGAAATAAAGAAAGGAAAACTAAGGATTTCCACCAACAGTAAGTCACTCCATCTGAGATTTAAAGGTATGGAAATTAAAACCTGATAAATCATGATAAACTTGAGTTAGCACTAATGAGATCTTTTTCATGAGACAACCATCTCCTTTTTTAAGGTACACATTGTATCTTGACGAAAATGTAACTTTTTCATTAAATTTATGACCATTTAAAGAAAAATGATATAAGCAAGAGAAATAAGATTAAGACAAAAATTTATCTCATGGACTTAGTTACCAAAATTGGTGACATCAGCAAATAAAGCTGCTACAAATCCACGCTGTTCACCACCAGCCGGAGCAAATGGTGTGCCTATCACAAGGTCAAGATAACCGTCATTATTCACATCTCCAGATGTCATTGAATAACCCAGATTACAATACTTCTCCTAGAATTTAATTATACATGTATTACACGAAAAGTTAAGCAATTTATAACAATGAACAAAAGATTCTTTTCAAAATTTTTGATAAATTACTAAAATGGTATTGTTCAAAGTATATTGAAATTTATTCTAAAATAGAAAAAGAGGATAGTTTTATTTTTAAAGTATATTGAAATATGTTTAAAAATAGAAAAAAAGGACAGTTTTATTTTAAGTATACAATGAAGATATCTCAAAAATTGGATTAAGAAATAAATTACTTTGAAGTTAGATGTGTTCCATTTATCACTAAAAATTTTTTTCATTTTCTCTCTTTATTTACCAAACTATGCTACAGTTTTTACAATCAAACTTTGTAGAAATCACCAATATGGTTGCCAATTATGCTTATTTCTTTACACAGAATTTATTTTGAGTTTAATTATGTCAGAGGCTATAAGCCTAAACTCACACACTTTAATCCATTCCTGTAAAAAAAACAGTACTCAGCAATGAATGTGAAGCTTCTTGCTTAAAGAAACAACTGCATATCTCTGATGGGGTTTGAAACCACACTGCTGGCAATCTTAAGATTACTAATCCCATTAATTGAATCCTTTAACCACATGGCCACACCCAAATGTCAAATATGCTTTTATACATACATGTATGATGTATTCTTTATATGTTATGCAGTCTAGTGCATTGTTATGTAATCTTGTTTAGTGTTTTTATTGATGGTATATGTATATTACAAGAGCGATCAGTAATCACATGTGTCGCCTCATAATGGCCAATTTCATGTTGGGACAAATTTTGTGACAGACGGACAGACAGACGGACAGTGCACAACTAAACTTGGTACTGATCAATCATGTAAAGTTTGGATAAAATTGCACCAGTAGCTTATGAGGAGTAGTCTGGACAAGCTTTTGCGTATCTGGCAACACACAGAAAAAAACACCTTTTTATCAAAGGGCCATAACTCAGCCAAAAATCATTCAACCGGAAAACCCGTGCAATATGCGCAAGGACTTGAGCTTCAGATCAATCCTGTAAAGTTTCATTGAAATTGCATAAGTGGTATAAGAGAACTAGTCCGGACAAGCTTTAAAAATAAAAAATTACTAAAGGGCCATAACTCTGACAAAAATCATTGAACCGGAAAATGCTGACAATATGCACAACTAGACTTGGTACTGATCATTCCTGTAAAGTTTGGATGAAATTGCACCAGTAGTTTATGAGGAGTAGTCCGGACAAGCTATTGTGTATCTGGCAACACACAGAAAAAAACACCTTTTTATCAAAGGGCCATAACTCGGCCAAAAATCATTCAACCGGAAAACCCTTGCAATATGCGCAAGGACTTGAGCTACAGATCAATCCTGTAAAGTTTCATTGAAATTGCATTAGTGGTATAAGGAAAGTAGTCCGGACAAACTTTAAAATTAAAAATTATTAAAGGGCCATAACTCTGACAAAAATCATTGAACCGGAAAATGTTGACAATATGCACAACTAGACTTGATACTGATCATTCCTGTTAAGTGTGGATGAAATTGCACCAGTAGTTTATGAGGGGTAGTCCGGACAAGTTTTGTGACGGACGGACGGACAGACGGACAGACAGACAGACGGACAGACGGACAGACGGACAGACAGACGACGGAGAAGTGATCCCTATATGTCGCCACTACTCCGTAGAGGCGACACAAAAATACCTTTTGACAAACGATTGTTATATTGGCTGCACCATTGGCAACAATTTTCTTCTTTGGAATCCCGAAGTAAATTAGAACATAGCCCTGTAACAAAAGTAAATTCTTGACATGACCTTGGTGTTTGTTCAATATATGTATCAATTTACTTATATCATTTACATTCCATATCAATATAAATATAGGCCCTTTGTAGAATCTGTTATATTTTTTCTATAACATGGTCTACATGACCAAATGCCTGTTAGCATGTTGATTTAAAACTGGCTGTGTTTTATCTATGGAGGTACAAGTTCTGATTTTGATTTGATGACACCATGGGGAGTATCTCCAGTATTCCATGTTCTTCATAGAATTCTATGTTATTATCACACTACAGACACACAAACAATTACTATCTAATATGTATATTCACACACAAACAAACCAGGGATATAAACACACACACATATACCAGTATAAGAATTTTAAGCTGTCTGATAAAAGAGTCAAGATTATGGGGTAAATTCTAGCACAGAAAATCTTTAATTTTATTTAACATTACTCAATATGTTTCAGTAACTAGCATAGAAAAATTACTTAATAATATAATTATATAAACTATGATTTTAGTTTCTCTTACATTATAGTTAATTGGACTTTCGAACATATCAACATACGCTGGAGCACCTACTGCTATGTCGTCTGCTCCATCTAAGTTGATATCCATAACAGCAATAGACTTTCCAAACCTTGACTGTGCCTTTCAAATATAATTTTATTAGATTTTATTTTAAATTAGACTGTACCTTCAGATAAAACTGTATTAAAGTTAGACTGCAATCAGTGGCTGGATGTTTTTTATCAAAGTGTCAAACAAACCATTTAGATTAAATAAAGCTTTACTATTTGCTGTATATCAAAGATATTTTTCTTTGATCAACTTATTTACATATCAATTTTCAATCGCTGTAATACCTTTAACGTTAAAAGTAATTATCAATTAATTGTTAAAAAAGGTCACTATATAAAATGTTAAAACTATAAACTTACAGTTCCCCATCCTTTCAGAATTTGACCTTGACCTGTTGCTTCAAGGCTGTCAAGGTCAGGGTTCAAGGTCTTTGGAATACCATCGTCATCACCTAAAATTTTAATTATATCTTTGTTGAACCTGAGTTTAATCAAAATGTAAGGAAGATTTCACATTTTTTGTTCAAGAAGCTAGTAAATTCTTCATTAATTTTCTTATCAACATATGAGTGATAACATGGTATAATTTATGAAGTTTAATATTTTGACCTTCACACAATAGTAAATGGATTTCACAAACTCTCTCTTGTTGCTATACCCTACAGAATATGAACAATGAAGTTGTCCAGTTTTGAAGTTTGAACTGTCCACTAATAGTCTCATGGACTTAAATATCAAATCATTTGATTTGAAATGATCAAAACTGAAGGATATCTGTAGATAACAGTTATGAAGTCAAAAGTAGGGAGTCTTAACTAACTGCATGGACATTATAAAATGCCAAATGTTGAGGGATAAACCCAAGAGCATCTTTTTTCAGATCTGACAAACACTCAACAAGCATGTTCTCACTGAGGCCCGCATGGAAGATCGGGAAACTGAATGTGTTAGCCTCATAAAATAAAGTCGTTACTTACTTACTTACTTACTTATGCCATTTGTATTGTCTTTATATACATTTTATTACAACAAATTATCAGGGCCATTGTCTATTTATAAGGAAAAACATTTCCTTTGCTTTTGATCCGATTCTCTTTATGCATTTAACCAAGACTTTGTTTGAATACATCTTTAGATAATCAATTTGCATCATACCACCCATCAGAAAAGCAAAATCATGAAATATTACTTATTTTCCACCCAACTGGCCTCTGTTCATCTGACTCCACACATTTATGTAAAACTTACCATAAATAATATAGACTCGTCCCTCTTGTGGACTGCCAACTGTACCGTACCCAGGAGCTGTAACTACCAGATCTGGTTTACCATCAAAATTGAGGTCGCCAGTAGCATAAGCCCTGTAACACAGACAATATAAGAATGGCAAAGCTGCTCGTTTTTCTGACTTTTTTCTTCGGCTTATGGTATTTCTGACCTAAGGGTTGTAATTTTTACTTGACACAGATGTAAGCACCCTATTATCACACCTGTTAATATGCAGCAAGTAGGACACCTTGATACAAGAAGAACTTACTATAATTATAAATGTTAGTTTTAAACCAGATTACCAAGATATGTTATACTTTTTGTCTCTTTTTATAGACATAATTTTCTATAATACATCTGTGCAGCAACCGATTGCAGGATATAAAACAGACTTACCAAGCAAACAACTGTTCAGCAACCAAATGATCATTTTTTATAATCTAAGTCAATATTTACAAAATAAAATGGTGAAATGGTTTAAATTACAGCATGATAAATAATGTCAACACTTTACTTAAATTTTCTTTCATCAGACAAGACATGTATTAATCATCTTATTCCCTATGAATGTAAAAGTCTGTGGTGTAATTCTATCTTTTGATAACGTTTTATTTCAAAAATGCCCAAACTGTGGAATAGTAACTTTAAGGGTTAACAAGAGCTGTCGGTAGGACAGCAACGCTCGACTATTCTTAGTGCTTGATAGTAAAAAAAATGCTTGATAGAGTTACCTCCTCCTGTTTACAGGCTGGGGTCATGATGGTGAACAAGTGTGCAAAGTTTCAAAGCCATATGTCAATGGACTTTGAAAATATTTGAACTATTACAAAAACTTTAACGTAAATTCTAAGTCGAAAAAGGGGCATAATTCTGTAAAAATGCTTGATAGAGTTACCTCCTCCTGTTTACAGGTTGGGGTCATGATGGTGAACAAGTGTGCAAAGTTTCAAAGCCATATGTCAATGGACTTTGAAAATATTTTAACTATTACAAAAACTTTAACGTAAATTCTAAGTCGAAAAAGGGGCATAATTCTGTCAAAATGCTTGATAGAGTTACCTCCTCCTGTTTACAGGTTGGGGTCATGATGGTGAACAAGTGTGCAAAGTTTCAAAGCCATATGTCAATGGACTTTGAAAATATTTGAACTATTACAAAAACTTTAACGTAAATTCTAAATTGAAAAAGGGGCATAATTCTGTCAAAATGCTTGATAGAGTTACATCCTCCTGTTTACAGGTTGGGGTCATGATGTTGAACAAGTGTGCAAAGTTTCAAAGCCATATGTCAATGGACTTTGAAAATATTTGAACTATTACAAAAACTTTAACGTAAATTCTAAGTCGAAAAAGGGGCATAATTCTGTCAAAATGCTTGATAGAGTTACCTCCTCCTGTCTACAGGTTGGGGTCATGATGGTGAACAATTGTGCAAAGTTTCAAAGCCATATGTCTATGGACTTTGAAAATATTTGAACTATTACAAAAACTTTAACATAAGTGGTTACGCCGACGCCGACGCTCGGGTGACTGCAATAGCTCTACTTATTCTTATCGAATAGTCGAGCTAAAAATGACAAGAATATTAGCTAGGATGCCTACTCTCCAAGTCTGGCATAATCATTCTTCACAAACATCACCCTATCTGGAAATCTTGACTCCCCTTCTAACTTTTCTTTTTTCCTCTCAAATTTCAATGTGGTAGATTTCTCCATTTTCTTCTGTAATTTCATCTATAAGTAAAATCAGATATGTTCATAAACAGATGATATATAATCAATTCATAAAACAAAATAAACATTTAACAATGATAATAATAAAATTTATTATTATTAGAACTAGGAATGGTAAATTGTGAATAAAAACATATGAAAAGAAATGAAATGGAGGGTACAGAATAATGAAAAAACAAATAAAAACAAACAACAACAAAATACAAAAACAAGATAAATTATTGTCTTATGGTAAACATTACAAAAATATAATTCTTCAAATAGATGTATGTAATTTTTCAATAAGATACATGCAATTTTTACAGATACATACTTGAAGTTTTTCACAAAGAGACTTGAAATATCACAATATGATTATTAAAAGTCCCAGAATTTAGCCCACAGAAGAAAATTAAATGTGAATGTTTGAGCGAAAAAAGGCTATAACTGCAGAATGTAATATTCATATTAACTTTTTTCTTCCTACCTTGTAGGATTTTGATGGCTTAATCCGGATTCCTCTAAGTATTTTCTCTATTACAATATCATCATGAGATATACCATTCCGCGGAAATTTTCTAAAATATCCATTTTTCCCCGGGTCACGATACCCCTTCATCTTCCTTGAAGGAACTGTTCCATTACAATGCAGAAAAAGTGTGCTTTTAGGTATGTCACAGTCCCTGAAATAAAAAAAAATCTAATATATATCTGTTGAATATAAAGTTAAAGTATCAAAACGTTTATGTATATGATAAAAGATTAATTGTATAAATCATCATGATTCAACACATAATTTTAGCTCACACAGATTTTGTAAGGCCAGATTATCTTGCTGTGTCTAGTGTTATCTTAGCCAAGCAAAAATTCACTCTAGCAGAACACAGGTCCAAGATCATAATACAAAATTGTACAATAGATTTTAGGTTTATCAAGTTATGACATTGCTGCATTTATTAAACTTTCTAAGTCTAAATATACTTTTAACATGTGTAGCATAAAATTTAATTCCATTTCACCTTGAGACATTGTCAATGTTTTTTTACTATGTCTGAAATACTTTATTCCCTGACCTAAAGTATGATATTTAGCTATTTAAAAGTTATTATATTGAGATCTTTTTGGATTTGAAACTCTCAATTTGAAGAAAAAAGACTTAAATAAGCATTAATTTGCTTCCAGTCTAATCATTTTTTGTATTGATTGAAAATGTCATGTATGTAAATATGTTCTTATGTGACAAATAAAATATGTTTAAACCAAACATACTTTATCTATCGAGCTACCCATGCAAACTCCCTAAGATTCAAGTGGGGGCTCTTACCCTGTACCCTTTTCAACCATGGTGATAGTCTCCTGCCAGATCCTGTGTGTCCAGCCAGCCATATCATCCACTCCTCCAATAAAGTACTGTTCAAACTGATCAACCAGGAAAGGGCTCTTTTCAGCATACTCAGGAAATAACTGTTAAATTATAAAAAAAATATTATTCAACACATGCTATTCTTTTAAAACACAAAATATTTAATAAACTTTAGTAATCAATTCAGGCTTTATATTGCTGTAACAGCTCAAAAAAGAAAAAAATCAACTTTAAAGATCTATTTTTTTTTTTTTTACTTGGGCAACATTACCTCTTTGGCTGCTATTTGTTCTGCAAGTCTGTAAAAAGAAAGTAGATAAAATTAACTTTTTAACTTTTCTTCTTTTTTAAGTTTCTTTAAATAGTTTACAATAGACATTAAAATTTAAAAGAATTTTGTGTAAACACTGGTACTTGTATTTATCATAAAATTCAAATCTGTTCATTATAGCATAAGTTTGTACTGGAGTAATATTTAAATATGATTTTATTACTTACATGAATTGTCATACTTTTTAAGTAATAATGATCATATAAATTAAACTTATGTTTTTTTTTCCTTCACAAAACTAAATACTGCATAAAATTTACGTATTTCAAATAAAAACTACATAAAAATTACACAGATTTACTTGTATGTAAATCTTTTATCATAAATTTCTCATTATGTTGGCATCATAAAGCATAAAAATACTTATGTAAAACAAAAAAATAATCATCATTAATTTTGGTTTTTGAGGATTAAATGCCTAAATTTTTACCTATTTTTAGTATCATTTCTTTCAATTTATCAGCTTCATCATTATCTAGCTTTTAACTTGGAACATTCAAAGATTGAGAGAGTTCAATATAAAAATAAAAGTCAAGGCTAAGTGCCTTCAGTTAGTTCCACAATGTTACGGTAGTACTATATTATAAAAGAAAACTGTTAACTACCTATATTGTTTTGGCAATATTAATCTGAGACATTAAAATATTAAAGAAAGGAAAGCAGGGAATCTGTTTGTTCTAATCAACAAGCATTCTATTTACAATACATTGAGACAAACATAATGTTACAAAATCTAAGGCTTATCAGAGGATAATAGATTAATGTTATTACACACATAGATTAAAATAAGATATTGGAAGGTGACGCAAATGTGTTTTAAAAATTCACAAATCTTACTTCACAAAGATGAAATCAATAACAAATTCAATCAACTAAATTTATAAATATAACTTAATCAAAGCTATTTATATCTATTTTTAATCTGTAAAAGTTGCATCACCAAAGAAGAGTTTTGACAAGTAAATTGTCCCATATTGGGTATAAAAGTACAGAAGTGTACAAAAATATTGAGTACAGAAGTGCACATATTTTTCCTCTCACAAGCATATTGTTTGAAAAGCTATAGCATGTTTGTACATTATATTTAAATATGGTAAATAAAAAGGTAAATAAATACCTAATTTTTATAAAAAGTATATAATTGTAGTTGATACTTATGTAGTGTAATCAACCAAATGGCTGAGTAATAATGGATAAATTGCTTGTATAAATAATTGACTTCATATGGAAATTGTAGTCTTCAAGACCTTCAATGATTTTGAATGACACTTTAATATTTTCAACACTTAAAATGCTTGATGGCAAGCAGAAAAATAGGAGTGTAACGTGTGAAGCAATTATTTGGGACAAATCACTGAATTTTGCTATCACTTCATCCCGTGTACTGAAATATTTACTCTAGAAAATAAGGGATTAGGGTTTACAAATTTTTAAGGGTTAAATGTCTTGAAAGGTGAAGTATAAAAATTACCATACCATACAACTGAATCGATTGAATATCTCAATTTCTCGTAACATTGGCAAAATGCTAAGCAAAGCCTCAAAATTCATCATTTTATTTCACTTGTTTGATATATAAATTTTGAATTTGATACAAGAAAATATCCAAATTTTTCTAAGTTTAAAATGCAGTGCAAGGGCAGGTGCAAACTGCGGTGGGATATTTTTGTTAAATTTGTTACAATAAATATGGTCTTGAATGGTTAAATTTTCAAGGGACGAGTATAATTTTCGATGGAAAGCTTGTGAGTGTCATGACAAAAAATGGCATTTTTTAAAAAAATTACCGTCTAAGGAATAAAGTCAGTGTGCATTCTTGTATGATATTTTTAGGAATCTTTTCGTTTCCATAGTAACTGATGTATATATTATATAAGTCATCCAGTGGAAAATACCTGTAGTATGTCAAGAACATGTTAGTCTTGTTAATATGGTTATAAAAACTTGTAAAGATTTCTGACCCATTTTATGGTTCAGTATAAATGGTTGAAAGCTTATTATATATATACCTGAGCCACAAACGTATGGGTTATATGGCTAACTACCATCTATACATGGTTATATTGTTTATATATAATATTATGACCAATCAAAAGCCTTTATAATGAGCTTTTATAATGAACTGATAATACTGCACAATTGGTTTCTATGATCAAAATAGGAATTTAACTTAAAAATATGTGCCAGTCATGTCCATATTTCATATAAATGTTATGACTGTCCATCGTAAATCAACTGAAAGGTTATATGGCCTATATAAATGGTTCTTTGGAAATATAACATCCATTTATATACAGGCAAATAACCTGTCAGATATATTTATAACAAATTTATAATACAGCAAGCATCTTTGTTTACAGAAAAAAAGTGAGATTTCTCCAAAAATTAACAGCAGCTGTACAGCATACATAAATTTGTATAAACATCAAGATTATCCAATGAAAAGCGACGTTACAAACATGCAGTATTATAAGTTAGAATCTAATTAGACCATCCCCATGTTGGCAACATGCTACAATTCAGAAGGAATACTTTCACAAAAACATGCATTGACAACATAGTAAACCAATAAGTCAAACCAAATATCTTTTATAAAAAAATAACTTGCTTTTTAAACAAACAAAAAAACTTTGTAGAGGGGATTCAATGAAAAGTGATTTACATAGATAAAAATGAATTATTAAAGGTATTAACATTTCAATATTTGGTGCCATTTTTTTCAAGAACAGGAGAATATGCTACTTGTGGTTATGGCATGAAACTCAACCTTTATATTTGTGTGTAAAATATTCTTCCATATAGTTCATGTTGTAGCTGAGAGAATACAAACCTGACACAAACTTTGAAACAAGAAGATATTTTTTTTTACTGGCTTTCATTTATTGGTTTACTACATTTGCCATAATATAGATAAAATGTTACACTAAAATTTCAATAAATATGTTATGAAAAGAAATATATGTTTTCAAAAATGTTTCAACATTTGCTTTGAATGATAAATGCCAACAATAAGTTAAATTATATAAACAAGAGGGCCATGATGGCCCTGAGGTCGCTCACCTGTATATAGGCCCCCGGAGCGGGGCCAGTTTAAACCCCAGGGCTTTTATTTGAACAAACTTGGAAGACACTCATTAGAAGATGTTTCACAATGTTAAGTTTTTACTACACACATGTAATGAAAAACAATGATCTAACCTGCCGCCCCTCCCCCCCCCCTCCCCGGCAGGGCCAATTTTCACCCGAGGGCTTTTATTTGAACAAACTTGGTAGATATCCATAAGAAGATATTTCATGCTAAACATCTAAGCTCTAGCTCATTGGGTTTTTTAAAAGAAGATTTTTAAGTTTTTACTACACACATATAGTTAAAAACAATGACACCCCTGGGGCAGGGCCAGTTTTGACCCCAGGCCTTTTATTTGAACAAACTTTGTAGACATTTACTAGAAGATGTTTCATGCTTAATATCTAAACTCTAGCTATTTGGGTTTTTTCAAAGAAGATTTTTTAAGTTTTTACTATATGCATATAGGGAAAATCAATTACCCCCCGGGGCGGGGCCAATTTTGACCCCAGGGCTTTTATTTGAACAAACTTTGTAGACACTCACTAGAAGATGTTTCATGCTTAATATCTAAACTCTAGCTATTTGGGTTTTTTCAAAGAAGATTATTTAAGTTTTTGCTATACACATATAAGGAAAATCAATGACCCCCGGGGCGGGGCCAATTTTGACCCCAGGGCTTTTATTTGAACAAACTTGGTAGACACCCATTAGAAGATGTTTCACGCTGAAAATCTTAGCTCTAGCTCTTTGAGTTCTTTCAAAGAAGATTTTTTAAGTTTTTAATATATGCATATAGGGAAAATCAATGACCCCCTGGGGCGGGGCCAATTTTGACCCCAGGGCTTTTATTTGAACACACTTGGTACACACTCATAAGAAGATGTTTCATGCTGAATATCTTAGCGCTAGCTCTTTGGGTTCTTTAAAAGAAGAATTTTTAAGTTTTTACTATATGCATAAAGGGAAAATCAATGACCCCTTGGGCGGGGCCAATTTTGACCCCAGGGATTTTATTTGAACAAATTTGGTAGACACTCACTAGAAGATGTTTCATGCCAAATATCTTAGCTCTAGCTCTTAGGGTTTTTTAAAAGAAGATATTTAAAGTTTTTTCTTTCGATTGCCATGGCAACCAGAGTTCTGCATGGAATTAAATTCTTTGAACAAATTTTAAAGGTGACCACCAAAGAAACATTCAAGTTTGGATGAAATTGGCTTAGCGGTTTATGAGGAGATGTCATTTAAAGTAAAAGTTTACGGACGGACGGACGGACGACGGACGAAAAGCGATCACAAAAGCTCACCCTGTCACTTTGTGACAGGTGAGCTAAAAAGAAGATAAATTTCCCGTAGACATTTTTATTGAAATTTTAGTGTAACTAGAAGATCTACTTTCTATTTAACAGTCCCCACACATATAAAAATACCTCTCAAAGAAAAGTTCACCAGAACAACCAATAATCACTTCTTTAGGGATTTTTGTTTTGGTTCCATTAAAAAAGTTGTAAATATTATACAAGTCGTCAATAGGAACATACCTTTAAAATAAACAAAACTTCAACAAGTTATCTGTCACCAAATATAGATTTAATTCAATACTACAGTGGCATAAAAGGGCCATCAGAAATATTTTATCTACCATGTGTGCACGCGATAGCTACCAGTACAAGTTATCATGTGTGCACATAATAGCTATCACATGAGCAGATAATGATTGACCAACATAGTGGCTATTGTTTGCAGACGTAGTAGCTATCCTGTGTGCACACAGTAGCTAGAGATAAAATATTTCTGATGTTCTCCTCTATGCCACCAGACAATACAGATAATGTTCCTATTAATAATATCAAAACCCAAATCAAGGACACGTTCAGATAGGTAATCAATTAGAACAAAAAATTTACTTTTAAACAGTGCAAACTTTACTCTGCTACAATGCTAAATATCTTAAATGGACTTTCATGGTCCACCTTTCACTCCTGACAAAACCATCTAGCATCATTTTTAGGTAAAATTTCAAAATATCTACTGACTGAATAGCAAACTGTGCTGACTATGATAATACAGCACAAATATATGCCAGCTGATCTTGGTCTATGCTGGCTGCATAACAGCATTGGTAAATTAAGTCCCCACCAGCTGGCTAAGGGTTTGAGGCAAATTAAGTGACATTAAATCAAGAGTTTAAACAATTGACAGTGCATACAGTCATTGAAGCCTTTTTTAAATGTTTGCAAAAACTTTGAAACATGCTGGTATAAACAAACAGAGGTTCATAATTATACAAATTTGCTTTTGACTTCCTTGCCATGCTTGTGAAGGAAGACCCAAAATGCACCTTCATGTAATATTTGGCCACAAGAAAGAGAACATCAACCCCTTGGAAAGGAGCTGTACATATCCAGTACAGAAAAGAAAAAGATGATCATAAATTGCAATAAAAATCATTTAAAGGCAAAGGTAATGGAAATGTAACAAGCCTCATTTGATGCAACAAACATTCATTCAAGTAAATGCAATAAAATATTCTGTCCTAAACCTAATGTTATCTTAATAGTATGGGAACTTCATTGGTTTTGTATTCTTACAAAAAGGATTCATAAAATTAAATGGTTTGAGGAAAACAACTAATGTTGATATATACCATAATAGAAAGATTTGTTTTCTATTGAAAAGATAAAAATGCACCCTATACACTTTATGAATAGGCAGTAAGATTCAAATATATAAATCTCTATCATTTTGCCTTTACTGCAAAAACTGCATTTTTACCCCTCTGTAATGAACCTTGTTAGATCACATGATTGCCAATGTTAGATCACATAATTGTCAATATTAGATCACATGATTGCCAATATAAGATCACATGATTGCCAATGTTAGATCACATAATTGCCAATATTAAATCACATAATTGCCAATACTTGATCACATGATTGCCAAATTGCTCCATAAACTTTTATCAATTATTCACAGACAGAACATCAAACATATAAAACAGCTCTATGTTTCAGGCAGCTCAATTTAGGTGCAAAATGACATGTATTCATTTTTTCTCTTTATGGGACATACTACTAATGACAAAAAACTTCAAAATTATTAACAATCAAATGACCATATGCACACTTTATTTGAATTGCCCCAAGGCTATAAAACCTTTTTCTAAGATCAAGCTCGAATCTCAGGATTTTCAATGGTCAATTCACATTTTGTGTCTGTTTCTAACCAATCAAATACCCGATATCTGAGTTTGAGATTAGAAAGCCATATCCTGACAAATTCAAACAATTCTCACTGCATTTTTTTATGCTAACAATGAAGATGAGAGAAACTGGTTAGACAGGTTAAAAAGTCTGCCTCTCAATCTAGGGACCAGGGATGGAGCTCTACTGGTGTCATGACCATGTCTCCTCATGTGACACTACCAGACCAGGGTTGAAGGTTATAAAAAAATTCTCTAAGCTCAAACTCAGATCTCAGGTATCTGATTGGTCAAAAAATGCCAGAGTGTACACTGACCAATGGAAATCATGAGATTTGAGACAGAACTCAGAAAAAAGTTTTATAACCTTGAGGCCTGCATTCATATTTGAACTTCATCCTTCTGTTTGCAAAGAACACTTACCAGCCCTCTTCTAATGGAATATATGTTGTGTTCATTTCATACTCAGTTAGAATGTCTCCACCTTAAATATATAGAATGAACATATAACAAATCAACATTCAATCCAGATTGAATTTATTTTAATGTTATACTTTAAGTAACCTGAATAAAATACAAGAATATAAAATCAAATGACATATTTCACATTTGTGGGCCTTATTTTAACTTTATCAAGGGTCATAACTCTTCAGAAACTAAATTATAAATCTCTTTAAACTCCCTAAGCACTCCATATTATAATACTTCCTGTTTTCATACTCCATGTTTTCATACTCCATGTTACCATACTCCTTGTTATCATACTTGTAATCATACCCCCTGTTATCATAATTTGTGTTATCATATTCCTTTTTATCATACTTCTTGATAGCATATACTTGTTGGTACTATATATCATACTCACTATATATCATACTCCTTGTTATCATACTTTTTGTAATCATACTTTGTGTTATCATACTTTGTGTTATCATACTCCATGTTATCATACTTCTTGTTATCATACTTTTGTGTAATCATACTTTGTGTTATCATACTCACTATATATCATACTCCTTGTTATCATACTTCTTGTTATCATACTTTGTGTAATCATACTTTGTGTTATCATACTCACTATATATCATACTTCTTGTTATATTCTTTGTGTTATCATACTCCTTGATATTATTTTCCGTGTTATAATACTCCTTGTTTTCATGACTAGCCACAACCAGTACACAACCATTATGGATGATCTTCATGTTATCAGACCACACAGCATTAGTATTACAATACTGAAATCCTAAAAATTAGTAATGGAGTAACCGAGATGTTGAGTAGAACAAGTTCTTTGCAAAATTCAGCAGAGAAAAGGTTAAACTTTCAGAAAACTTACCAAAATCTCCAACTGGATGCGCTAGATCAAACTGTCCATGAAAATTTATCTAAAATAAGAAAGATATATCAAATTCCATTTTTTTCAATTATAGAGTGTTGTGCTAATATTCAATGGGCTCACTGTACTAAGTTCTGCTTTGTATTTCTTTAACATTTTCTTAATGCATGCTATGGTAATGATTTTTTTTCAAAGAACCTCTTCATTCTACTGGAAAAAAAGTTTGTGTGCATGTTAATGTAAATGAAGGTAATGATTACTGATCACATTTATGACAAGGTTACAAAGTGAATACTGGTTTTATTGAAAACTTGGAATTGAAAACTTGGAATAGTTACGTAAAACAGCACCAGCTACAATGTCAGCAGTGATCCAAAGATGTTTCATTTTTGTAATTGTTTTAGTGCTATTATTACAGGCATTATCTAAAAGTTTGAGATCAGATTCAATCACTGTTCTGTATTTAACCCTTACCTTACTGGATACTATGATTTGAACCCATAATAAACCTTTCCCACCAGTATAGATCCTGGCCAGCCTGCACAGAAGATTTTTATCTTGTGATCTTGTCATCCCTATTGATCATGGACCTTTCCTCACCATAAAATTTTCTTTCCTGCCATGCTTTTTTGAATGAAAAGATACTTACATTTGCCATGGCTTGTAGAAAACCCTGGTCTATTCCAAGACTGTGCCAAAGGATATCAGCAACTTGATGTGAAACAATACCAAAAATGAAAACAACCAACTTCTCTGTGGCCTGTTAAATATAACATCCATATTTCAAAGTGATTAACTTTTTTATGACTAAAATTCTTCTTCTTGAATGTATGGTTATGTACTTAACATATGTTTTCTTCTAATAATAATATCAAACATTCAACAATTTACAACATTAACATAACAAAACAACTGGATAATGTTCTTACTCTTGTGAAACATGTACAAAAAATAAAGGAAAGACTGTGCCCTAATGCATTTACTGTGTGAAGTATATATGTAGCTGATATGAAAATATTTCAAAATCATGTAATGAAAATAACTTCACCTAATGGGCTAAGTCACAAAGCGTACTAGTTTAAAGCTCTATTTCAATCTATTTTATGCTGCATTCTATAAGAAATTTACCATAATTACTTTGTACAAAATTCATATGAAATTTTACATACCTCATCCCATGGTTGGGGATATTTTGCATTGATATAATTCACCGAGGCATTCAGGAATGGTGCCCAGTGTGTGTCTTCTGATACATCATGATATTGACCTAGAAAAAGAATACACAAGGCAATAAATAATAAAGATAATTTTCTTTAAAGGCTAATTTATTTTGTGCTTTGAATTACTTAAGTTGATCTAATGTTTTGATATTTATATTCTATCTAAACATATCCGTTTGAGCTCATTTGTGAAAGCTTGAAACTTGTTTGAACTTTTATTGAGTTTCCTGGAACTACTGTAACTAATATTGGTGACTATCATGCGAAACCATGAGCATGGCTACTGTTGGGCTGTAACCCATAAAATCTGGGTTGAGAGGCAGACACCTTAACGCTTCTAAAAATATATTGCATAAGACCATTCTTACTTACTTACCATTTGCACAAACATCATCATAGAAGGCATCTGGATATGGACTACCAGCCATCAGGGCATCATTGTGAGTCTGAATAAGCTGAAAATAACAAAGCGGGTAATTATTTATTAATTATCAACAGTATTTATTTACTTAGTTCTCAGATATAGAATTTGAGTTTTTCATTTTTTGAGTTTGTACCACATGTTAAGCTGGGGTCATAAATTGTTACCATAATTTGGAATTAGAAATGACACCATGTAGAACTTATAATTTTTATTGTAGTCTTATTGTAGTTATAAGGACAAACTGATAAACAAAAGTTACCATACAACAGTAGGTAAATATATGTAAAGGATTAAAGCTTTATATTCATTTGGAATTAAACATGACATGCAGCACTTAGACCAATTTGCTGTCTTTAGACTTTATGCACCCCACTTTTTCCTCCAATGAGACCTTGACTTACTTTTTCGTCCAATGAGAAGGTGCAAATTTGAAAATTTCTGTTTATTTTTCATAAACTGTCTTCAATATGGTGTCTTTTGCCATTCACTTAAATATTGTGTCTATTTGCAAAAAACAAAGTGCCTGTGTACAAAAAGTAGGTCAACAAGTAAGTTAGTTACTCACTAATAAGAAAAAATTAAATGTCTTACACAGTTATTGTTGCTCCTATTTCACACCTTATGAGCTGTTTGAAACATTTGATTGTTTTATTAGCGTCTTACTATTATTGAAATGATATAGAGATTATCTTGTAAACAATATATGAGCCGCGTCACAACAAAACCAACATAGTGCGTTTGCGACCAGCATGAACCCAGACCAGCCTGTGCATCCGTGCATTCTGATCAGGATCCATGTTGTTGGGCGCTATCAGTTTCTCTACTTGTTATAGGGTTGGTAAGTGAACAGCATGGATCCTGATCAGACTGCACGGATGCACAGGCTGGTCTGGATCCATACTAGTCACAAATGCACTATGCTGGTTTTATTGTGACGCGGCTCATATGTCTTTCAATCTTAATAGCTATCATAGCTATATACCTTAGCATAATCTATTTTTGATCCAGAGTCATCTTTGAAATAAGTCTTTGCACGATGACCTGTAATATAAAAAAAGAAAAGAACTTAAGGAAACAGACAACAGAAAGTCAGTCAGTACTCAGTACCTCTCATTCATTTTATCAACAAACAGGGTCACTTAATTCATGTAATTATAAAGTAGATTTTAATATAATTATAATTTACTATGAGAAATTTTTTGCAGCTTTTGAAATTATAAATCATATAAATATTGCTATAAAACATGTCTATTTAATGTCTGAATTATTTGTTTATTATAAAGAATTAAGGTATTTCGAGCAACTATCATACATAGGTTTGAAAGTCTGTATTTAGCTAGGCCGTACAATGTTTTCTTGTTTCAAAATAGCTTAAACTTTAAAAAGGGCATTTTTCTGTGAATTAAACAGAAAAGTTTGGTGAAATTAATCCATGCCAATTTAGTCCCTAGTGCCCTAAATCCCCTGATAAAGTTCCCCACATCCCCTGATAAAGTGCCCCACATCCCCTGATAAAGTGCCCCACATCCCCTGATAAAGTGCCTCACATCCCCTTATAAAGTGCCCCACATCCCCTGATAAAGTGCCCCACATCCCCTGATAAAGTGCCCCACATCCCCTGATAAAGTGCCCCACATCCCCTGATAAAGTGCCCCACCTCCCCTGATAAAGTGCCTCATATCCCCTGATAAAGTGCCTCATATCCCCTGATAAAGTGCCCCACATCATATCCCCTGATAAAGTGCCCCACATCCCCTGATAAAGTGCCCCACATCACATCCCCTGATAAAGTGCCCCACCTCCCCTGATAAAGTGCCCCACATCCCCTGATAAAGTGCCCCACCTCCCCTGATAAAGTGCCTCATATCCCCTGATAAAGTGCCTCATATCCCCTGATAAAGTGCCTCATATCCCCTGATAATATGAGAAAACACTATATGTGTTTTGCTGATATAGAAATTTCAAATGGTCTTTTAAGCATGTGGAAAATATAGTTAGTATCTGTAATTTTACCATATGCATTTTCTAAATATAAATACAAGGTGATTTAAAATTTTCAGTTCTTTTTAAATATTTCCAGGGGGCATTTATTGAAATTTAACTCTAGTTTTGAAAAAAGCTTCTTATCTGGGGGACTGAAACATTTAAAGTGGGGGTCAAGTATTTTTAAAACTAAGCAAGATTATTGACTATACAGCAATACACTAAACTTTTTTTTTTAAATTACATATCTGTAAAACCGTCCATACAGTGGGAGGCATTTTATAACAATGCTGGTATGTTTTTGGTGCTAAATCTTCCCATTCAAATATCATGCTATACTGTGGTAAATAAAAAAAACACCTACGAACAGCTCTGACTTTCTCAAAAATATTGGACTTTAACACAAATGACATAATTTCACAAACTCATTTAATACCCTAGAAAAATATTGCTGAGTTAAGTTAAACACATCAGAGGATTTATCGTAGCAAAGAATACTCCTAGAAAACATCATTTTGTTTATCAAATATAATTCATATTAATTTGCATATTGACCAATCCATGACAGTCAAGGTCATTAACAGATAAAGGTCAAACTAAATTTTCAACATGTTTAGTCATAAGGGTTCTTTTGTCAAAGTATAAAACAAATCTATCAATAAATAACAAAGTAAACAAAAACAAAAATAACAATCTAAGCTAAGTAAACAAAAACAAAAATAACAATCTTAGCTGAGTTATGACTATAGCAAAATTAGCCAATCTGAATTTTAGTGTCAAGGTCAAATTAAAGTCAAGGTCAATTAAATCACATACTTTGACAATTGAAGTCTGTGATTAAATGTTTGTCTAAAGAAATGTTGTGTCCTAGAATGGAGACAATTCATTCATTATTTACATAATTTAAGCCATTTATAGCAAAAGAACTTTGAAAATAAAATAATTTGACCTTCAATGTCAATGTCTTTTATGAGTCAAGTTCAAAATGAGTCTGACATTCATGATTGTCAATGTTATTAATTGATAAAAAGTTTGTAATCATTCATGAAAGCAGTTTATAATGAATTTGGTCTATTCCAATGAAAGTTTCTCCAATTTAAAGGGTTAATTGTTGTGTTCAAGTCCAAATTTATAAATAAAATTATATCCAATTATAGCAAAAAGGTAAAGGTCATTATAAGTCAACGTACGCCAAGTTAATTCAGTTTGATACATGTAGAATACTTAATTCAAACTGTTATTGTTCAAGGGGTTGTTGTTTTTATGAATGAAGACAATCAAGTAACATGTTCATCTGTGTATGTACGACAACAATCAATTAATCAATTATAGAAAAATAATGACCAAATGACAAATGTTAAAAAACATTCTGGACAGCATCGCCATCAGGCAACGGCAATGACGACATGACTGTAGACTCGAGCAACTGAATAGAAATCAAGATAATCCCTTTTATTTATAGGTGGCGCAATAGCTCAGTTGGTTGGACTGTCACTCCTGAGTTCCCAGGTTCGATCCTCAGAAACACCCTTTCAGTGTTTCGGACCTAACTAGAGGTGTACTGGTAAGAAGTCCAGGTAATCCTTGCATGTATCAGCGCTATACATTGGGCATGTAAAAGAACCAAGTGGTCAAGAGGCTCAGCTTAGCATCCTAGATGATGCTCTGGCCTGAATACTAATTACATTACATTCACATCATATTTTTTTAATGCTATCTATCTATCTATCTATCTCTGGATACTGCCAACCCCTCTTACAAGTGTTAAAGGCAGGAATTTAGTGCACGTCGGATTGTTAGTAAAAGGTGAAGAGAAAAGCTAAAAAGAAAAGTCCAAACATTGACATGCTTGGAAGGTGAGACTGAAAATGTATTCTAGTCATGGTTAAAATGTTAATAGTGAAACAAGATGATAAGAGATAAAATAGTTTAAAAACACTGGGAGTAAGACTAGTACTGCAAACCCACCACTGCCTGTTTGAACTGACTCAGGTTGGGAAGGGTGGCAATGTTACTAGGAAGTTTATTCCATAGTATAATGCTATGAGGGAAGAAAGAGTACTTATGGTAGTCGGAGGATACCTGTATTTGACGTAGGGATAAGGGATGCATATGTCTGGTTAATCTATGTGGGGTTTGAACATAAGTTGGGAGATTAATTGCAACTAGGTTATGGTATATCTTATAAAACATTATCAGTCTACAGTCCAGTCTGCGATGTTCAAGGATCGCCAGCCCAGTTCTTCCTGCATGGCTGTGACACTAGAGTGAGGGAGTAATCCCTTTTAAACCCATCTTATTGCACGTCTCTGGATCATCTCAACTTTGTCAATATTGGTTTTAGTATAAGGAGACCAAATAGATGAGGCATATTCAACCTGTGGGCGGACCAGGGACTTGTATGCTAGTTCTTTTACTTACTCATTTTTAGTGATGACATTTCTTTTAATAAAGCCAAGGGATCTGTTTGCATTGGAAGTTATTCGAGATATATGTGTATTAAATTTAAGGTCAGCAGATAGATCTAGTCGAGATATTTAGCATTTGTAACAAGACTCTAGGATTTGGCCATGGAGCATATATTTGTGTTTAATTATGGTCTTATTTTTGGTGATATGGATGACTTGGCATTTTGAAGGGTTAAACTCCATGTCCCACTGCTTCTCCCACAGAACCATATTGTCTAGATCATGTTGGAGAGTTGGGGGGTCTGAGGAGGAATTGATGGTTAGGTATACAGCAGTGTCGTCTGCAAATAATCTGACTTGGGATTTGCTTTAGCCTAAAATTTAATTTCTATACAGTATTACAGTTTAATAAAAATTGGTTAGCTGCTGAATATATTACTTATTTCAATATGTGTTACAACTCCACATGCATTTATAGAAATAATCAAACACATTTGCGCAGCAAATGTGAATAAAAACATATTTATTAATTTATTTCCGTTTCAAACTTTTACTAGTTTTAGGGAGCTGACATTTTTTATATCATGTGATCATCATGTGACCTTCTATAATAGTTATTATCCGCCGTAGACACACCGTTTTTACCGTCCTATCCGTGTAGAAACATAAATATTTTTCATACTTAAAAAACATGTATTCTCGCCCGATAATCTGATGTCCAATTAACAATTTATTCTTACGGTTTTCTCTGTACTTTTTTCATTCAACTGCAGGTTATTATTTTGATCTATTACAATTCATTAATCTAACCAATAACGGTACGATACAGAAAATAGCATAGTAAATCGGTGCAGATGTAGAATTGACCACTGTAATAAAGTCCTACGTATACACTGATGTGTTTCTATTTAATTCGTTGACACAGTACGTTTAATTATATATTTAGTGTTTTATGTTTCACATAAATTCAAATGTATTCCGCACATTACTGATGATCATTTGTTATACTAATAAGTTCATTGGCATTTCTGCAACACAATTTTTTTTGTGAAACTGTAAATTAGGTTTTTGTAACATTTTTTGAGTCTTATACACTGTTATACTGTTATAGACTTAAAGGCGTTTTTAGGCACTGGAGAAAACAATCTTTTTACTGGTCTTAATTATTTCTGATAATTGTTAGTTGAAAGGGGCCATATAGATTTACCATTTAAAGGACTAAAAGAGTAGTGACTGTGTGAACATTTCCTGTGTATATACGACTATAAGCCTGTAGGACAGTGCGGACCGTGAGACAGGTTGGACCGTACCAGGGTGGATCGAGACTAGGCGGATATTTTTGGACAGGGCGGACCGTCACTCGAAACTAGGCAGACCTTGATAATGGCTTGATTTTAAAAAGTATTTAAAGTATTTAATTGTGGATGATTTTGGTATTCTTTATAATATTTCAATCTAAACCTTTCTATGTAACATATATGTAACATATATATTAGAGTAGTTTAATTTTTTTTTTCAAGAAATTATTTGTAACTGCGTCAACTTACGCAGATGATAATTGACCAATTATAGGGATATTACAATGTTGACATTGTTTGTATAAGGCGCTAACACTGCTAAAATTGATAAACTTTATTAAATAATAAGACACATAAAAAAACATATATTTTGTTGTACAAATTACATGAAATAACAATGATAACAAATTACATCACATTAAAATTATTTGCAATACAACACAATAACAAAAAATGAAGTGACATATTTAAAGAACAAAACTATTTTATTAAAATTTACATAATAAGCACAGACACATGAAATAAAAAGAACACTGAAATAGAATTTATTAAACAATAAGACGTGTAGATCAAAAAACTTTTAAAACTTACTGTATTTATTTTTTTACTTTTATATTTGCACTGAAATATTAATACAAAGAACAAAAACATCAATAATTTAATACTTTTATTACATAAATCCACATATAAATACTTTTTTAAATCAGGGTCCGCCCTGTCCCAAAATATGGTCCGCCTAGTTTCGAGTCACGGTCCGCCCTGGTACGGTCTGCCCTGTCTCACGGTCCGCCCTGTCTGTAATTCGGCTATATATATATATACTATATCTGAAGACAAGAAATATTTAATTTTATTATTATTTAATTAAGAAAGATACTAGCCAGACATGCCCGTACAGCTAGCCAATAGTTCTAGCCGTATTGAGTCACATACAGCTAGCCAGGACACACTGTACCGTCTTGGCGTATGGCACTTTCCAAAAAGATATGAAAGTCGAAAATGCATGTTATTTTGTGTTTTTAATGAGTATTTTAACCAAGAACCAGCATTTGTCCTCATTTGTTTATTTTAATAACTTTAGATGCAGTGATTTTTTTACCTCTGCATCCTGAGTCCAGGACTCATTGAATTTGCTGTGGATGCAAAGTTTCAAATAATGTGCATCTTTTGGATGCATACTTTTTCTGAGTAGGGAGTCCCAAAGTCTGACAGGAATTTGGTAATAAATACGAAATTGTGTTCAAGTTATGTCAATCATATTCTAGGTCTGCAAATCTTCTACAGATAAGAAATAATAATGTGCTTAAAAATACTATAGATAATCATAAAAATATTAAGGAAAATGGAGTTTTGGTTAATCTCAATATAAATTAATGGAAAAAACCATAATTAATTTATTTGACAGTTTTGAATAATTTCAGTATGAGAAGCATTGTAATTAATGTAGAAATCAAATTCATTTTTTTTCATTCCATTGTTAATATACCTTTCATATCACTAAAGCAATATCAAAATAGAGAAACACAGAATCCCTAAAGAAAGTCCAACACAAGAAAATTGAAAATGTTGCAGGCTCGATTTGATTGAGCCTGTTCATGGACGGTACTGGAAAGTGCAAGTTACCGTCCATGCCCCCTAGCACCGCTTAAGCAGAATTCAACATTTAACATGAAACAGGTGAAATTTTGAATTTAGAAACATCTGCAGATGTATTCATACTGCGCTTATCATGGAAACTTCAATGTGACACAGTAGTGCCATCCCATGAAAAGTGGTGCATAGTCCCTAAGTAAAAGAATGCTTTTGCCCTAAGCCTTGTAACTTGTAAATCAGCAAAATTTTTGGACTCATAGATTTATAGCCCAGCGAGTCCTAGGACCCACACTGATGAGTTTGTAAAAAAATCACTGTAGATGCTCTGCCATTTTGTCAACAACAAAAAAATAAATACTGAAAATAAATAAATAAAACAAAAAGAGAAAAACAAACAAAAAAAACAACCAAAAAGCAAAGGAAATGCAAGCAACCAACAGTTAAAGATTGTCCATCATTAAGAAAAGTTTGCATGCTCCGTGAAATTCTATTGTCAGTCCATGTATAGGCTCTAATTTAGCCTAATTGGTTGTGCTTTTATGTACCATATAAATTATCACAGATATACATTCATTTAGCTCTATGACTGATATATATTTATCTATTTAAAAATACAATTATATATATAAACAAACAACGCCAGGGTTCTAGTGAGAATGCATTTATTCTTGAAATTGACAAAAACAAGCTACTTAGGACGTTATGATTGTTTCTTCCATGTGCTTAATAATTATGATTTAATAATTCCTCTTTCATATAAATAAAAGAAAAAATCATAAGAATGAAAACAACGACGTTCCAACTAAACTACTTAGTAGTATAACATCATTAAACACATATATTGTACAATGTACTTTGTATCATGCATCATGTGACTTTGACACTTTTATCAACATGACAACATTTGTATTTCCTTCGTTACCTTTTTTTTGTTTTTTTTGTTGTTGACGAAATGGCAGAGCATCTTTATTAAAATAAACAAATGAGGAAAAAAGTGGGTTTTAAGTTTTAAGACATAAAATAGCATGTGCATTTTCAACTTCCATATTCTTTTGAAAAGTGCTGTACGGCTAGACAATACAGTTTGTCCTGGCTAACCGTACGTGACATACGGCTAGAACTTTTGGCTAGTTGTACGAATAGCCACTTCCTTTAATTTATTTTAATCATTAAGGCTGAAAAGGTAGTAAACAATTTTCAACAATTCAAACTGAAAAGTCAAAATACCTGCTCTTTCACAAAGGTCAGAGGGCCAGGATTATAAATCACTTGTGCATTATAAACATGTAGCAGGTGGGCAATATTAAATAATTTCAATTTCTTTTTCCAGATATGCAGATGATTTGATAGTTTTATAACAAGAAAGATGATTTTGTTTATTATACTGGTGACAGGTGTCTCAGCCTCAGGTAAGAACCATTGTAAGTTTAACTATTTGAAGAATAAAGAGATTTATTGTACTCACCAAGGTGTCATGGTCTCCATCACACTTAAGTTTTTGTGTGCAAATTTGTATCTACGATTGGGTTTAAACTTCTTACATTTGTTCACTGAGACACAGGTCCCATAAGTGAGTTATCTATCTCCTTTTCTTACAATCAAGAATAGTCCCACATAGTGTATAATGTTAAGACAGGTCTTGTTTACCAACATTATTAAAATGCCAGACCCGCTGTCTGTCACATAGCTTATTCTAATCATGAAGCATATTCCATTATTGTCAGCTTGACCTAGTTTTATGATGCTCGGTATACTCAGGTAGATTTTTTAGCAACTTGATGGTATATATAGTTGTCTTAGCAGAGTTAGTTCATTACACTAATTTAGCAGTTAATTTTTTTTTAAAGCATACCAAAATTATGTTTCTTTTTAAAGCATACCGAAATTATAATCCTATAAAATAACTTGTAGTAGGTCATGATGAAGCCTGAAAGCCCTTTGTTGCATTTTCAAATTACTGGTATATTTAAATAAAAATAGCAATTCTAGCTTCAACAGCTATAAATATAATTGCAATTATAAATAAAATGCATCAATTTTCATAATACTTACTTGATTTAACTATTACATGTACATTGTATATCATCTGCATAGATTTTGTTTTCTCCTGTCATCAAATATAGAAATTACAGAAAAATTCTGTATGTTTTTAATGCAATTTATACTTCAGTGTTTCCCAACCTTGATCATATTCGTCCATCAGTCAGTTTGAAGGACCAGCGTCAAGCAGCTCAAGATTTGATTGGTCGAGTACTGGGTCAAAGGTCAAGTAGCTTTCAAGTGGTTATTGTAGGAAACACAGATCCAGAGTTCAAAGACACTTTTAACGTAAGCTCAATCAGTGCTTAGTTAATAGTAAAAGATTCTTGAAGTTTTAAATTTTACTTGGCAGATTTAAATCATGAGTAAACCAAAGTAACAAATTTTATTATTGTTAAATCCTTTGCAAACCATTTTACAAAGTAGGTAGGAATGATCAAGAAGAAATTGAAGCCTTACAGATTAAATAACTTTTTTCCTATCATGATTCCCTTGGAATGGAAGTGCTTTCTTGAAAAAAAAGAGTCCTTCAGCATTAAAAATAATTATGTGTGGCAGCATGGCCAAGTGGTAAACGCATCAGACCAGTAATCTAAGGATTGCTGACCACATTCTTTCAAACCCTATCAGGGGCAAACTGTTGTTTCATTGAGCAAGAAATTTTACATTTATTGCTTAGTACTGATTGGTTCCAGGAACTGATTCATTGTTTCAATAAGCTAATAGCTTCCAACACAAACTAAAATAAATTTGTATAAACTAAAAATACTTATAACTAACACCAGGTAATCTAAAGACGCATGTGTGGATTGTACTGTATAGGAAAATTTTTAAAAAGAAAAAAAATAGTCTGGTTAAATTTTGTTTGTGATTCATAATTTTTTTTTAAAGGAACTCCACTTTGGCCCAAATCTAAAAAAAAAACAACAGGAAATTTAAAATTCTTACATACATGTAGATCAACTGGGGTACAAACAAAAAGACAAGAAATTGCAGATGAAGATAAATTTGCTCAGAATTCATTATGAAACCATTTTTTGTGTACAATTCTTCACCTGATTTGAGTTAAAACTTAAAACCTGTTCAGTTTTAGGTCATTTGCACAAATAAAAATGATTATTCTAGTGGAAAAAAACATAGTGAGCAAATGATCAGAAATTTTGCTCACAAATTATTGGCCAACAAGAATAAAATCTGGAAAAAAATATGTCCAGTGCCGTTATGTCCTAAAACTTCAGTAGAGTCCTTTTAACTCATAAGTCTGTCTATTTTTCAGGTAATATCAGATGGTAATAATGTGACAATAACAGCAACATCTGGTGTATCAGCAGCAATGGGCTTCTATTATTTCTTAAAGACAAAGTGTGGGTGTCAGTTTACATGGGGTGGAGAGCAGCTTTATCTTCCAAGTTCATTACCCGTGATCACTAAACCTGGTCTTACTGTAAAAACAAATGACAGGTAATATAAATTTGTCACTTTGCCAGCTTTAAGTGAAACCCCAAGTGACACTTTCTGTATTTCTCCTGGCATATGAATGGTAATGCCTTGCATGTAAAACTATTAACTTTCAATACACAAGCTGGATAGCTTGTCTATATGATTATGAATATATCAATTTGAACCAGAAGTGGAAAAGGAGTTGGGGACTTTAAGTAGTTGGCCTTGGAGACTACTGGACTGTTTTCAGAATAAATGAATTTTCTTTTACCATTATATCAAAGGAGAAACATGCTTTTATCCCCGGGATTCTCTCACTATTACTAATTAAATGTTTTTTCTCAGATTATTTATTTATAACCATTTGTTAATAAATTTCTTCTTATGTTTGAATCCTTAACTGGCTGAAATTGTATAATCGACCTGCCAAGCTTTAATTATGGAACAGTCCATTCAAAGGTTAAGGGATATCTGTATCAAAATACAAAAAGAAATTGATCCACAGTAAAGAGCCTGACAGTTTTCACAGATGTGCAGGTTGGCCTGTCTCGATACTGGTGGCAAAGGTTGATAACTATGGGTTCCAGCATATTAAAATTAAGGTCATATACATGTAGGCTTATTTGTTGCTTATTATGTTTTCATGTTGTAATGTTTATATTTTAGATTTCGCTACTACCAGAACGTATGCACACCTAGTTATTCTTATGTTTGGTGGGACTGGTCTCGTTGGCAACGGCACATAGACTGGATGGCAATGAATGGTTTCAATCTGCCACTGGCATTTACTGGGCAGGAAGCTATCTTTCAAAGGGTATGTTTAGTTAACAGGTCACTATTTAACCCTTATGCCTGCTTGAACCAAAAGTAATAAGACTTTTGCAACCAGTATAGAGCAAGGCCAGCCTAGACATCTTTGCAGCCTGACCAGGCTCTATACTGTTTGCTGACTAACTTTAAATTTTCTTCTAAATATCAAGAAGTTGAAAATAGACAAATGTTCCATGGGTTGATACTTTTAAGAGATGTGTTTCTTTTGCTGGCAATTCAAGGTAATTAGGTCATGGCAATTTAAGGCAATTGAGTCGAAGTATTTTATTCTTTGTCAAAAAGACATACGGGAGTTTCTATTGGTACAACTAATACATGTATTAATATAAGCTTATGATAAAAAATTTACCATTACCAAATGATGCTTTGCTAAAACCTGTCAGTACAAAGATTTTATATACATTTACACAGGTGTACAGAAAGATGGGTTTTACTGATACTGAGCTGCAGCAGCATTTTGGGGGACCTGCTTTCCTTGCTTGGTAATTTCATTTATGTATTTATATTTTAAAAATTGATAGAATGTCTTTATTGCTTTGTAAAATTATTTGACTTGTAAATAATTATTATTACTTGTGGAAAAGAATTGGAATAAAACCTGTATTTGACAGTAAGTAGGTAATAAAATTTTTGAAATGGAAATAATCAGAAAATAATCAAAATTGATTAGGTTAATAAACAGTTCCTTAGTATCTAGAGGGGATGATCCAATTCATGTCGGTCCATTGTATATTAATGCATTTTCATCTTTTCAGTTTTAATTTATGATAATAAGCTCCCATATGTTGTCTTTTGCCTAGCTAGTAATACTTTTAAATGATGTAATTTAAAGGGCAAGAATGGGTAACATGCAGGGTTGGGGTGGACCATTACCTCAGAGCTGGATAGATGATCAGTTGGCTCTTCAGCACAAGATCCTATCTCGTATGAGAGACTTAGGCATGATACCTGTACTGCCTGGGTTTGCAGGTCATGTACCCATGTCTATTACCAGGTAAGCATACTTAAGTTAATTGAACCATTTGCTACTCATGGCTTTTGGTTTGGATCTTGCCTGAGACTTTGATTTCTTTGTTTGTCAAGAAACTGTCTATCTAGCTTACTAGGGGCAGGGGTTGGTATCCAGTGTCTGTTCATGCCTGTGCTTATGTTTAGAGAAAAATGCAGTTTTTTCCCAACAGTAGTGACTGGAAAGTTGTCATACCACACAGTGTCAGCTAAATTTAAGTTACTCTCTTAAAATGATATTTATGTTTTTATTTAAAAAAAAAAAAAGAACAAAAAAAGAAACAGAATTGAAAACAATTTTTCTAGATTTGTTTAATTATTGTACTGGCAGAATCATTAAGATCCTTAAGTACACATCATTTGAATTGAAAAAATGTGATAAATGACTGGACTTAATCCAGTTAAAATTTTGCACCTGAGGATGTGCTATAAAATTTATTCATTGGCACTATAATGTGGGCTGTTGAAAGCTGAGTAAAAGACACTCTATAAAGAGTAATAGAATAATTCTGTTAGCACAGTGACTAAGTATGAAGGATGTAAATTTAGTATGCATGCCATATGCATGGAACTTAAACTATAAAATCCATTCACGTTCCCATTTATTACAGCAGTATAATGAATTGTTTAAATAATGTATAGAATCTATTTTTAGATTATACCCGAAGGTGAAGGTCAGTCGACTCAGTGATTGGGGACATTTTAATCAGACCTACTGCTGGTATGTTAAATATTCTTCTATTATGCATATGATATGATCATTACATCATAATGTTTAAGTAGTTTTGAAAACTTTTTCACTACATTCCTTTAAAGCCAATTCTTTAAGATGGATGCAACTGCATAGCCTACAAAACATAAAAAGACGAACATGCATAAATTAAATTTTCTGATTTGTTAAGAATGAATATTGGACAGAAGAAACTATAAACGGTTTCTTGATGATAAAGTTTCTATTATCTTTAATATTGTGACCCTCAGTTAACAATTGATTAAGATCAAGTAATATACATTGCTTCCAAAGAGTTGCTATTTGCTAGAAATGTTATTATTTTCAAATGGAGCAGTTAAACAAGTCTGGCAGAGATAGTGATACCCGAATGTGCTATCTTGCACTTGTTGTTATGCATAGAAAAACATCATGTGATATTACTGTATCAGTAAAAAATACAAATTTGGTGCCACTCTAAATCATGCAAGAAAAATATTCCATGTATATATTGCTTTGCGTAATGAAAAGTTTATGTACTTTTCTGTGCCTATGAATATATTAGTATTGCCTTTATGTAACACTATATCTTATTGTTTATTAATAAGGAAAAAAAATCTAAATTGTCATGCTGAGGCATTTAACTGGATAATATCAATGTAATTTATTTTGTGTTTTTCATTTTCAGTACCTTTCTATTGGATTTTAATGAGCCTCTTTTCAAGAAAATTGGCAAGGCTTTTATAGAAGAGGTATGTGTGCTGTTGTTTTCATTTCTTTGGGTCAAATTTCATGAGGTTTCTTGAATTGTTTCATGTTATAAATCTCTTCTGCTAGCATTTTGAAGGTAATGCTTTCTTGTGTCTGAAAGAATGTATTTAGGGGTACAGGGAGTGAATCTCCATCATTGAGATAAGTTTGTAGCTGACCATTCAATTACAGCAATAAATTTGATTATAGCCATTGTAAAATGAAATAAATTTAGTTATGTGCCGTGTATTAGTTAACATAGTTTTTTTGATACTACATGTATCTTGTGTATTAAGGCATTGGACTGTTTAGCTAAAAGCTGTTGTTTCTCTGAGCAAGCAACTTTACACTCATTGTTTAGTACTTGTTGGTTCCAGGAACAGATTTGAGAGTGAATCGATAAGCTTATAGCTTACAACACAATTAAACTAAAATAAATTTGTGTAAAATAAGACAGGTTAAGTTTCGTTAAAAAGACTAATATACATATCTCTCCTGATTAAAACATTAAACAATAATATAATGATTGTTCTGTGTTGTAGATGCAGTCAGAGTTTGGTGTTGACCATGTGTACAATGCAGATTCTTTCAATGAAATGGACCCTTCATCAAGGTATATAATTTGCATATAGTTGTATACAAAATTAACAATTTGAGAAGTATATGTTTTGTAAAGAAATAATGGATAATTTAATGAAGAACCTCAGTCATATTGTATTTTCTGTCACCTGTAAAAGCTGTAGTTTTAAATACAGTCCATGAAGATATATGATAATTTGTTTTATATACCAAATTTTTCTAAAATTTACGGTTATTTTCCCCACATTTCAGTGATACAGCATACATTAAGTCAGCTGGACAATCAGTTTACAGTGCAATGACTGCAGCAGACCCACAAGCTGTTTGGTAAGAACTTCACAACTGTTAATTATTTAAGAATCTGAAAAAGGAGTGATCCATTTGTAGAACTGCAGTTTAAAAACTGCAATTTATCAAAATCTAATGCTTCAGCTACCAATCTGCCAATAGAGTGATATTGCAGCATTTAGTCAAGCTTGATTATGGAGAAAGCTAGAAGCTCAAATGAACCACTCAGATCAAAGTTTGTGGCCTCAGTGGCTGAGTTGATAAGGTGCTGACAGATTTTAAACAACTTAACCATCACAGCTGTTTTTGAATCACGCCAGGGACGTTAAATACTTTCAGCTAGGTTACTAGAGGTGGATGGTTTTACTCAGATGCCAGTTTGTGCCTGCATTAATGCACAGAGGGGCTCCTGAGGTCTTTCTCCACCAAAAAAAAAACCCTGGAAAATAGTCACCAGGTGACCTCAGTAATGCCAGTTTGATGTAAAACCCGTCAGAATAAAACATATCAAGGACCTTCTTATACTAACTAGTACTGGTGTCATATGATGAGACATGATTGTGACCCAGGTAGGGCTCAAACCCATTGTCTCTGTGTAGTATGGCAGACACTAGATCACTGCATGTACATTTTGACTGGGAAATGTTTCTTTTACTGAATTAAAATAAATATGCTCATACTGTTACTATGAAACTAGACTGTTAGCTATCATTGGTAAAGATTTTTAGTTATTAGAATTTTCACAAATTTCTGCTAGGACTTTAATGAAGTGCTAGTTTAGAATGTTTTCTGCTAGTTGTTCTATGGTAATAATGTTGTATTTTTGTAAATACAAATGTATCTGATGCCAGGTTGATGCAGGGTTGGTTGTTTTTGGCTGGAGCATCGTTCTGGCAACCTGAGCAAACTAAAGCTTTATTGACCTCAGTCCCACAGGTGACCTTTATGATACATATGTGCATTATGTAGAATGTCGACTAAAAAGACAATTTAAAAAAAAAAATTTGGAAGATAAACTTAATACTTAACTTTATCATGTGTACTACATTTGTACCTGAATCAAATCATTGTCTTAAGATTTTGAGTTTTAAGTGACGCTTAATGTTATAAAATTGGTATTTTGAAAAGACTTGAATCTTGAATAAAAAGGGGTCTGCAGTATGTGATGTAGTTTTTTTTATCATTTTAAATACACAATGTAATTGTAAACTGTATGCAATTTCCATTTCAAAATTTATTGGAGGGGATTTTATGTGTAGAATTCTTGTGTTTGGGGTAACTGAGGGTCATGTGCATACTTCACTATTTCCACAGTTATTGGATGGAATGATTTGTAGAATTTCAATGTTTGAGGTAACAAAGGCTCATTTTCATTTCGAAATAAATTAATAAGGGGTCAAAACGACAGTGTTATTAAAGTTTCTTACAATGTTGAAGTACTTGTCTTTTCATTTGACAATTTACGTTGCTTAAGTAATAGTGTAATGTAGTATAACCCATCTCTTCAACATGTTAACACTCAGTCTCCTGCTTTTTTCCTTTCTTTTTACAGAAATTTTTAAGGTAATGGATCTGTGATGTACAAATATTTATGTTTTCAGATTCTTAATTTTAACTGTTAAACTTCTGCAAAAACGGAATTCTGTATAATGCAGCAATAGGAAGAAATTTGTAATTTTTGTAAAAAGAGGCAGCATACATTTTTTTTCAAAAAGGGAACCAGGTAATGATTTTTTTTTAGAAGGAACCAAAAATAGAGAATTTAGTTCTTACCAATATTAATGCTTACTTTAGCATTCTTCAGTACATGTATGTGTTTAAATTGGCAGGGCATAAAATTTCCCCCTGGCCATGAAAAAATAAAAAAAGATAATGATAATGATAACATTAACAGAAAAAAAACACAACAAAATGAAGTCAGTATAAAATCACAAATTCAATACCTCAAAAAAGTTTTATCATTATATGGCTAACTATCTTCTTCTATTGTGGCAAAATTTTACTGGACAGGCACTAATACTCTGACCTGCTTTAACTTGTTATGGTTTAGTCGAAATTTTGTATGTATAGGTTAGAGTGCATATTGGGTGTTCTTCGTAAATAAGAAAGCTCAAAAGGAGCGGAGCTTGCGAAGCGACTGTAGCTTTCTTATTTACGAAGAACATCCAATATGCACTCTAACCGGCTTAGTGCTCCGCCCATTTTTTTCCGCCCAACACACCGCGTGACGTCACACGATAGCCTAAATGTGTATAACCATATTTGGAAGAGGTAGCGGTACACATTTTCGGGTCACGTGTTTTGCATAGCTTATTCCCGCATTCTGTCTAGGTAAATCAGACAATATCACGGTGCATATCCATATCGGTACCCTCTTTGCGAAATATTCTCAAACGGTACCCTCTTTGAACATACACAGGTCATTCTCTGCTAAAAACAAACCAGCGATGGATAACAATGCAGTAAAAATTCATTGTAATAAGGAAAGGAGGTATGACACGTAGAAAAGATGTATACCACGGAACACTAGAATGTTTTATTTATGTGCTGATTTGTCATGTGCCCGATTTTCATGTACTGCAACTTCACAATAAGCTACAAAAAGTCGACATGTCTTGCCTCGCCCGTCACCTCGACATATTTTTCGGGCTGAAATGAACCTGTAGCTTGATTATATATGCATCATACATATTTATTATGTTCATATACATATCATCTTCGGACAAATGGCAGTATATTGTCAAAAATAAATGTAAAATTAATAAAAACACCCTACTTTCGGTTTTGCAGCGGCACGGGCTGTAATATTTACATAAAAACTAAGAAATATTACATACATACTTTGTTGGAATAAGTGAACTTTTTATTTGGAAATTATAAAATGATACTGGTTCCGTAAGTAATAAAACATTTTTACTGTTATTTTGCCTGTTTTCATTTCAATGAACCTCTTTTTTTAATTCTATGCCGTAGTGACGATATACATGTGCGTGTACGGAAAAAACATGATGCATAAATATTAATTAGTAGGAGTAAACTTCAAGATCTCTGCACATGCGTATATTTCACTTTAGCGCTCTTCGAAACTTAGCTCCGCCCACTTGCGTTTTATAATATAAAACGTCCAGTTTATATAAAATCTGTTCTATTAAGATTTGAAACCTGAAAATTTGAAAAATCCTCGTCGCTGATTGGCTTAAAAAAATTGGCGAGCACTAAGAATAGTTCTATCTTCTGGTAGTATCATTGCACTGTTTGACTTTGTGATATGAATATATAGGTAGGGAGACACTGGCATACTTCTATATCTTCTGTCTATAGGTCTGTTTATGAATAAAAACGAGCTTAATCAACTCCTTCTACTGCCCCGCCCCCTCCAAAACTCACTGACTTTTTGTACTTGTAGTTTATACAATGACTTGCATTAATTTTGGAACTGTCCACGGTAAATTTCAGCAAATCAGTTGTGAGATTTGGACTTGCAGCGAAACTTTCTAGAAAATATATTGGTTATTACATGATTAGTTCATTTCCGTTTGTTTTTACTGTATCTTTCAGGCTAATGCAGGGCTGGCTATTTTCACACAACACTGAATTCTGGAAACCTGCACAAGTTAAAGCCCTTCTTACCTCTATACCTAAGGTATTATTTGTACCTATCAAATTGTTACCTTGTGCATCCAATTACTTCTTTGTTTTATGTTTTCAAGTCTTCTGTAAAGGATTTCTTAAGTCCATCTTGTTCTAAAACCTCTGTTCTTTCATAAAGAAAATGGTTTTCCAATTGCTTTCATTGGTGTCAAACTCTGGAAAAAATATTTAAGGAGATGCAGTTTACATGGCATTGATTCTCTCTTTCTTAAGAGTCATTTCAAATATAAAATCATTCCTTACATAAAAAAATCCTCAAATTACATTGTGGTATGGTATCTGGAATGTAACTTTTTTCATTTTTCTCTATACTTTATTCTTACTATTATAGTATTAAATTTTAGTATTTTTTTTTTTAAATATTAAGGGAATTATCATCTGATCTTCCATTCTGTTTTACAGGGTATAATTTCTACCTCTGTTATATGTGTAAAATGTTTATCCCTATCTAAGCTGCTTCTGTTTTTTCACGGAGATGATTATTGTAAAAATCATCATGAACTGTCTGTAGAATTTTGTCACACAGTATTATTGTTCATTTTGTTGCATGCTTTTAACTCTTATCAATTACCTTTTTGTGCCTACATGTATTTACTTCTACTATATGTTTAACTAACATGGCCTAAAATTAGATTTTTAAATACATTCATTTTATTGATATATCTATTTTAATATACAGTAAAAACTCTGAAAACCGGACCCTGTCCGGACTTGACCAAAAGTCCGGTTTTCAGAGGTTTTATACATTCATTGATAATAATGATGTGTTTGAACAATGCCTTTGTTCAATCATTTTGTATTTACTTTTCAACCCTTTGGTTTAAGTTATATTATAATTTCTTTTTGCAATAAATGTTTTAAGTGATTTTTTATGCAAAATGAATATAATTCAGAAAATCAGAAATTAAAACACCATATTGTCTGAAATATATCATAATATCTTTTTCATTAGCTTTGAAATATGTATTTAAGTATTACAATTTTTGCATATAACTGATATCAAAAAAATTCAAGATCAAAATTTAAAGCAAAACAGCAACTCTTTTAGACATTTTATATTTAAAAAAAAAACATGACACATTAAAAACAATTTTGAAAAATCATATCTATAGGAGGAAAGACACAAATAGAATGTAGGACAAAACCCCACCAGTTAAAACCCCACCACTCAAAATTTTATAGAGTGGACAAAACCCCACCACTAAATTTTATAGAGTGGACAAAATCCCACCACTTAATTTTACAGAGTGGACAAAACCCCACCATTTCAGTTTTATAGAGTGGGCGAAACTTTCTTGTAAACATGTAAAAAAAAAAAAACAATTGTGCATAAGCAGAAACTCAAAAGAATGTGTGAACAACTCATCAATAAGGAGAATTTGTTTGTTTGTTTGTTTGTTTCATTTTACGCCTTTTTCCAACAGTATTTCAGTCATATAGGCGGGTAGTTTCCTAACCATCGTTCCTGGAGAGTTACACCAGTACTAGACTACCTTCCTCCGCGCTAAACTACCAAAGCATCTCCCGGGGATCGAACCCACGCCAGAGAGGTAACTGGATTAGAAGTCATCGACTCTAACCCCTCGACCACAGAGGCGGTTCAATAAGGAGAAGACTGTACCTGAGTTTCTTCAGGCTGGCCACTGTATCCGCTTAAACTAAGTACAATGAAGTACAATGAAGGAAACTTGACTGAACTGAATAAATTAGAAATGTTCTGTTTTTTTAATCATTAATTGATGAAAATGTGTTACATTCTTGATTAACAGTAAGTAGTTTATTCTTTATATAAATAAATTGAAGAAATGAATTTGAAGAAACTAAATATAATGGATAATTCAAGGTCATAAATGTGGCACAGTCTCAAATAAATGACTACTTTTTGATGTTTATTTAACAGTTTGTAAATTATTTGTATAATCTCTTATATTACACAATTGTTATATTGAAATTAAAAAATAAAATGTGAAAATGTGTACTGTATATTATATATATTTTAATTCATCAAAGCTTACCCAATAATTGGTAAGTGGTGGTGTTTTGTCCACTCTGTGAAATTTAGTGGTGGGGTTTTGTCCACTCTATAAAATTTAGTGGTGGGGTTTTGTCCACTCTATAAAAATTTGAGTGGTGGGGTTTTAACTGGTGGGGTTTTGTCCGTCTTCCCACAAATATGATGAAAGAGCTATAATTTAATTGACAATAAGACATTAACATACACTGACAAGTGTTTTCACACCTGCATAGACAAAAGGAGATGACCATTACATGGTATTTGAACATGTCACCTGTTGAGATTGTGTTAAGATCTACATTAAAGTACACAGAATGTTGACACTTTAAATTGCTGTCCGGTTTTCAGAGGATTTTTTATGCATGTTTAGCATTAGAAACCATAGAAAATCGTCCGGTTTTCGGAATTCAGAGGTTCCGGTATTCAGAGGATTTTTTTTTCAATGAACATATAGAGAGAAAATACGGGACTTTTAAAATGGTCCGGTTTTCAGAGGATTCCGGTTTTCAGAGGGTCCGGTTTTCAAAGTTTTTACTGTACTGAATATTTAAACATGAAAATATCTTAAGATTCTTGGTGATGGAGACTAAACACTTAACCTTCTAAATTTCTTAAATTGATTTGTAATTAACTCTGTTATATATTATATTTACTGATTTGATTCAAACATTTTACAGAAAAAAAAAACCTACATGATAAATTCATTCAGGTCGAACTTGATCTTAAAATGTTTTTCGACTGTCAAGGTCAAGTTTTGGAATTTTCATAAATTGTCTTAACCTTGTAATTAATGGATAAATTAGTTAATACCAGGACGAAACAAGTCTAATGACAACTCTGACTTTGTCAGTAGGTATGACCTTGGTCATCAAGGTCAAATATAAAATATTTATTAAAAATGATGCTGTCTTTAAAAACCTTTCACTACATTGTTCTTCCACAGATTTGTTTGCTTTTTGAAAAAGAAAAGTGCTTTTGCTGTTGTTTTCAAACATCACAATTAAATTTACTATTAATTTATATATACATCTAAAATTCATTATATATACCAGAGCTCACTTTGCCAGTTGCCATTTGTGATAATTTTAGAAAATTGGTGATTATTTTTTCATTTTGGCTACAGAAACTGGCCTACTAGACTGTAATTTTGTTGTAAAATAACTTCAGTTCCAGCAGCATGCTAGTATTAGGTCTCTCTATATACATGTACGTACATATATTTTTATTTCCTTCATTTTAGGGTAGAATGATTGTACTAGATTTATTTGCTGAAGTTAGACCCGTCTATAATTCCACTCACTCATTTTATGGACAGCCATTTATATGGTGCATGCTGCATTCTTTTGGAGGTACAATGGAACTTTATGGTGTCATTGAAACTGTTAATAAGGTACTGTGAAGTTATGACTCATTTGTAGGTTTTAATTTGAAATTTCTTTCATGTATTCTAAGTGATAATTGTACTGGGCCATTGAATAAGAGCGTTAAGTGCTGCATTGTCAGTAAATTATTCCTCCTTGATGAGCCTAGAAAGTTTTAAATGTCTCTTGTTTTACTACAAAGCACTTGTAACTTGTTACTAAATACTTTGAAATTGAGGAAAAAGTATTCGTTTAAGATAAAATATAATTTATTTATGTCATACTTTCTATATATGAAAAGAGATTGTTCAAACATCTTTTTTGTTGAAATACAGGGACCTTTTAAGGCAAGGCAGTTTGTTGACAGTACTATGATAGGTACAGGGCTCACACCAGAGGGGATTTTCCAGAATGAGGTCATGTATGAATTGATGAATGAAAATGCTATAGCTTCAAGTCCAAGAAATTTAACTAAATGGTGAGTTAGCTTTTTGCTTGTTTGTTTGTTCATTTGTTTTAATTTGATCTTTATCCCATTAAAGATTTATAATGGGTGTGCCCTATTTTGAATTAATCTGCTCATTTTTAGCAAAAGGGTTTTTATAATCAAAATAACAGTAAGACAAGATTAGAATTTTCCAATGTGCAGGAAGGCCTAGCTCTATATGGTTAGCCTTTATTTCTGCTTGTAGGCAAATATTTTACATCATTTACATGTCCGTGTCAACATCACTGTCGCATTTTGGTTAAGTTTTTGCCTACAAGTTGGTATTTCAAAAACCGTTGAAAGGGAATAAGTTGAAACTTTACACAATTACCTAAGAGCATGATGGGAGGTCGCTATCAAAGGCCCATAATTCTGACATGGATTTTGACCAAATGATGTTCCTTTTGGAATTTACAAAATTCTACATTTATGATTATCCAGATTTTACTATCAAGCACTGAAAATAGTCGAGTACACTGTCCTATGTACAGCTTTTGTATTTAATGTATTTACATGAATTCTCATTGAGAAAGGTCCGCATGGGTTCAAATCCTGTCAGGGGCAAGCCGTTGTTTCCTTGAGCAAGAAACTTTACATTCATTGCTTAGTACTGGCTGGTTCCATGAATTTATTCGAAAGTGTTTCAATGAGCTTATAGATTCCAACACAATCAAACTAAAATAAATTTGTATAAATTAATTTAGGAAGCTATTGAGCAAGCTTTTGTTGGTTGTTGTACTCAGATGCCACCTCATGAATACATGGTCTTCTTCCAACAATGGAAGCTGGGACCTTAACAGTGTTGGTGTGACTAAAAACCAACCAAAATAAATAAAACTAAATGTACTCAGTAGAAATATTTGCATTCTAGGTTTTCTGACTATGCCAGGAACCGGTATGGAAAGTATGATGTAGACACAGAAAAGGCATGGCAACTGTTAAAGGTATATTTTGTTCATTTTATCAAGTAACTTAGGGATATAAAAGTACTTTTTTATGAGACAAATTTTAATATTAATTCTCATATAAATAACTGCTCAAGAAAAACTATAAAAGATACTTAAATTGAAATTTAAATCAAATATAAAATATAACTGTCTTCAGGGCGATATTTCATTCAGGTGCCTGTTTGTTCCTGAAATAAATCAGGTAGGGGTATTTAGATTCTTCATGTCTTTTATTTGAATAACAAAAGATTTAACCACAAACGTTGACGTGTTCTTTTGTAAACAAATATGTTGTAGTAAAATTTTTATTGTAATATATTTATCTAATGATTCAAATCAGACAGTTAATGGTCAAGTACAGATCTATGCATAAAGACAGAAAGCCCCCATATGACTTTTACCACAGTTTACAGTTTGACTTAAAATTCAATTTATTGTCTATTTTTACCCCTCACTATTTTTGTAATGTTAATTTCCCATAAGCCATCGGGAGTTATTCTTACTGTTAACAGTTTATTCAAGTGTATCATGTGACTAAAAATTTTCACATTAAAAATCTGTCCCAATGAAGTATTTGTTAGGTGTAACAAAATAAATAACACATAGGTTTGTGAGTAACAGCAAAAATATTATACCTTGTAAAAATACTGTTACCCTCAGCTAATGCCTTGTGTAACAGTATTTTCCTGAGGATAATATTTTTGCTGTAACTCACAAACGTCTGTGTTATTTATGTAATATTTAAATTAAAATTCAAATAATTTTATTGTGTCAATCATACAATATATGTTTATTGCTTATATAGAAATATAATAGTATAGTAATATACAGGGCATGAATAGCCTAAGACATGTTATATTTTACAAAATGTTCACATTTTATTTGCATATTGTCTGTTGTCTAACCCATTTGTTAAGGAGATAATACATTCTCTATCTGGCAGACTTAAGTATGTAATTCTACTTTGCCATCAGCTTGAGTTTGATTATTGTTGGTGAACAATTCTAAAATCTGAGACATCTGAAAATGCTGAAAAAACTGATATAAGCTCGAGTCTTCAATTTGTACTTCGCAGAAATATGCCTAATGGTGGCAGTGGCAAGGTTCGATAGGCTGAAACCAGGATGTTCTGTCTTTATTAATTATTAATGTATATTGCTTATAAATGTTCTTTTGTAGGCTACAGTGTATAATTGCACTGATAATCACTCTAATGGTGGGTCACATGTAATACCCACTAGGAGGCCAAAACTATCATTACGGCCAGAAGTGAGTTATTAGATATACTGATTATATGATAGCTGTGCTTTATTGTTATATAAATCATGCACCCTAAAAAACTGAAACAACAGAGTAGTGTGGTGTGATAAGCTGTACATAAGTGACAGGAAGTGTCATTATCATATACAGTACAACCTGGACAGAATGGCCCTCTGTAGAGTAATAATCTCTGAACATCAACATTACCTTTTCTTCACAAAGTTAAACTTTATAAAAATAACATTTTAGAGGAAAATCAAGCATCACTAAAATGATACCCTCTTGGCAACAACCAAAATCTGTGTCTTCCAAAGTGAAACCTCTGCAGAGGTTGTACTGTATGTACCTTTAACACTATTTTGTACTATCACACTATTTATAAACTGCACATTATATCCTAATTTAACTGTTTATTTTCCAATAGATTCACGAATTAAATGCACTTATATCACTTAAAGAAATGATACATGTCAAATTATGGTTGCTAAGCAAAGTCGAGAAAGGTTTAAAAGTTGTACACACTACAGAATCTGTTCTTTCAGTTTTGAAAATGCTTCTTTTTATACTAATACTTTCAGAAGATGAAAAATGTCACTTTGAGGTTTTGTAATTAAATTAATAAAGTGAGTTGAAGGTCAAGCACTCAATATCTTATAAAACTGTTAAAGCCTTTTTTTACAAATTGAAAAAAGATCATTTTCATCTTCTGAAAAATTGTTAATTATCAAATTGGTCATTTTGAGATTTGTGCTTAAAGATAACCATTCAGGTATTAAGTAACTAATATTTTAGATCTGAGAGACATCTTCATGTACAATATAAACGTGTTCTTGGAAAGGTTTCAATTGATCATATAATTACTGGTATGTCCTTAAACCTATCCTTCATAGCAGCATCATGCTTTTTGACTGATTTCTTACATATTTAATAATTATGTTGATACTTTCCAAGCACTTTCACATTAGATTAGGGTTTCATTTAAATTGGGTCAAGGACACTCAGACTTAAAGTTACATTTGTATTTGTTTTTGTAAATGATCCAGTGGAATAAGTTCAAACTGGAATAAACTCATAGTATTTTTTTGGCATTTTTTACAGGGATCTGATAATTACTGCTTTATCCAGTCTAAAATTCCAAGTCACTGATTGGTTACTTCAAAGCTCATTTTTCAAATTGACCAATTGTGTTTTTTTTTTCTTCTTGTAGATAGGTTTTCAACTTTATTTTTTGAACCTGGAAGTGGAAGTGGCAAGCAGGAAGTTTCTAAGCTTTACTTCTTTTATGTTTGGCAAAACACTTTTTTATGTTAAGCAAAACACTAGAGTATTTCTCTCTTTTTTCTGTTACACAGATTAGTGTGTATAACAATACAGATATGCTGAAAGATCATAGTAAATATGTCATACCAACTTCTAGACCCAGTCTGAAGCCACATATACCAGATGTAAGCTATCTTAATCTGCCTTTCTCTGTTCTAAGCTATATCAACATAGTTCTTATGTAAAGTTGCAAATCCTCCTTGCTAGACATGTGCAATGATCTTGTTCTACTTTAAACTTGATAATTCAAGTGATTTTAATACGAGTTGAAACATATCTATTTTAGCATGTTTATAATGGAAGTTTGTAGCTTTCTGGGATTAATCAGAACTGATGTCATATGAGGAAATAACCAGTGCTGGTGTCATATGAGGAAATAACCAGTGCATTGCCATATGAGGAAATTTCCTGCGCTTTTGTCATGCAAAAGGTAGACCAGTACTGGTGTCAGAGGAAATAACCCATACTGGGGTTATGTGAGGAAATATCAGTGCTGGTGGTGTCATATGAGGAAATGAGCAGTGCTAATGTCATATGAGGAAATAAGCAGTGCTTATGTCATATGAGGAAATAAGCAGTGCTGGTGTCATATGAGAAAATAACCAGTCCTGGTGTCATATCAGGAAATAACCAGTTCTGGTGTCATATGAGGAAATAACTAGTGCTGGTGCCATATGAGGAAATTACCAGTGCTAGTGTCATATGAGGAAATTACCAGTACTGGTGTCATATGAGGAAATTACCAGTACTAGTGTCCTATGAGGAAATTACCAGTACTGGTGTCCTATGAGGAAATTACCAGTACTAGTGTCATATGAGGAAATTACCAGTACTAGTGTCATATGAGGAAATTACCAGTACTAGTGTCATATGAGGAAATTACCAGTACTGGTGTCCTATGAGGAAATTACAAGTGCTGGTGTCCTATCAGGAAATAACTAGTACTGTTCTCATTTTAGGAAATAGCAATTATTGCTGCCATATGACAAAAACCAGTACTGGTGTCATATGAGGAAATAACCAGTGCTGGTGTCATATGAAGAAATAACCAGTGCTGGTGTCATATGAGGAAATAACCATTCCTGGTGTCATATGAGGAAATTACCAGTACTGGTGTCATATGAGGAAATAACTAGTACTGTTGTCATTTTAGGAAATAGCCATTATTGCTACAATATGACAAAAAACCAGTACTGGTGTCATATGAGGAAATAACTAGTGCTGGTGTCATATGAGAAAATAACTAGTGCTGGTGTCATATTAGGAAATAACTAGTGCTGGTGTCATATGAGGAAATAACTAGTGCTGGTGTCATATGAGAAAATAACTAGTGCTGGTGTCATATTAGGAAATAACCAGTGCTGGTGTCATATTAGGAAATAACCAGTGCTGGTGTCATATTAGGAAATAACTAGTGCTGGTGTCATATTAGGAAATAACTAGTGCTGGTGTCATATTAGGAAATAACTAGTGCTGGTGTCATATTAGGAAATAACTAGTGCTGGTGTCATATTAGGAAATAACCAGTGCTGGTGTCATATTAGGAAATAACTAGTGCTGGTGTCATATGAGGAAATAACTAGTGCTGGTGTCATATGAGGAAATAACTAGTGCTGGTGTCATATTAGCAAGTAACCAGTACTTGTGTCATATGAGAAAATAACTAGTGCTGGTGTCATATTAGGAAATAACCAGTGCTGGTGTCATATTAGGAAATAACCAGTGCTGGTGTCATATTAGGAAATAACTAGTGCTGGTGTCATATGAGGAAATAACTAGTGCTGGTGTCATATGAGGAAATAACCATTCCTGGTGTCATATTAGGAAATAACTAGTGCTGGTGTCATATTAGGAAATAACTAGTGCTGGTGTCATATTAGGAAATAACTAGTGCTGTTGTCATATCAGGATATAACCATTTACTGGTGCCATATGAGGAAATAACCATTCCAGTACAGTTGACATATGAGGAAATAACCAGTACTAGTGTCATATGAGAAAATAACCAGTACTAGTGTCATATGAGAAAATAACTAGTGCTGGTGTCATATGAGGAAATAACTAGTGCTGGTGTCATATTAGGAAAAAAACAGTACTGGTGTCATATGAGGAAATAGCCAGTACTGGTGTCATATGAGAAAACATGTTTGTTTCCTATCTTTGCCTTAGTTTATAATCCATCTGCATTAAATAATAGGAACTAAAACTCTATATAGAACAGTAACATTTCTCAAAAAAAAATTAATTGCTTTTCTTATCAACTATTAACATAATTATTTCTGGTATCTTCCATTATAGACTAATTCACTTTAAATATACCCTGTACTATTCTTTTCTGTGCTAAATATCCAGTATCATGGACATTGCCCGTTTTTGGATTTGATCATTGATCACGGGTGTTCGCTGAATAATATCAGCCTGGTCACACTGCACAGATTTAATAGCTGGTTTCTGATCTATTGTTCATGTAGTTCTTAACCCTTACTACACTAAATAGCTGAAATGGACTCGTCCATCTTTCAATCTGGACAAAACCAGTCATCACTGTTAGGAAAATCTTCAAAATAAGAACTGACTGAATAGCAAACAGTGCAGACCATGATCAGACAGCATGGATATTATCTCCTGATATTGATCTGCACTGGTTACGTTGGTATAATTAGTTGCTGGCAGCAGGTTAAAGGTTAAAATTCTAGGGAGGTTTTAAAATTAATTTTTTTTTAACAAATTATAGTATTGTAATGTAAGCAGTGAAGTTGGTTTAAATGCTGTAATATTGTTGTTTTAGCACATTCTTTTGGTTTTTAGCTCAACTATACGAAGTATATGGAGAGCTGTCCTACTCGCCCCGGCGTCCGCGTCCGCGTCCAGATTTTAGATTAAAGTTTTGGTGCAGTAAAATATTTTTCACTATAACTTTGTCATTTCTTAAGGTATCAACTTCAAACTTCAAATATATGTTCCTTATCATCAACCACATCTTATGTGACAAGGTTCATAACTCTAGCACCAATATTTTCAGATTTATCTCTCCTTGAACTTAGAATTTTCCTTAAAAAATACTATTTTTTACTGATACTTCTTTATTTTTTAAGGGATCAACCTCATACTTCAAATATATGTACCTTATCATCATTCCCATCTTATGTGACAAGGTTCATAACTCCAGCACCAATATTTTCAGATTTATCTCCCCTTGAACTTAGAATTTTCCTCAAAAAATACTATTTCTTACGGTTTCTTCTTTATTTCTTAAGGGATCAACTTCATACTTCAAATATATTTACGTTATCATCATCCCCATCTTATATGACAAGGTTCATAACTCTAGCACCAATATTTACAGATTTATCTCCCTTTGAACTTAGAATTTTCCATACAAAATATTATTTTTACTGTAACTTATTTATTTCTAACGGGATCAACTTCATACTTCAAATATATTTACGTTATCATCATCCACATCTTATGTGACAAGGTTCATAACTCTAGCACCCCAATATTGCAAGAATTATCTCCCCATAAACTTAGATTTATTTACTAGAAAAATGTTATTTTTTATTTTAACTTTTTTATTTTGAAAGGTATCTACCTCAAACTTCAAATACTTATTCCTTATCATCAATTACATTTTATGTGACAATGTTCATAACTCTTGAAGCAATATTTACAGATTTATCTCTCTTTGAACTTAGGATTTTCTTTAAGAAATATAATAACTTCTTTATTTTTTAAGGTATCTACTTCAAACTTCAAATATATATATCTTATCATTACACAAATGTTGTGTGGCAAGGTCCATAACTCTAGCATGACTATTTCTAGAATTATTCCCCTTGATCTTGGAATTTATGTTAACAAATGTTATTTTTTTACTATAACTTAATACATAATTATACATAATTGATTTTTCTTTCATAGTTTTGTCCTCCTTACTGCGTCCAGTATTTTATTAGTCGAGCTTCGCTGTCTCCTGTGACAGCTCTTGTTAAACTTCCAACGGGATATGTAACTTCAAATGATATAATTTAATTTACCAAAAAATATATAGATTCTAACATGTTTGATATAGGTATAAAAAGATGTTTTTTCATTTATTTATTTATTTATGTACATTTTTTATAGTATTAAATTTGCTTAAATTTTAAAATAAACCATGAAACTGTATTAGGACATAAAGATGAAACAAAATAAACCCCCAAAAACATATCGTACTAACTGTCCCTATTTTAATCCAATTATTTGTCTTACATTTGTTAGTCTTCTTTTCTTAAAAAAATATATAATTTTTTATACAGTATTCCAAGAAAACTGTTATTTAATAGCAGATCAACATGTTACTCATCTTTGATCAATAAGAAAAACGTCGTGTAACTTTAATAGATATAATTACAGCATATTATTATATCTTTCAGTTTCTTTATGCTTATGATTGTATGAAAAAGCCTCAGTTTTAAAGTACATTGTATTAAAGAACTTTCTGTTGTCTTAATATTTGCATATAAATAAATAGAAAATGATTTAAATTATAATAGTTAATGTATTCATACAGCTCTGTGAATGGTTTAGCCTATTCTATGCTTAAAATCTTTTAATAAATAGACTTGTCCATATTTCAATCTGGACTAAACCATTCATCTTTTTGAGGGAAATTTTTAAAATATGTACTGATTGAATAGAGACATGTGAAAAAATCTTTTAAAACAGAACAAGTTAAACCTATTTGAAAATAAATATCATTTTTTTTTGTATTGAAGAATGTTAAGTATGTGTAAGGACTTTGTGTTTATTACAGATTTGGTATGACCCTCAACAGCTTTACACTGCCTGGGGTCACATGGTCAAAGCTTCAAGTAAATTGGGTTCAAGTACACTATTCAGGTAAGGAATTTTTAAAGATGAATGTTTGCCAGTTTAGAGCAAAATTCTGTTCTATTCCAAGTTTTAGTTTAAGTATTATATCTAATAAGCCATATTCATTATAATAATTATATTTGAGATTGATACACATAATTGATTTTTTATGATAGGTATGACCTTGTTTATATAATGAACTATGACCTTTAACAGCTTTGACTTTGTAGATATAATGAAATATGACCTTGAAATACTGGTGTAACCTTGCAGATCATAATGAGTATCAACACTGTTATACAGATATGACCTTTTAGGAATAAATAAACTTTGACCTTATACAGGTATGGTTTTGTAATAATGATGAACATGAGCCTTGGTATACAGGTTTGACCTTAATGATAATTATAATGAACTCTGACCTTGAATTGTAAATATGACATTGTAGATGTAACAAACTATGACCTTGTATTACAGATATGTGCTTGCAGATAATAGTGAAGAATGACCTTAAAGATATTATTGAACTATGACCTTGAATTGTAGGGATGAACTTGCAGATAATAATGAAATATGCCCTTGAATTACAGGTATGACCTTGTAGATATTGCCAGAAACAGTCTTCAGGTTATTTCAACCAAGTTTTATACAGAAATGATAGCTGCTTATAAAAACAAAGACATGGCAATGTTAAAGTAAGTGTTAAGTTTTTTGTACTTGCTTGTTAAGAGTTTATAATATGTATAGTAAATTAAAAGTTTATGCCATTAACTTCTTTATAAAGACTGAACAACTTACCCAATATTCTGGAGGCAATACAAAACACCTTCTGAAATATGATTGTAAACTCTATGATTTCCTGTATTAATGGCCAAAGTTTAATTAATGTCCCTGTAATGACCAAAGTTTACTCTATGAATTCATGTAAAGTTTATTAAAATAGACTTTAAGGGCCAAAGTTTACTCGATGTGCCTTCAGTGGCTAAAGTATCCTCTTTTAGCATGTAATAGCCAAAGTTTACACTATGTGCCTGCAATGGCTAAAGTTTCCTCTTAGCCTGTAATGGCCAAAGTTTACTCTATGATTCCCTGTTATGGCCAAAGTTTACTCTATGATTCCCTGTTATGGCCAAAGTTTACTTTCTGAACCTGTAACTGTTAAAGTCTCAGTAATGGCCAAATTTTCTGCATGTGCCTGTAATGGGCAAACTTAACACTGTTAGTCCTTGTAATGACCAAAGTTTACTGTATGAGCTAGTGTTACACACCTCCTCTATTGTTTGTGACAGGTCTATATTTTTCGGATAGACCTGTTTAAACAAAAGAAAGTCCGTTATGAGGTCTATCTTTTGCACGTGCACAGGTCTGTTCTAGTTAGACAGACCCGGTCATGAAAAACACGTGAAAAAAATAAACCTGCCAATGCGCAGACAAAGAAAACATGAAATGTAATCAAAAATTAAAAATTTAAATAAAATGTAAATGATTGTCATAATGTTCCTGTCTTACAAACTCAGCATACATTTTTAGCTCACCTGTCACAAAGTGACAGGGTGAGCTTTTGTGATCGCTTTTCGTCCGGCGTCCGGCCGGCGTCCGTAAACTTTTACTTTAAATGACATCTCCTCATAAACCACAAGGCCAATTTCATCCAAACTTCACAGGAATGTTCCTTTGGTGGTCACCTTTAAAAATTGTTCAAAGAATTTAATTCCATGCAGAACTCTGGTTGCCATGGCAACCGAAAGAAAAAACTTTAAATATCTTCTTTTAAAAAACCATAAGAGCTAGAGCTTAGATATTTGGCATGAAACATCTTCTAGTGAGTGTCTACCAAGTTTGTTCAAATAAAAGCCCTGGGGTCAAAATTGGCCCCGCCCCGGGGGGTCATTGATTTTCCCTATATGCATATAGTAAAAACTTAAAAAATCTTCTTTTAAAGAACTCAAAGAGCTATGGCTAAGATATTGAGCATCAAACATGTTCTAATAGGTGTCTACCAAGTTTGTTCAAAGAAAAGCCCTGGGGTCAAAATTGGCCCCGCCCAAGGGGGTCATTGATTTTCCCTATATGCATATAGTAAAAACTTAAAAAAATCTTCTTTTAAAGAACCAAAAAAGTTAGAGCTAAGATATTTAGCATGAAACATGTTCTAATAAGTGTCTACCAAGTTTGTTCATTTAAAAGCCCTTGGGTCAAAATTGACCCCGCCCCAGGGGGTCATTGATTTTCCCTATATATGCATATAGTAAAAACTTAAAAAATCTTCTTTTAAAGAACTCAAAGAGCTATGGTTAAGATATTTAGCATCAAACATGTTCTAATAGGTGTCTACCAAGTTTGTTCAAATAAAAGCCCTGGGGTCAAAATTGGCCCAGCCCCGGGGGTCATTGATTTTCCTTATATGTGTATAGCAAAAACTTAAAAAAATCTTTTTTGAAAAAACCCAAATAGCTAGAGTTAAGATATTAAGCATGAAACATCTTTTAGTGAGTGTCTACAAAGTTTGTTCAAATAAAAGACCTGGGGTCAAAATTGGCCCAGCCCCGGGGTCATTGATTTTCCTTATATGTGTATAGCAAAAACTTAAATCTTCTTTGAAAAAACCCAAATAGCTAGAGTTTAGATATTAAGCATGAAACATATTCTAGTAAGTGTCTACAAAGTTTGTTCAAATAAAAATCCTGGGGTCATAACTGGCCCGGCCCCAGGGGTGTCATTGTTTTTAACTATATGTGTATAGTAAAAACTTAAAAAAAATCTTCTTTTAAATAGCCCAATGAGCTAGAGCTTAGATGTTTAGCATGAAACATCTTCTTATGGGTGTCTACCAAGTTTGTGCAAATAAAAGCCCTTTGGTTAAATTGGCCCTGCAACGTTTGGGGGTGGGGGTGGGGGTTGGGGGGACTATATACAGGTGAGCGACCTCAGGGCCATCATGGCCCTCTTGTTTAAACAAATTAATGTTTATTGAATGCACTAATCAATTCCAGCAAACCCTATTTTAAATCTTTGAATAAAAAAATAATGGATATCATATCAAAGTTAGGACACATTCAACATTAATTTAATCGCGTCATTTTTCAAAGTAATTGTAATCTTAGTGGTTTTTCTGTCATTAAACAATTATATAACAAAATAGACGCTTGAAGTTCATATCAATGAAACTATATAGCAGTTATCACATCATACTTATTACGATTAAAAATGTTAATAAAGTGAGATAAGTTATTTAGTATAAAACATTTATGATGAAAGAGCATATTTTATTCTAGAACACTTTATAATCTACTATATAAAATATAGTTTTGGTTCATATATCTCACACTTGCCACCAATATACATATGTAAGTCTTTCGTGGTCTGCTGGGTATTCGGACATTGCCCTTCGGACAGTTGCCCCCTCGGAAGTTTGCCCCCTTTTTGCAGTGGCGGACATTTGCCCCCTCATATCATTGGAAGGGGCGGACATTTCCCCCCTCCCTGTTTTAAAAATGTTAAAATATTTTATTGTTTAATTGTTTGCTACCAAAATTCATCGCCTATTGTCGAAATTTCATTGTGCTTAAATACACAAAAACTCTCACGCAAATTTTTGAAAGTCAAAATAGCATCCATAAATAAATGTACTATAATATTTCCATTACTGAAAATCTATACATGAGATGACAAGTGGCAAGTTACAACAGCAAAAAAAGGGGGGGGGGCAACTGTCCGTTGACAAATGTCCTAGAATCTGCATTGTATGATACGCAATACTATCAATATAATTATTCATTCTTTAACATACCTTCTATTACAGATCTATTCATTTTATTATTGAAAATTGCACATTAAGCTTTTTATGCCACCGCAGCATCTGCGATGCGGTGGCATATAGCGATTCACCTGTGTGTATGTGTGTGTGTTTGTGTGTGTGTTATATTGATTATATAGTGAACTTAAAAAATTCTCTTGTGAAAAACCACTAATCCAATTTCAACCAAACTTGGCAGGATTGTTCCTTGGGTGAAGGGCTTCCAAAGTTGTTCAAAGAATTTTATTTCATGCAGACATCTGGTTGCCATGGCAACCAAAAGGATTTATAAGAATAAATTTAAAAATTTCTTCTTGTAAAGACCCAAAAAGCCTAGAGCTTAAGGCATTGTCTGGTAGACCTCTAACAAGATTGTTCAAATTATAGCCCTGGGGTCAAAATTGGCCCTGCCCCGGGGGTCATTGATTTTCACTATGTACATATAGTAAAAACTTAAAATACCTTCTTGTAAAAACCCAAAAGGCCTAGAGCTTAGATATTTTGCATAAGGCATCGTCTGGTAGACCCTTACAATGATTGTTCAAATTATAGCCCTTGGGTCAAAATCGACCCCGCCCCGGGGTCATTGATTTTCACTATATGTACATATTGTAAAAACTTAAAACACCTTCTTGTAAAGACCCAAAAGGCCTAGAGCTTAAATATTTTGCACAAGGCATTGTCTGGTAGACCTCTACCCAGATTGTTCAAATTATAGCCCTGGGGTCAAAATCGGCCCCGCCCCGGGGGTCATTAGTTTTCCTTATATGTATATAGTAAAAACTTCAAAAAATATTCTTCTAGCAATTGACAAATGCTAGAGGTTAGATATTTTGCATGAAACATTGTGTAGTAAACCTCTAGCAAGATTGTTCAAATTATAGCCCTGGGGTCAAAATTGCCCCCGCCCCGTGGGTCATTGATTTCAATATATACATATAGTAAAAAATAAAAAAAATCTTATTGTCTGAAGGTGCAAGGCTTAGAGCTTTAATATTTGTTAAATAATATCATCTAAAGGTACTCTACAAAAGTTATTCAAATTTTGCCTCTTGTGTCAAAATTAGCCCCGCCCCCGGGGGCCATAGGTTTTCCTTATATGTATATAGTAAAAACTTAAAAAATCATCTTCTCTAAATTTACAAAGGCTAGAGTTAAGATATTTTGCATGAAACATTGTGTAGTGAACCTTTTGCAAGATTGTTCAAATTATATATTTGTTTTGAAATGTTGTTTGGTGGACCTGTATCAAGATTGTTTTGAATTAAACCCTTGGGTCAAAATTATGCCTTGCCCCTACTTTCTTGTCCTTTGATGTACAGCAATGACATTTTGACCATGTGCACAGTTTTAGTTGTAAAATTTAATTTGATATCAGTAATCTAGATTTTGATGATGTGACCTACTTTCTTGTCCTTTGATGTACAGCTATGAAATTTGAACCATGCGGTGGCATAGCATTTTTCTCAAATGCAATCTTGTTTGATTATTATTTTAAAGAGAAAAGCAAACTTAAATGCAAAATATATATTGTATTTAAATAGTACGTTGATAAAAGCTTACCTGTTGTGTTAAAGCAAATATAGTTTTACGGTGTGTAAGTTGGATATCGACCTCGTACATCGATCTTTCTGTTTAGGAAAGACCTAGTCACGAATTTCATGAAACACCTCGAGCGCTACGCGCTCTTGGTGTCACATGAAATTCGTGACCAGGTCTTTCCTAAACAGAAAGACCTCGTACTCGGTCGATATCCTATACTTACATACCATGTTTACTATATATGTGTAATTAATTGCTACAATTTCCAGTGCAAATTCCTGCCATTGCCAGGTGTTACTTGATGAGTCTATTTCATTGCTTCACTACCTTGTGATTCTATTTTTAATGGCCTGATTTTGTTCTATATGTTCCTCACTCTATGAGTAACTGTAATGGTCAAGTTTTACTCTCTGAGTATATTCGATGGCCAAATTTTGCTATATATGTACTGACTGCTGTGAGTCTTTGTAATGGCAAGATTTTACTGTATGTATCTTAATGGCTATATTTTACTCCAATGTTTTAGATCAGCTGGAAGTGACCTTATTGAACTTTTAGAGGACTTAGAAATGCTACTTGCTTCTGATAAACATTTCTTATTGGGTACTTGGATCAGAGATGCTAGGAATCGGGGCCACACAGTGGCTGAGAAAAACTTGATGGAATATAATGCCAGGAACCAGGTTACTTTGTGGGGACCAACTGGCGAGGTTTTGAAATTTTATTTTTTGTTACATTTTTTTAGAAAGATTTTAATGTATACACTGGTTGGACAGATAACTTTTACACTAAATCAAATCAATATCTTAATTATCTTTGTGTATATTTAAAATATTGCCCCACATAAACAAAGTTTGGGTCAAAGACTAAATTTATGATACAAATACTACATTTGGCCTAAAACTATGTCATATTTGATGAAAGAACATTGGTATCATTTATTGTACATGTACTTAAAATGTTGAAACAAAAGAATGAATGTGTATACTACAAAAGTTAAAAAGAATATAATTTGAAATTCTTGCATAGGTCAACTAGGGGCACTTAAAACTGAAAGATTTGCAAGTCCTGCCATGTCATAAAACCTCAGTACAGTCCCTTTAAGATTGAGGTTCAAAACTGATTGTGGAAGAAACACTTAAATAAGAATAAGATTATTTTTTTCAAAATAAGAAGATTGAATGATAAGCTGTACATGTATCTTTATTTCAATGTTTATTTTTCAGATCAGAGACTATGCGGCAAAACAGTGGTCTGGACTATTTTCTGGGTTAGTATTCCCCCTGTATGTAAGCTTTAGCAGCATAAGTGCTGCATTGCATAAGCTACTTGTATAAGCCAGGTCAGAATGCCCAACTTAACCATTTGAACAGGTTCTGTACTGTTTAGTTGGCTGATCAATAGATTTGTGCAGACTGATTTGACTCTCTGATTTATTTGAACATCTGATTAATTTGAACTTTTGGATATTTAGAAAGCTCATAGTAAAAATGGACATAATGGTCAATTATTAATTTAAACCATCTTAACATGATAAGGATTTATCTAATTTTATTATGAGATAGACTGACACATTTGTTACATTTGTTTGTATTCAGGCAGACAGAACTTAAAAGTATCTTGTGTGTTTCAAAATCACATGTAAAAAAAAGAAGAGAAGCTATTTTACTGTTTCAAGCACAGATATAGATAATGGAGGATTATTCAAGTACAGAACTAGGCTAGCTATATCAATGCTGTCAAACTGTACATCATACTTCTGAATGCTTGATTTAAGTGGTTTGATAGAAGAACCTATTAAATAAACAAAGGATAGTTTTAAATTCAAAGAGGGGCATGTTTTGTAATGTGAAATTTACTTATTAAGAACAGGGAAGTTATAAAGTAGTGTTATTAGATCACTCGGAGAACAGTTACAGATTCCAGTAATGCATGTCTGTAACTTGTACTTAGCATTGATATTGTAAACAAAAAGAATAACCAAGTTAACCTTCCAGAGAAAGGTTGCAATAGGTTATCTGTAAGATAATCCAATATATGATTTTAAGATTTAATGCATATTGGACATAAGTTAACATTAATAATAAATTTTTCTTGCTTATTTTATACAAAGTTCGTTTTTCTGTTATTTTGCAATTTATATTGTCACGGACCTTAATTAACAATTAAGGTTCCTGATTGTGTTCATCTCCATTATTGCAGTATAAATGTACATGTGCATTAAGATATACAAATTCGTTTCAGATATTATACAAAGAGATGGCAGAGCTTCCTTACCAGTCTTTTACAGTGTGTAGAAAAGGTGAGATGTTTGATTTATTATTCTCAGTTCAAGCAACCAAAATTCAAATTCTAAAACCTAAATTAATAATACTAGTAATTATAATGATAAACCAAGAAATAAAATTTTGAATTTTGATTTCTTAACCTAAAATAATGAAAATCCATAATCAAAATTTAATTTCTTAACCTAATAAAGTGATAAACCGAGAATTAAAACTAAATCTTGAAAGTGTGTCTATAAGCTTATAGCTTACTACACAATCTAACTAAGATAAATTCTGTACAAACCAAAACTTAATTTCTAAACCTAAAATAAGTGATGAGATGAAAGCTTGCTGTTTAAATCTTTATTCTTTTATTTTCAGGGTGAAAAATTTAACCATAAGAAGTTTGAGATGATGGTACTGGAGACTATAGAGCAGCCATTTACATTCAGCAGGGAAGCTGTTCCTGACACACCAAAAGGTTAGTACCAATTGTCTCCTCATCTACATCGTTGAATATTGTTTATCATTAGGGTCCTGTGGAAATACCAGGAGCTGGATTATATGATTTTAATTGTGCTTCTAGGGCTATTTGAAACGATATATATATAAATAGATGTCTTTCATTGGTGTGATAACTAGTCATATTCATAGTATTATTCCTGCAAATATGTGATATATGTAATTAACATAATGTGCAATAGAAATTAATATTATTTGATCTTAGAAATTTAACATCCGTCCAATATATAATCTCTAAGTATGGACCTGAATGCCAGTTCTCAAGAAAATATATTCTTTACCATCAAAGGACCCCATTGGAAATAAGTTCTCTATTTTATATTGAACTTTCATGGGTTATCCTGTGTTGTATATATTGTCTTGAAGTCAATAAGATCTTTGATTTAATTATGAATGTAAAATTATTATTTTTCAATTAATTACTGTGTTAAAAACAATGTGATAGATATATCTGTGATAAATTGTCTTAATTTGTTTTGTAATATGACATATATATATATATACACAAATAAATCAATCAATCAATCAAAAAAGAATTATTAATAATCATATTGGTATCAGGCAAATTATGTTTGGTTCATTCTAGGATAAATACTAGAAAATGTAAAGAACTGCTAATTCGCAATGACCAGAAAGTCACTCACCAGTAAAGCTGGAAAGTCGCCATATGACCTATACAGTACTGTGTTGTTGCAAAGTTAAACCCTATAAAAAACAAATACAAAACAATTTGCAGTGGCACCAACTCTAGTTTTGGGATAAGATTTAGGAGTAACAGTAGAAATTAAAATATGATATTTGATCCTGACCGTGATTTTTGTGCATATGGGCACAGATATATAAACAATTTAGCTCCCATGATATGGGCCTAGGAGTTGTTATTATATTGCTGAAGTCATAATTTAATTTCATAATTTAAGTTGTATTCTTCTTGATAATTACCTGGATACTGTCATTTGTTTCAGGAGATTCCGTACAGATTGCCAGTAGTTTGTATCAGAAGTATTTACCCACAATGCAGTCTGATTTTTACCGCCATTTAAAAAGTTGGTCATCACAAGGGCTCAAGAAATACACAGCTGTATCACAGGAATGGGTGAAGACAAAATGGAAAATCGACAGAGCAACATTCCACGATATGCTTTAATGATGTATACATGTAAGAGCAACATTCCACGATATGCTTTAATGATGTATACATGTATGAAATACTCGACTGTGATAGATTTATATGAAATCCTAAATCATGTAAATCAATATTCATTGTCTGTATACAAGATTTATAACTCATGTAGCAGGGAACCAGTCTCAAGATGAAGCATTTGATTGGTTAATTCTGAAAACGGATTTGGAACTTTAACTTTATTTACCAACTTGCAATTTTTCAAACAGATTTGGACAGAGATTTTTCTTCAAGATTTGTTCTGTTCTAAAGTTTTGATTTTAATCGATTTTTTATAGGTACATGTATGTTAATATAGTTAAGAATGCTATTTTGAGAAAAAAATATGATAATGTATTACGTACGCAAATATTGAATTTATTATTTATATTATAATTTTCTATGCGAGTTAACAGGTTTTTGATATTTTGTATAATTTTTATTTTATATGTTGTATGTAAAGATCTGCCATATTTTTGTATTAAACTATCACAAAGGTATATACTTTCGTTTGTTTTATATTTTTCTTTGTATTAAGGCGGCACATCTAACCTTCTCTCTTAGATTCGGTAAAAAAAGAAGAAAATATTTAAGTACGAGTCACCAATTACGCTGGAATGTGAAAATAACGCACGATTTGTGCAATAAGTAACGCAGGATAGTGCAATAAAACGCAGTCAGTAAAACTGGCCATTATATTCTTTATTTAACCACCACCCCCCCCACACACACACACACACACACACAAAAAGGATTATCCTCATACGGCTGCAAAGACATTATACTTCATCCCTCACCAAGATATTTCCAAGAAATTGCTTTCTTTTCAAGATCATTCGTGAAAATGATGGTTTGACCACATTTTCACGTGTGATTTGAATTTTATAACCTTTAGATAACGTTTTCAGAGCTTGATAAATGACTGTTACCTGAAAGAAGTAGCTACACATTTAAAATAATCTGTCATAAAAGAGGGAAAATGAAAAAATATTTTTTGACTTCCATACAGAATACTAATTCACGATAACTGTACTTATTGCCAAAAAGCAACTGACGGAAAAAAGGTTCAGGTAATTGACCAGTGAGTAACTTTTTGGAATCTATAAATGTACACCAAATAAAAAAAATCAGAAATACAAACAAAAGTATTTCGGGAGCATATATAATGGACCTGCAATTAGTTTATGAAATAAAAAAAATATGACTTAGATAATTGAAAAAGTGTCGTTGATTGTTGTAATGTGAAAATCTGTGTCGATTGCTGTAATAATGGTCTTTTATTACGTAGCCGTGATAAAAATAGTAATAGAAAAAAGGTTTACTATGAAAACATTACTGGCGCAAAGAAAATGATATCAGAAAACCGTAGATATTCATTGTTGCAGTGAATATTTTATTTGTTAAGTCCCTGGTAGACATGAATCACCGTCGGAAATTCCATAGTTAGGAATATGCGAATAATAATGCTCAATGATAAACACTGGTAAATAAAGAATCGTTTGTAAATCTTTCTTTTTGTATATATTCTATATTAAGTGTAAATTTCTATTGCGGCGAAACGACATATCATATATGTAATTTTACATTTAAATGGTTCATAACAAACGCAATTGCAGTAAGCTCAAAATATGTTCTTTGTAAACAGAGAGATTTGAAAGAGTTTTCTACAGTAGCGATATTTTTGCATATGTAAAGACGGGAAATTTTAAATATTGCGGAGGATTTTCATAGACTTCGCATGGAATAGAATCATAATTGAAATACAGGACATTGAATGAGTCTGGGTTCAATACTAAATCTATTGGACCAGTTGAATGAATGTATATGATTTTATTCAAATTGTTCTATAAATTTAGTATTTAACCTATACAGGAATATAATATTCTATTAATCACCTACCAAAATAAAGACCGTTTAAAGTGAAAAAGAATCATTTTTTATTTACACACCTTAGTGTAAGGCTAATATTTATAGGGCTTCTATACATAATAAGGTTTTGTATACCGCAAATGACATCACCTCGAAATACATGCACGACCGTTGACGTCAGGTAACAACTTGTATGTTTTGCATGCCTGCAGATGAGCCAAAATATTTAAAGACAATTAAACTTGTGGAAAATGTGCGTTGATCTTAGGAAAAGTAAAAGGATTCAAGATACTTGTAATCATGTTCGTGCTATGTGCGGTTAATGACCAATTTTGCTGTATTTATCACCATATTTCTACTGTTTGGGGCTGGTTTTGCATATTTTGACCTCCTTTTTGTAATTTATATGGGTTGTAAGTGCCGTTTGCAAATGTGTAAATTACTTTCTTTGTTTACTTCTCAATATATACCTTTTAATACACTTTCATGAAAATTAGCATGAATCTGGAGGCATACTGCTTTAAAGGTCTTTGCACTGCTTGAAAATATGACATGTATGAAGTGGGTTTAATAAGTCTTAAGTGCAGTCCAATGTATATTGTACATGAATCTAAAACCGATACGATTTATGGACAATGTACTAGCATACTCGATATTACACAAGATAGTGTCGTATTAACAATTGGAATAACTTGCCATTATTAAAGGGCAGGTAAGTATGTCACAAAACAGTGGATTTCAATAAATATTGACCAAGACTTCTGTTTGTTGACTCTACGACTATACATAAACGTTTACAGCCACGTTATGGTATTATGTACATGTTTTTCACGCCGAGTTATATACTGAATAAGTCTTTACAAAGTTATATGAATTGTAAAAAAAATGAACTTTATTTAATGGAAAGATAAATAATTACAAAAGTACATTATTTGAAAAAGGGGTCAACATAGGTTTGAAAAGTCATCCAAAGATCGTCAGGGATAGAAAAGTTTACATGGTTATGGGTGTGTCTAGCTTGCATTCTGTTTTTTATTACCGATGTATCATATTTTAACATAGTGTACACATATGACTCCATTTTCAAAAGTTATTGCGCACACAATTATGCCCTCAAAAGCGTAAATAACTTGATCATAAATCAGACATAGTAAATATATATATATTTCTTTATTTCCTCCAGTTTTGAAGAGTACATACATATACAATACATTTCTTACAAAAAAGTACATAAATCATTACATGTACATAAATGTATGACTGAGAAACATAAATACATGTATAATTATATAAATGTAACAAATATTGAATAAACACAGAATTGATAAATAATATAAATAAGGTAAATAATTATTTAACATAGAAACAATATATACATATGAGGAAGCAAACGAAAATTTTGAAATATTGTTTTCAGCAATGTATCCTCTTGCTAAAGATTCTTATTGGAGCGAAACAAAAGTATCTTGGGAGGATAAACAATATAGATGTGCCTGTAACAATGGTTAATGTAACAAATATTGAATAAACACAGAATTAATAAATAATATAAATAAGGTAAATAATTATTTAACATAGAAACAATATATACATATGATGAAGCAAACGAAAATTTTGAAATATTGTATTCAGCAATATATCCTCTTGCTAAAGATTCTTATCGAAACGAAACAAAAGTATCTTGGGAGGATATACAATATAGAGGTACCTGTAACAATGGTTAATACATGTACGTATTACGAAATGAAACAAATACATGTATATTTTACATTCACAACCAGTTCATCGAATATACACATTTGATGAAAGCTTTGAAACTATACTCTCTAGTCTCGTCGCTTAGATAAAAAGATGTAAAACCACGAAACATTTCAATGATCTGCAGGTCAGGGGAAAGTGCAATTAGGTTTTGAAAAGTTTCTATGCCCATAATTTTTGATAATGTAACCCATAACTTTGCCCTCTTTGACTCATTTGAGGGGCAAAACAATAGAATATATTTACATATATCATTTTTCATTAGGTTACAACTTTTGCATCTCATATCATATTTCCTAGAAAAATATCGGCACATTAGAATAAACGTTGATGTACACTCTGCCTGTAGGTTTCTATAACTGCGACTGAAGTGCCAAAGAATACACGGTGAACAAGGAGGAATTGTTTCCAACTTTGATCGCATAGTACACGGTTTTTCCAATCAATCTCTGTAGAGCTATTGATTGTCGATTTGATCATTCTTTTCCAGGTACTAAGATTTGGGAATACCCCTGTATTTTAAAAGGTTATAAGGAAGCTTGTAAGGTTGTATTTACCTAGGATCATGTAAATATCTGGTAAGAATCCCTTTGTTTTCCTTGGGAAGAGCATAAATGACGATAACCTATGTACAAAAACTTCTTTTATTCGAAATTTAGTGTCTAACTGGCAGAGCTGGCCAAATAATAACAGTTTTCGTTTATCTATCAAATTGGCCATTGGTTGTATACTGATACAGCTCAGGGATATATCCGTCCTTGTATTTACTGGTATTGACTGAATGCGTTTTATACATTGGTTATGTAGTTTAATAAGGGGCTGTAACTGTGTCTCAGTAACTCCCGACCATAGCTCGCTTCCGTACAGAGCCTTAGGTAGCACAACTGACTCATATATTTTTTTGCATGTAAGAGGATGGAGGCCATTTCTGTAAATACCACAATCCACGATACTAAAAAAAGTTTTCCGAAGGTTATCGCAGCTTATAGAGATATTCACATCTATATCTAGAGTGTTGTTACATTGGACGCCTAAATGAAGGTAGCTATCCGTTTCGTTTATGGTTTTGTCTCCTAAAGTCCTGATTTAACATCGTTGAACACTATTGTATTACATTTTTGGGCATTATATAGATATCTTTCATTTATGGAGTTCCTATAACGTATGTCCATCAGAGTATCTAGACCGCGCTTTGTATTTGAAATAATAACCATGTCATCGGCGGAAGTTGGGCATCCACATTTTAAAGTACTTAATTTGAAGCAATGTTGACTACTGTCCACTTCTTCCATTAAGCTATTTATGAATATGAGATAGAGAAATGGACTGAGACATTGGCCTTGACGGGTTCCTTGCAAAATGGGGAACCAGTCTGACGTGTAACCTTGTGATTTCACGCAGCTATAGCAGTTTTCGAAAAATGACAAAATCACTTTAAATAGTGAAATATCAATACCCATTTTAAACAATTTAACCAGAAGTAATGATACCCAAGTGCGGTCGATCAAGAAAACAAGCATATACTGGGGAATGGTTTTCAAGACCATAGTATACACATTCTCTTAGCATAAAAGATGTCATTATACAATTTACATGTTTTTGAAAGCCACCTTGTGATGCATTTAAATTGACATTCCCATCCTTTTCAAGAAGTTCTAATATAACCTTTTCAAAAAGTTTTAATATCACCGAGCATAAAGAGATTGCTCGGTAGTTATTTGGATCTGATTTCTTCTTACCCTTGAAAAGGGTGAAAATTATACCTTTTTTCATTTCTAACGGAGTATGTGAAAACCTAAGCATGCTATTGAACAATTTTGCGATTACGTCAATAAGAAGTGGTCCGCCATGCATGATATTTTCATAATGAATTGAATCATTGCCACAAGCTTTGCGTTTTTGCATGTTTGCAAAGCTTTCCTTATCATTTCAGAAGTAATGTTTAAAGTAGTGTCATTTGAGCTTTCACAAAGCTTTTTTATATCGATAAGCTCATTTTCAACTTTTGACAAATAGCTTTTATATTAAAGCTTAAGTTTTCGTCAGGTGAGTATAGCTCACTAAAATAAGTTCTCCACTCAGTGTTTATTTTTTGCGGATCGCTGTATATCGTACCGTTAAAGCACATTTCAAGTCCAGGGTTTAAGGGTTTTTTTTATTTCGCCGGCGATTAATAAGACGCCAAAACTCGTTGTTATCGCACTCTGCGGCCGTATCAATTTCCGCTTCCTGTTCCTGCAAAAATGACGTTGCAGCGTCACGATGTGCGCATCTAAACTTAGTTTTGAGCGATTTGTATTCTTTAAAAGATATTGATTTTTCCGTTCTAGGTTTTCCCGCGCGTACCCAGTTATTTCGCTTTAATTTCACATCTTTGTGTAATGATGATAGCGTAGTATTCCAGTATGGTTTTATGTATGACTTAAATTTAACCTTTGGTATAAACAAATCTGTTGCAAGATTCACAATTGTAACAATACCAGCGTAAAGATCATCTATATCATTTTTATTATTTATAGGAAAATCTTGTGCATAACGCAGAACGTCGCAATTTTCTAAAAAATCTATATACTTGTTAACCTGGTCTTGTTTAACATTATGCCAGTTTATGATTTTACGGTCGCATGTTTGAGCATCCGAGAAGTTTGGCCTACCGTCGTACTCAATGTTCAATGTGCAAATGATTGGACGGTGTGTCGATACGATAAGCGCGTTGTCGTCAACAATTTGACAGTCTTTGACATATTGTACGTATGAATCTGGTAAGACTACATAATCTATCAAAGTTTCTCTGTTACTGTTATATGGAATGTTGCTGTACTTTGCTCCGCGGCAAGATTTTAAAGTATTTATGGTTTGAAGGTTATATTTCCTAAGTAAAGCGAGCAAAAGTGCACTTCTAGGGTTTTGTGGAATTGTGCTTGTTATTCGATCTGACTTGAGTTCTGTGTTATAATCCCCCATTACTATTAATGTGCCTTTGTCTATATACATGCAAATTATATTAAAGTAAATGATATCTAACTTTATCTGTTTCTTTTTTTACTTGTATACCAGATATAAATTCAACGGAAGCGGTATTGTTGAAACTTGTGTTTGAACAGACTGGCGGGCAATACCATACCACAACATTGCCAGAAACGTACTAAGGTCAGGGAATCTAAAACTTTATAAAACCAAAAATATAAAATGCTGGATATCATTTCCTAAAAACATACCTCTCACGTAAGGGAATTAGCAAATTGTTCAAAGGGCTGCGTTTCATGGAAATTCTTACATGTATCCCAAGTCCTATGACATAAAAGCAACTTTAGGACTAACTTAAGACCGTTTCAAAAAATTTCAAAGACTAGACTATAATTGAATTCATTTTCCTGAGAAAAGTTAAGAAATACAATTTCATTTGCAATGCGTATATTGCTCATCTGTATTTGCTATTCATAAATTAAGAGTCATAACATAGGAGTCATAAGTTAAGATGTTTTATTCAAAAGGCAAAATTGTCTCAGTTTTGGTCTCAGACTAAGGATTTTCTACGAAACGCAGCACAGGTGCCATTTATCGCACGGTCCACAATCAATTCGGTGGATGTCAAGATGAATATTTAAAGGAACTCCACTGATGCCCAAGAGCATAAAGACACAAAAAGAAGATTAACTGAAGATAAACCAAAGATAAACTGGGGCGCTTAAAACAGATTTATATCCAAAAGAAAATTAAGGATTATACTCAGGATTAAATTGAAAATCGTATTTTTGTTCTATTCTAGCCCGATCTGATTGAAAATCGATGCAACGCTTTTGAATTTTGAGTCATTTTTCGCAATTAAAATAATTATTCGGAAAATCGAGTAGGCGAATGATTAGAAAGTAAGCACACAAGTCATTGGTCTAGACCTTCATCAAATGGAAAGTTAATTTTCAAAAACTATTTATAGACCCGTCATGTTTAAAAACCTCAGTGGAGTCCCTTTAAAGTTGATCTGGCGGTCAACAGATGTGCCAATTGTCCTAGTTCTATATTGGTGAAGAAGGCGAAATACTGTCAGCTGCAGACGGGTATGGTTTAACAAAGATATTTACAAAATTGTTTCAGTTTATATAGTAACGTACTAAACTGTTTTCAGGTAATAAGTCACGTGTTGTTTTTGTATTTTATGCCATTATTATAATAGAAAGTTTGACCATTTTACCAAACAGTAAGTCCGCTAGGGTATCATGTTGTCTCTTTTGTCTCTACCGCTTCAATTTACAGCATTAGCGAATCGTGCTTGCAGTTTAAAGACTGTGAAGGGTTTGTATTAAAAAAAACAACAAAAAAAAACAAAACAAAAAACAAAAAAACAAAACACGAAAATATGAAAAGGTATAACGCCAAATTACACACTTGCAATTAGCTTTATTTTTGTCACATGAGTTAGTATTTGGTTATACCCCGTGCTTTTGATGTAATAGAAGATCAAGTTGTATTTAATTGGCCCTTACGTTGATACCACTATGAAATTTTGATAGAATTGTTTTAATTGATTCATTATAAAAAGTAATTAAAAGAAGAAGAAGAAAAAACTGGCATTTATAACAAATATTGATATTTTTTTATTTGTTACCTTCATTGGATTAAAAACTACTTAAGCATTCATTTATACTGGAATAAAATCGCCAATCAATTCTATAATTTAATTGGTGTACATTTTCACTTTGGTTGTTGCCTTTTAATGAGAAAAGTAACGAAACTTTGTCACAGTTAAAATGGATTTACAACGGACACTTCAAGTGTGTGGAACATTATCGTTTCTAATTTATGGTAATGCGGAGAACTTTTTTTTCATAATGTTTTTTTTTTTTTTTTTTTTTTTTTTTGGTCTTTCTATCGGTTTGGGTAAAAGACTTGGTTTTATAATTAAAGATTACAAATTTATTATTACTGATTATATATCACCCATCATCGTCATCATCGTCATCATCGTCATCATCATCATCATCGTCATCGTCATCGTCGTCATCGTCGTCGTCATCATCGTCATCGTCATCGTCGTCGTCGTCGTCGTCATCGTCATCGTCGTCGTCGTCATCGTCATCGTCGTCGTCGTCATCGTCATCGTCATCGTCATCGTCATCGTCATCATCATCATCATCATCATCATCGTCATCATCATCATCATCATCATCAATTTTGTAATTATCATTAAAATATTAGTTTAGAATTCGCTACAATTTTAAAAAGTGTAATTTTGTTTTAAAAAATAAATCTAATGTATTGATATTTTCGAAGCTTTAAAATTTTTTTTTCGAAGTTTAATTAGGTTTTTTAACAGTTACATGCCACGTGGCAACTACCTAACAAGTGTTCATAATTCACGTGCCAATAATGACCCGAAACAATGACATTTGATACATTCAGGCTACCAAATTCCGTCATGTAAAATGCATGGCATTATATACGACTAAATACTAGAAAACAAATGAATATCTTTGTAAAAAATATTCGCAATATACTGGTATATATTTTACTGATATTTAGATGTAGTTTTGTCATGACATGATTGTTTAAATACATGTATAAACCACCCCTAGTGTAACATCATTTATATTTCATTAAAGCTGCATACCTCCAGATGAGCCAAAATATTTCAAGAAAATCAAACTTGAGAATTATAAAACTATACTGAGAATTTAAGAAAAGTAAAAAGATTCAAGATATAAGTAATATTTTCTAATTGAGTGCGATAAATTACAGATTTTGCAGTATTTATCACTATATTTCTACTCCGTTACTAACGCAGTAAGCGCTATTTTGCATAATTTTTGTAAATTATATGGTGTTGTCTTTTTTAATGCATACATTATTTTTTTTTGTTCAAGTCACAATATTATACTTTTTAATACATTAAAATAATATATCACGAAAATTAGGAGGAATCTGGACGCGTGCTGCTTTAAAAGCACCATTGATGCTGCACTTTAATTACGGTGCTGCTATTATAGAGGAAGGAAACTGATTCCATTTCTTTTTTGGTCACGAAGTTTTTCGTTTCGCGGGACGAAAAGATACGAAAGAACACAACACGATACTTTTATGCCACGAAGATTTTTACGTGACACAGGGAGAAAAGATAGATACAGAAGAACGAAACACGACAATCTTGTGCAACAGATTTTTTTTCATGTCCGGGGGCAAAATGGTACGGAAGTTCGAAAACCCGATAACTGACGAGTTTCCTTGTTTCTTTGTTCTGGTACTTGTGGCCAGACCCCTGTCCGCCCCGCCACATGAGAGATCTGTTCATGTCACATCTGAGTCACCATACAAAAATAAAAACAAAAACAAAAACAAACGTGTGAGCGTTTTCCAAATAACACATGGGTAGAACACAAGCTAAAAATATATAATAGATATTTCAATTGTCAAGTGCCGTGATTTAATTACTTTTCAGAAGCAGTGTCTCTCTCCCCGCCGTCTTACATCAGCCAATGGTTGTTCATGGACTCGGATGACCCGGCAACAACCTTTCAGACCATACATCATGGGCTCGGCGTGCGTCCAATCATGGTTGAAGTTCAGGTAAAATATGAATGAATGTGAAGTACCTAAGTAATTTTGTAAATACAAATGTACTGTATTTAATTTTTGATTATTTATGCAAACTAAACAGAAACCTTGATGAATAATTGATAGACCTAACGTCTCAGCCAGCCTTGATCCCTTATTCAAAATGTTGGAAAATGGCACAAGTATGTTATACGTACCGACAATAAAAGAGAAGTCACACAGCGAAATTATTTTTACTTGTAAATATTTACTTTTTAAATATCGTTCACGGACTTATATCTTAAAGTGAGTTAGTCTACAATGGGCACATTTTCCGCAAGTATTCCAAATATTGATGCAAAAAAACATCAGAAATGTAACATTTAGATATTCCTTATGAACTATGTTTGGAAAACAAACTGTTGACGGTTCTGAAGTGATTTGTTATGAATTTTTATATGATGAACACTATTGTTTTTCCCTTAAACACTTTATTATCTGCTATATATTGATATATATGATCGGATCATGTATCTAACACTTACTAACAACATCCACATATAATTTCTTTCGTGGTTTGTAGTCACGTATGATACAACATACTATCAAAGTTATTATTTAGGTAGTAGAGATATTCTTTCATGATATTCCTTCATAGACCAATTCGCTTTAAAAGGATTTGTCCATGAAAGAATTCATCATTTTAAAGGTTTTTTTATGCTGGAAAGGTTGTGTCGGTTGATTTTTAACAATTGGTGCATTGGGTGCATAATTGTTAAATATATGTTTGAACTCGGGTAAATTATTAGCTAGAAAGATTCTTTTCACATATACACCCCTGTATAAACGGTTGTTTGGAAATATAACCGGTTGTATATAAATATTCATCTATATCATCTACGGCCATATAACTTGTCAGAAATATATATATAATGAATTTATATATTTATGACAGCAGCTGTATATTATTAGTTCTAAAGTTTAAAATAAACCTACAATGACATTGACCATCAAGGCCAAATAATTACATAAAAACTTTGTTATTAATGTTCATTTTTCCTTGAAATTTATCCTTGACGTAGAATAAACTTAGGATAACTTTTATTTATGGATTTGGTTTATTCTTGCTAAAAATAAACTACAGGATCAATCCTTCATATTAAGTACTTCACGATGACATTCACCTATAAGTCTTAATCAATGTTTTTGCATTTAATAAAAAGAAAAATGCGTACGTCTCTGCGGTGGCTATAGTATTCGTACCGGGATATTTAACGGAAGGCCAGTAGCTCTTCTTAATTAAGCTCCAAAATTGAGTCTAAAGTCACATATACACAGAATGACATTTTGATCTTTTTTACGCTAGAGTTAAAAACCGCCCTTTTATTGTTCAATAAGGAGCACATGTGATCAGTTATCAATGCAGGGATCGCTGGTTCGATCCTGTGACGAGGCAAAATGATCTGAAATTAAGTCAGAAAAAATGTAGAATTAAAAGTCGGTCACTTGAGAAGAATTTCGCCTTTACTGGAACTAAGTTATTAAGGAGCGAAGAAAGCTATGGCTATGTGGATCGTCCACCGAAATATGATTAAAATCTATGTTAAATGGACCATAAAACAGATAAACAAGCAAACAAATTTTATAATACTTCACTTTTGTAACGTCGCTTTTCATTTGATAATTGTGACGTTTATATTATTAGTTATAAATATTTTTGAATAGTTATATGGACCTATATAAACCGTTAATTGCAAACAAGCATTTATATACCGTCATAAAGCCTGTCTGGAAGATTTATAAGGAATTTATAAATCAGCAAACTTCCTGTTTTGAGAAAAAGTGAGATTTTTTCGAAAATTTACAGCAGTTGGGCATTTATAAACTATATAAACGTCACGATTATTCAATGCAAATTGACGTCACAAAAATAAACTTTTTTTAAAGAAATCTCACTTTTTCTATGAAAACGATACATTGTACTTGTTGTATTATAAATTCGTTATAAAGATGTTGGACAGGTTATATGAACCTTTATAAACATTTGTTCAGACATATAACCCGAGCCGCTATATGTGAAGATCGGCTTTTTGCGACGGACGCGCCCTCAGGCGCGTTCAGAGCTAAGTCATCTACACATGGGAATTCGTTGGCTACAATCGCGCAATGTGTCCTAAACCGATTAACAGCCCATGAAATAGTACATGAATTTGATCCTTCAAAACTCCCATACTTTGTCTGGATATCTTAATGTCTTCCATATTTAGCCTTTTCAATTTCAAATTAAGTTATCCAAGTTAAAATATGAACGTATATTATTGATAAAAACGTTGTAGTCCCGTAGTATTATTGCGCAATATGCAAATTACTGCTGAAACGATTTACCGCTGTCGAAAAAGTAGGACAGCAAATTATACTACAATAAAGGTGTAAGCTCTAAATCGATAAGGACACTGATTTACAAGTTTGACCAGAGTTTTTAGGCATAAATTTCATTCTGTATTTAAGTGCTTGAAAGTAGAAAATCTGAATTATATCAGTTTGGGACACAAAATATATTGCTCTACAAATCTCGAACTTGTATGGAACAAATTTTCTCTGTTATATATTTTGTGTTTTGTTTTTGTTTTTTTTTTTTTTCTAAAAAAAGCCTTAATGTCTCTCCGGTTGCATGTCCGTCGCATTCAGTGCTGCAGCACTTTGATTAACCGTAGTTCTAAAAGTTTAAGTCACACGGTCGTAATGTAACGAAAACCCAATTCGAATAACTGCTCGAGCGATCCGATAATGACTAAACTGTTTTAAGTGTCCGTGCCCTTGTTTGCTTGTTGTTATCGGCGTTTGCTGTCAATGTACTAAAAAAACTGAATTTCTTTTAAACGAAGAAGCGTTTAAGACATTCTATAGCATTGAAATAAAGAGTACTTGCTGACGCAGATTCTTGTTAAAGAAAATATATATTGATAATCGAAGAATTGTTACCGAATAAATTTGACTCAGTGAGCGATCTGTGGGGTTGAATTAGATACTAAATAAAGGAAAACTGCTAAATAAAATGTCAACTCTCTTCATAAATTTTTTTTTATTAAAAAACAAACAAACAAAAAAAAACAAACAAACAAAACAACACACAAAGAAAAAAAAACGTTACCCTACATTTCGTGCAAAGAAAGAAACGTTAGGCCTCAGTAAGAAGCATGTGAGAAGCAGACATCTGGCGTTTATTTTTAAACCATTTTATATAAGAAATGTTTTGCAAGTTATATTTATTCACCTTTTCGTATGAACTTGCACTGTACAGTAAAACCTCTCAATCAAGATTACCAATGTGACATGACTAATATACTCGTTTTAATAATAATAATAATAATAATAATAATAATAATAATAATAATAATAATAATAATAATAATAAAATTTTCATTTATAGAAGGTAAAATACAAAGTTCACAGTAACAAGTACACTTATTTTCAGTATGGCCTTCTGATTTAACAATAACAAAGAAAAGTTAACGAAATGTAGAATTATACAAATATTTAAAATCTTTTGGTATGTATAAAAAAGAAAACAAATAATAATGTTAAGGTTAGATAATTTTTATTCATTCATCCGACTGAATAGTGGATAATAATATGAAGGATTAGGTATCTTATGATTGTGATTTTTTTTTATTATTGTTATGTTATATTTACATGGTCAATACATATGTATCCCTATAGGAAAAAATACAGTGATGTATGACCTAATGAGGACAAAGTTTCATTCTGGAGGAAACTTTTATTCATACTAATTTTTTTATATGGCCGTGTTAGTATCTCATGTTAATCAGTATTCACATCATTTTATCAATTAAGAAATAGGGACCTATAGCTCATGACAAAATTAATGAGTAGGCAATTTTTTGAATAGCAAAATGCAAACACTTTTTTATTTATCCTTTCATCAAATATTTCTGACTCCATGATTTGTATAATTTTCCTAAAGCAACATTCGATATTTTGTTGCCGAGAAAAATCAAACGACGAAGAAACTTTGCAATATTTTTTAATGTTTAAAATTGTATTTTGTCCGATGAGATTGATCAAGTTTTCAAATTTCTTGGTACATTTAGTTAATTTAATCGGTACTAAGTCAAAGCCGTCCGGTTAGCTCAATAGGTAGAGCGTTGAGCTGTGAATCGGGCAATCCGGGTTCGATTCCCGGACGCGCAGGTAACTTTCGTTGTAAAATTCGCACTGTACCTCTGCTCTGTTAACTGAATTGTGCTCTGGTACAATCAATGTGGCTGACGGCCGTGTTTCGGATTGAAAACTACCACCCCCACCTGTTAACTCAGCGTATCGCACTGACATATTTCCAACCACTTAGTACATGTAGGTTATTTACCATTAAATCTGTTAAGCGACTGTGCCTGTTTTGACAGATATTGACCTACAAACTCTAACATATTTATAGAGGAAAACTTTTTCTTGCTTTGCCCTTTAAAACTAGTGGTATGTATTTTATAAGAAATCATATTATTTATCAATGTATATGTTCAAAACTGTCATCGTGATCAATCTCAAGTTTTCCAGGAAGACGTACTTTTGGATAATTTCAAATATTTTGGCGCTTCGGAGGACTCAAAAATTTAGTTATGTATAATATAGAGACCATATTTTTTGCTGATGATGTTTTAAGAGTAGACATATTTGTACATGTTTATCATTGGTAGATCTAGATTCTATTTATTTATCTATTATTTATTCATGCATTTGCACTTAATCAATATTTTTGATCGCAAAAAAAGGTAGATGAAACTTTCAAACACAAATTACATGTTATCAATCATTTATTTCATGCGTTTTAAATGACTGACTCTCAGATGATAATGGTCATGTTTTCAGGTCATGTCGCCCACGACGGGATTTATTTATCCTGGCGTGAAGTCAGCGTTCGCCGGAAATGACGACAACGAACGCGGAGGGGTAATCTCCGTTTATGACGACAATGACATCCGTCTTTACGGAGCAACTAATTCTGGTACACTGCAAGGGAAAGCTTACATCATTAATACAGGTTTCTTTTTTTGCTAAAAATATCATTTTCATTTCTTCCAATATTTTATCCCGACATTCACTCATTTTTACGAAAAAAAAAATCAAGTGATCGCATGCTTATAATATGATTGGCTCAAAGTGCCATGAAAAATAGCTTGTTACAATGACGGCTTATCAAAATATTATTATAGTACTATGCCAGAACCGGTTTTTTAAGAATAATACTAAGAAAAAAAACGCACGCACGCACACGCACGCACGCAATCGCGCACACACAAACAAAACAACAACAACAACAAAAAAAATCGACCCAAAAAAACCTCCACAAATAACGCAAGGCTAATGATTACTTAAATCTTTGTTTTAAACACCTTCAGAACCCCATGGACTTCATTTAAACCTCTCTCCGGACTGGGGATTTAAATGCGGCCTTGTCCTTATATATAGATGTTAACACATAAACCCTCTATCATTATCAACAACTACATGTTTTTCAGATATTGACACAATAGGTCAGAGAAAAAGAGATATTTTACAAAAATAAACTTGTACTTTGTTGAAAGATCGATGATTTCGTAAATGTAAAACTCGGCAATATTCCATTTGTACTTTGTTAACTTTAATATTGACATTAAGCGTGGTTAATGGTTAAATTTGGAATATTTTTACGTTTCGCATATGCAACAACTATACGATGACGACGATGTGTCTGCTCACCTACTCTCTTCAACATACGATCTAAATATTTAGAAACCAAGTTAAAGCGGGAATCATTCCTAAACAAATATACACTATGAAACCCTATGGTTTGATAAAGGCAAGGGCACTCGGTTTCGCATATGCTACAACTGTTAGGTACATTCACGACGGCGACTATGTGTCTGTCTGCTCACCTACTTTCTTCAATACACGATCTAGTTATTTAGAAAGCAAGTTCTAAAATAACCGGGAATCATTCCTAAAGAAATTTACATAATGGAACCCTATGGTTTTATATTGGCAATCGCGCTTTATGCTGTTTGAACTAAAAAGAGACATAGCTTTAAAATATGTAAATAGATTAATCTCTTCTCAAATATAGCTTGTACGTGCTACAAAAAACAGGAAACATTGAAAGCTACTGATTTCCCTTTATGTTAAGTCTATATGTTAAATACTGCTATATTCTTTCATATTCAATTCTTTATTGTGTTATTTACCGCCACCGGGCCATACTCAAACAGAATACATTACAAAATATCAATGTCTACAGATATATTACATTCTTATATGAATCGTTTTACATAAAACTTGTTTTTACTCTTATTGTGCTGACTTACAAAATTAAATGAGATAAAACAAAACAAAGCAAAATATTTCCCCTTTTATAGGAAAAATAATCAACAGAATGTTGGTACAATAATTTTTTGCACTAAGTATAACTTCATGAATCTAACCGGTGGAACAATTTGTAGAATTTCTTAAAATAATAATGTCATCAGTTACGTTTGCTCATTGACAGTTTTATTGCCAATGAGGTTCAATCGAAGCGTGGTTTTCGCTAGTTGGAAACATTATTATTTCAGGAGTTATTTCGTGGACGTCTGAGAACCAGGAACAAAGTACGACCGGATATGTTCGTGTCCGTGTCTGGCTCCCGAATGATTTACCGTCTCCATCTTATACAACCACTCTGAATATGAAAGCCGGAAACACGTGTATGTATATGAGTTCACTTTATTATTTAAACAGTTTTCTTCCTTTACTCTATTTAATGACAAGCTTCAATGGTTTTAAAAACTTCATGTAGGAAAAATGCTTAAATTGCAAAAAATTGCTAAACATGCTTTTCAATCATGGACAGTTCGGAATATTCAATTTATAAACATTACTTTAACAGATTGGAATGATTATGAGGAACGCTCTCACGGCCTTGGTTCGATACCCGTATTAACCATTGTGCAGTATACCCCGGCATGGACTGTGCCACTAACTGGATGGGTTTCGGAAGGAACAGGTATTTGATTACATTTCAATGGTATCTAAGAAAATGTAGAGGCACTCTATACAAAAAGATACTTATGTTGAGGTCGATATATGTTTTTCCGGACCTTAGAATGGTAAAATCAACGATAGTCCCATGACTATTTATATTTTTCATCTATTTTACACCTTATAAAATTCAACCAATACATTTTCAGCGTTCGAACAAGGCGATCTCCCAATATAAAATCATAATAGATCAAATATTATAAATTTAGCCTCGTTTTCATTTCATAGTTTTTATTTTCCAAATCAGATCCGTCTTGTCTCCAATCTGACCTCGTTTTCGTTTACTTAGTCCAAAAAATCTACATTTATTCCATATTGTACTCCGTCTTTGTCTCGTTTTCATATAATACTGATAGTGATGGACACTTATAGAGCTGCAACGCCTTGTCCAATATAGATTGAACAGGTGCGTACTATTGCAACAAAATAGAATAGTCAGTCATTAATAAAAAGTTCATAACCTCATGATGTTGACCGAAACAGCAAAATCATTTACCAGCAGCTATAACAGGGTATGTGTTTATCTTTTAAAGGATTTAATTTACCGTCATAATTTTAAAATTACTACTTACATATTAAAGTAAGACAGACTTTTTTCTTCGAGACGTTATGACCGAGAAACAGACCCCTGGCAATTCCTTTGTTAAATAATCGATCGTTAAGGTGGCCCGGGCAGCGCTTCGTAGAAATCTGACACAGTTAATAAATGGGCGACACAGGTAAGAAGGGCATATGAACTGATCTGTATGACAAACCAGCTTTATTAAGAATCAAAGGGCTGCAAGCTCTGTGGTATTTTCTGATCTTTGCAATCTAAATCGTTCTGTATATCTGTATGTATTTTCCTGTATAAGTTTATTTTTATATACTATAATTCATCTTGCAGGGCACCGAGATGCAGCGACTGAGTTTGATTTTTTTACTACATACGGAATTTTGCATGACTCGAGTTGCATCAAAAAATCATTTATGTTCATTTTTTATGACAGCCACACTTTATCCTTGCATATCGTGGCTACTTCCTTAAATAAAAAAATAGTTGCCTCGACTTAGACTCTCACACCCTAAACGAGCGCGTTACCCCTGCACCAAAAAGCAAAAACAAAACAAAACCCACAGCTAAATGTTACAATTATCATTTGATCTAGGTTCGAGTTCACGACCAATAAATAACCCAAACCTTTACTGGGGAGGATTAGTGTACGGTGTAGACAGTCAAGATATCAGATTGTGGGCTCCATCTTATGGTCAGGCAAATTATGGTAAAATACGGATTTCTATCATTATTCAATTTTAAAAAGAACTTTCATTTTAAATTATGAATAATTAGCTTGAAAGTGTAATCCGTATTCATTCATTAAAAGAACTTTTGATCGTGGATATTGGAGCTTCAAAGTTTTGTTGTGCAGTGTTTGTATTTTGAAGTGAATAGCAATGGTATTTTAAATTACTATATACATGTAGATCTACATGTATTTTCTTAATCTGATGTTACAACCAAGACAACGGTCTAAAAAGGCACAATTATGATCCACGAAAATTGATCATTTGTAGATTTTTTTCTTTCACGACTATTTAAATTTGAATAATTGCGATTCAAGAATGCCCGTTTATCACTTGTATATTTGTTTTTCTATCAGGAAAATTTAAAGTTTTTACAATAATTCCGATTCAAGAATGTCGGTTTATCACTTTTAGATTATCATTTTCTTTCAGGAATATTTAGTTTTTGTGACGGTTGGGGTTACGATGTAGGGAAAAGGACTGTACATACTGGGGGTCTATAACTATAATACATGGGACTGACCCTTCGGGGGGGCCGAGGGATACGCCACACGGAATTGGGATAAAATAGGAGAGACAAGTGGTGTGCACGAGTTTTCCTTGTTTCCAAGTTACTCTATAGACGCTGATAATGATATAATTACGGTGTTCGTAAGTACTAGTAATTTTTAGATACATACACACCGATTTTAAAATCTTGAAATATTTTTAAAATCAGGCAAAGATGTAAAAAGTTTTTCTTTAAACTAATCTTAGTTGTCTTTTTATCTCAAAATATCATTTATACACGTTAATGAAATTTTAAATTATAACCATATATATGACCTCCCTTAACAATAAATTATAAATTAAGTTACAAAAGTATGTATACAATGACGGGCGCAAAATCTTGCTTTTAAATGAAATTGAATGTATTGTTGATATTTGACAAAAATGATTGACATAGTTAATAAAATAAGACTTATAGATCTTAGCGCCTTTTATACCCTCGGCCATGAAACTCAGTTGGTCGTGCAACTCAGCCGGTCGTGCAACTCAGCCGTTCGTTCAACTCAGTTGGTCGACAAGACATCTGTTATTCTCTTTTTTAGGCTTTGACAACATATGGTTCAAACAGTGGATTTCAGTTCTACGGTACTGGTGCTGCAATGGTAGATAACGCAGACGGATGTGGTGGTATTGTGTACGCATACTCAAACGTCACTTCCGCTTTGAGGATTTGGCATCCGGTAGGTGGAAGTAATAGTTTAATTCATGTAGACGGTATGGGCGGAGGAACATATAATCAGGTAGCAGACGAAGCTGATATAACTCTACGACTTTTTAAAGGTAGTTTTTAAAATATTTTTCTTTAACCGTATTTAATATTATACAATATGAAATTCACAGATACTTAATTGGGGTGTGGAAGTGCACTGTGCCCACCTTATTCTTGTCGACCCCAAGAAACATTTATATTGTGACACCAATGTGGTATGTGTCAATAATAAAATTTGTGGTAATTAAATCTCTCCATGAATTGAAAAAAAATCACATAATTTAGCTATTTAGCAGATCGAGCCTTGCTAAATCTATTAGTAAAAGATATTTCAAAATCAAACAACAAGACGTTCTGCAGAAAATTGTATAGAGTTAAAGTTGCATACCTCCAGATCAGCCAAAATATTCAAAACAATTAAACTAGAGAAAGTAAACAAAGGTTTAAAGAAAAGTAAATATACTCAATATTTAAGGTATTAGCATCCTAATGCATTACCTCCGCGTTGAAGAGTATTCAAATAGGCTAGAACTACTGTTAACTACTGTAAAAAGTTATATTGTTCTTTTATTGATTATAGAAAGGCTTTTGATAGCATAAATAGAACTGCACTTTGGCAGAAATTAATTAGCAATAATGTTGATGGTAAATGTATAAAGATCATTTATAACATGTATTTACAAGCTAAATCTTGTGTTAAAATTAATTCTTTTAGTCATATGTCGGATTTTTTTACAAGTCATACAGGCGTTCGTCAGGGTGAAAATTTATCTCCCATATTGTTTTCTTTATTTTTAAATGATTTAAACTATTTCCTGTCACAACATTTTAATGGTCTGGATCTACTATCAAACATTGTAAATGATACCCTGAGTGATTCTGATGTTGAAATGTATTTTAAATTGTATATTCTTTTATATGCTGATGACACTGTCATATTTGCTGAATCTGCTGAAGAACTGCAAAAAGCACTAGATGCAATGTCAAATTATTGTCAATTATGGCATTAACAAGTTAATCCTAGTAAAACTAAAATTGTTGTTTTTTGTAAAAGTAAAAGAGGTTTATGTAATATTCCAGCCTTTAGTTTTGAAGGTAATTTGCTAGAAATTGTTGATGATTTTTCATATCTGGGTGTTAAGTTCTCTTATAATGGTAAATTTGCTAAAACAAAGAATCATTTATTAGAACAGGCAAGGAAGGCTATGTTTTCAATTATAGTTAAGGCTAGAAAATTGGATTTGCCTATCAGTATGCAAATTCATTTATTTGATAGCATGGTAGCACCTATATTGTTATATGGTAGCGAAGTGTGGGGAATTGAAAATGTGAATATCATTGATAGATTTCAATTAAAATTTTATAAACTCATATTAAATTTGAAACAAAGTACTCCAAATTGTATGCTTTATGGAGATTTAGGGATATTACCTTTATCTATTCATATAAAAAGTAGAGTTTTGTGCTTTTGGAATAAGATTTTAAGTAGCAAACAGGAATCAATAAGCCATATATTGTATGATATGTCACACTCTTTGTATTGTAGAAATGTGTTGAAACTCCCATGGATGAATAGTGTTTGTAAATTACTAGATTCACTAGGTTTATCAAATTTTTGGATGATAATAATAATGTTGCCACTTCTCTTTCATTGTTGAAGAAAATTATATAAAATAGACTGAAAGATCAGTTCATTTAAAATTGGCATAGTGAATTGTCAGAATGTAGTAAATGTCTGAATTATTGAATGTACAAAAGTGAATTCAGATTTGAATTTTTTTTTAGATATTTTACCAACTCATTTAGCTTTAGGACTATTGCGCTTTAGATGTATGAACCATAAAATGCCTATTGAGTCTGGTAGATTTTGTAATATACCAAGAGAATTAAGAGTGTGTAATTTATGCAATAATAGCTCACTTGGTGATGAATATCATTATTTATTTAATTGTCAATTCTTTAATACTGATAGAAAAAAATATATTACTAGAGAGTATAGTACTAATGTTAATTCAATCAAGTTTTCTATGTTAATGAATAGCACAGATAGGAGTATATTGTTAAAACTTGCAGTATTCTGTAAAAAAATTATTTCAGCATTTAAGTAAATGATAACTAAGCTTATTTCATAATGTAACACTTTCATTTTTGATTTATATTTGCCATGTTATACATCAGCATATTTCGTGGATATCTCTTTATATGTCATACTATATGTATATATTATTGTATATGTGACTAAGCCTCTATGAGGCCCAGCATTTTCAATAAACTGTTCAAACTGTTCAAACTGTTAACTACATTGAAAATGAGGGCCATGGGTTCAATCCCAGAAGGGTCAACTTTTTTTTTCTTTCTTTTTTTCTTTTAACATTATTTTTGTATCTCTCATGTCCCATTTGGAAAGAAAAAAGTGTTTAATTTTGATTTTTTAATTCATATAGGTATTTATTGGCTAAATTATGCTAAATCTAGTAATAAATATGGTACCTGATATTTTCAAAGTGTAATATAATCAAAACTAGAGGTAAAAGTATTTCATATTTTGCAAGATCAACCAATATACTTTATTAAAAATTTAGGGAAACTTTGAAAACAGGCACTCATTTGGGTAAATTTTAAGAATTTTTTAAATAAGGCTTCCAAAGTAGAAAAATGGTAAGACACATGGTAAAAATGGGTGGGGTAGGGTAACATTTTTATACAGATTTCATAAATTTTAAGTAGAAACCATAATTTTGCTTATGTGGATTGTTAGCTGAATGGTACTATTTGTTTCTTACCAAAAATTAATGGGAAAACATTTTTCATTAGAAAGGTATTGCAGATTATTTAAAGGTTCCTCATTTCTAAAAAAGGGCCTTCATAACATCCTAGCTTGAGTTCAGAAAAGTGGCCATAACTTGATTTCCGTACGGTAAACTTTGTTTAAATTTTGCATACAGGTGTACTTTAAGGTATACATCTGACCTATGATGTCAATTGTTTAGTTCCTTATAGTGCCCATTAGGGTCCTAATACCTTAAGTAGCATGTTAATTGCGATTAATGAATAGTTTGACAGTAATTATTGCGTGCCTTACGCAATAAGGGCTATTTTTGCATATTTTGGTCTCTTTTTGGTACTTTCCGTGGTGGATTGTAAGTGCCGTTTGCAATGTGCAAATTATTTTTCTTGTTCACTTCACAAATTTAACCTTTAAATACATTTTCAAAATTTCATGAGAATTAGCATGCATGTGGAGACCTGCTGCTTTAAGTACTCACAAAAAGTATGCGTAGTCAGGCCTGATATGACTCCTTAGCTTTCGACCTGTACTCACAGAGTTATCTTTAATTCTACTTCAGTATTCCAATCTGTTATAAACTATTGCTCATTTGCTACTGAAGAACCCGGGATAAACACGATTACGACGTTGACGTCATTAGCAGACTGTTGCCAGGCAACGTACACGTGCAACCCTGGTTATAGTCTTATTTCCGGAAATCTTCAGCGTTTTTACGATTATTCTTTGAACACATGGAATGGAACTTCACCGGAATGTCAAGGTAAAATTAGAAATATTTTATCTAGAGCTATCATAAGGTAGATTTTATCGTCATTGGACACACCTGAGTTACTTCTGTTTTTTTCTTTTCATCCCTACATAAACATAAACAATTACTGTACTGGTAAAGGGGAGTAACCGCTACGAGGTGTCTGACAGTCTATCAACTTTATTCATACTGTAGGTATATACTGATCAAGGGAAACAATTTAACTTAAGTTAATATAAATGTAGTTAATATTTGTTAAATTTGACAATTACAATTTGGCAATTTGTCAAAATGTTGACAGTGGTTACGTCCCTTGATCAGTAAGAATAGAGATGGACTCCGTGTAGCGGTTACTTCCCTTTATCAGTTTAGGAAAAATGAAGAGGAGAGTACTGCGATCGCAACTGACATTTTTTTATGATAAAATCTAAGTAGCGTCTTTGTCATCACACACGTCCGAATTCAATTCAGGCAATAGTTGTACGGATAATGCTTTTTCTTTATTAATATTGTTTAAAAACACATGCGGTGTCATCTCACATTGCAGAGAGCATATATCTGATTTAGCAGACGACCTCTTCTTTTATCTTATGAAATTTAATAATTATGAATTGCTACCAGAGTATGCTTTAATTATATCATTTTTTATTTTCAGTTGCAACTAGTTCAGTTAACATGTGTTCGTCAATTGATGGTGGAATAAATACAGATGTTAACCTGACGTCAACAAACTTGGGTTGTCTTGCAACGTATACTTGTCTACCGGGATACAGTTTAGTGTCCGGCGATTTGTTTCGTTCTTATGACTCTTTGCAAAGCGCATGGAATGGTACCGCACCGGAGTGCCATGGTATGTGACATTTTTTTTGCATTTAGTAAACCGTTTGTTTTATAACTACTATAAGAGTAATTGCTTTACGATATTTAAAGCAATGACGAAACTGCTGATTTTCATAGTTTCTAGAGCTTTTGGGACTTTTGCTGGACTGAAAGGAGCGTTTAGGCCATTAGCATATTTCCGCGAGTAATTTATTTTTTACATCGGCAAAGAGAAAAGTTTAAACTATATCGGAGAATTTTCTTAAAGTTGTGCATAATTAAAGAAAAAATCATGTTTGAAACAAGTTTATAAACAAATTTGGGCTTACCATATTACTTTTTGAGTTACATTGTATCTGTCCGCAAAAGTAAGTTGTTTTTTTGCACTGATTAAAAAGAATTATCCCAAAAATGTCTTTAATAGGAACTGAGTGACTGCTCTGGCTAAACATCTTTCAAGAACACTACACTCATTACCATATTTGTAATAAAGTATATTTAAATACTAAATATAAGAAAATGTCTAAAACATATAGCGACTGTGTCAAAAGATTTATCCCTACTAAATATATTGCAATTAATATCTTGATCTAATTGTTTATACCAAGTTTTGTGTTCGAATCCGACCAGTGGGACTAACTCTATGTACGTTCTTTCATCAAGTCAGCTGTTGATCGGTACATTAGCTACATATATATGCACTAGTACGTACGTGTATGAAGCCGGGGACTACAGTCGGGTATGTTATGGTAGCGGTTCATGGACTGGTTTCCCGTTAAATTGTTCAGGTGAGAATTTTCTGTGTTTACTGTATACTAGTCAGGCATCCATCTAAATTTTGAATTTCAAAGAAAAATATTCACATTTTTTTTGTTTATGGACAAAAAGAAAACACATTTTAATGAAATTTATAATACCACCTGACACACTTTAAGCCTCCTTTTATTTTGAAAAAAAAAATATATATCGCTCAAACGTTTTAATCCTTCCAATCTTACACCGGTGACAAATTTCCAACACAAAAGTAAATATAAACAGGCCAGAACACATGTTGCTGTAATACTCTCCTTCAAAAAAACTTCTACAGTAGATAATAAAAACAAAGTATTATAAGGACCCGTTCTACATAATATGATTGCCTCAGTACTGTGGATAGTGTCAATGGAAGAAATTCTAGACCACAATTAGATCTATATATCAATGATTACGGTCTTTTAGAAATGGTTCTGATCGCTTTTAAAATGTCATTTTGATTCCCCTTTTACAAGAATCGGTTGTTATACACATGAAATACAACATTAACGATAATCGTGTCTTATATATTGAAGCAGCTGTAACAACTACAACAATTCTGCCACCGTCTACAACAAGCACCGGAAGTGTGTGTTTTAATTTTAGCACGGTGGTTAACATTACAACAGTATTACGTATTGCTGATGAAATTGTTGCAAATTTGACAGTACCAACAAAAACAACGTCGAAATATACTAGAAGCTTGACCAGTGCTAAAGATGGACGACAATCTTCCACGGTGATTGGTCTGGCCGGGGCAGGAATATGTGCAGTTATAATGGGCCTACTTTTTGTTCCAGATGCATTGACAGTTTTATCATTTCTTGTTAATAAAATCTGTTCTAAACGAGATATAGCAGATTAAAGTATTGTTTTGAGAATATGGTTTAACATGGTATTCATATTATGATGCCGGTTTGTTATCAAAGAAATAAACGTTTCTTTAAAAGACACACATTTAAATTTGTCTGTTAAGTTTTCGATGGAATTGATATCAGTTTTATAGAAACTGTTGATTGCACACGATATATCTGTTATTCCAAAACCACAGTCAAGTTTCCGTAATAATCTTAAATGCGTTACAATGTGAAATTAACATCGTTAGTTATAGGTCTGAAGACAAATAACAGTTGTTGTTTTTTTGATAATTTTAAGCTACAAAAATACTGTCTAAAGATGTGATTAGTGATAACCAATTCCTGCTTGTATGTATAAAAATGAGTCAAGACTGTTTATTTCTGTTATTTTAGCTTTATGCAATTATAATGTAAACAATGGAATAATTACCGAGTAAACTTAACTAGGTACAGAAGCAATTGTCAATTTTTACATCGGAATCTATGTACCTTTATCGAACAGATCATATATTTTCCAATTTCTTATTATTTGTTTTCGTATGCACATATATTATATGAAAGAGAATGTGTTTGTCAAGCAACTGTTGTTTTAATCAAATTATTTGAAGATGCGCTGAATTCATACAATCTAACTGATAGAAAGAAAAAAAAAATAAATGTGTAGTTCATCTTGATATCATTGTAAATTGAATTAAACATTGAAGGACATGTGGGTGTCTCACGCTCCGTATTTCCTTTCTACAGACAGGATGCATTTTATGCTAGCAGTGCTAAAGAAGTGTCGAAAAGTGCTCTTGCGAGTACTAGAAAACCAACTCATTTGCTTAAAAATAAACTGAATAATATATCCGTGTAAGTATTTTTTACTTAAATTTTATACACAAGGGGTTAATTTTTCTATAGAACATTGACCGGGGGTCATTATTTATTCTATACGAGGTTACTTTACTTCGTGACACCGGCATTGAAATATTCCAGAAATTGAACAAATTTCGATTGGATTGAATAATGGGACAACTTTAAACATAAATATATAAAACATGGAATTATTTAATCCGTTTATTTGATAGCAAAGGAATAGATTGAATGAGATGAAAGGAAAGATAAGAACGCCATGCAGAAGGGCAAACTTGGTGTACGATGTGAGAGAGCAAGACGGAACTAGTCTTAAATACCATTGTCTGACAATATTGGGAAAATCCACAAGGAAACCTCGTGTGAAAATAGATTAAGAAATTGAAATAAATTGTGTTTCGTAGAATAAATAATATTATCGGGTCGGCAAAAAATGATCTTAGATAATAAAATGTATATAAATACGCAAATATCATACAATGTACGATGATTAACAAATACGATAGAGAGCTTTCTACAGTGGACAGTTCTGAAGTGAATACAACTTTTAAGACTATTATGGACATTGTTTTTCTAAGTCGTCCTTGAAACAAAATATGTATACCAATTAAATGTGAACTGCAAATCCAAAAATTATAATTTGTAAGTATAAGTAATATTTTTTATCTACAAATTGATTATTATAAATATGTATATCGTGCAGGTTTTCTTCTTTTGTAGTTTAATTAGATGCAAAAAAACAACATAAAAATAAACATCCCCCCAAACCCCCCCCCCCCCAAAAAAAAAAAACCCAAAAAAACAAAACAAACAATATTTCTTGAAATTGGTACTGTAATGAATTACGATTTTTAATCAATGCATAATAATTTAACATGCCCTTTCCCGACTTTAAAAACATGTTAAGAAGAAGATGGGGTTTTGTTCTAGGCATTGCATTTATGATAACGATGATTCATCAATATTCTCTGTAAATACTTATTTGTAATAAATATTGTTTATTTAACAATCTCATGGTCATTGTTTGACTCCCGGCCTTTTGTTTCTAACATGACAAAATCATTGGCAATAACAATTTTACACTATAGACAGGACTGATTTTGAGAATTTGGCTCCCTTTAAGATGCTTGAGGCATTTTGTAGTACAAGTGGTATCTTGGTGTATTTTACCTATTTCAGGTATCCTGATTTCGATAAAGGTGGATACCAAATTGAAAAACATGATATTGACCATTGAAATGGCCATTTAAAATGACCACTGAAATGGCCGCCATCATAAATGGATGATAGATCAAATAAAACTTTTAAGGAAAGGAAAAGCCTGAAATTTGTCACAAAGCATGTTTAGGTAAAAACTAATTAGACACCAAAACAGAATTAAAAACAAAACAAAACAATCCAATAGGGCTGAAAAAATCCAAGATGGCAGACATTTTTCTAAAGGCAAATATAATAGTAATATAAAAGTAATATTAAAGATAGTACTACACTACACTACACCCTTTCCTGCCCTATCTGCTAGATAAAAAGCTTTCATGTATTTTATCTGGCACTCTATGCAAGCATATAGAGTGGCTACTCAGATGCCTACTTACACAGCGCGCTATGTGTGAGGGGGTTAAAACGTGTGCATGCAAAATATACATTAATTAAAGGCACCTTTCTCTGAGTACTCTTGGGTTTTGGTGTTCGTTTTTCTGTTATCAGTCGTCGCCTACGTTCTTCTGTTATCAGTTCACGTCGCATTTCTCTGCTGTCAGATCTTCTGTTATTGGTCGTGACTTTCGTTCTTCTGTTATCGATGCTCGTCTCTGTTTTTTGTTATCAGTCATCGCCTTCGTTCTACTGTTATCGGTTCTCGTCTCTATTCTTCTGTAATCAGTTTTCTTCTCTGTTTTTTGTTATCAGTCATCGCCTTCGTTCTACTGTTATCGGTTCTCGTCTCTATTCTTCTGTAATCAGTTTTCTTGTTGTCAATTCTTCTGTCATCGGTTCCCGTCTCTGTTATCGAGAGGCGTCTTCATTCTTCTGTCATCAGTCCTCGTCTATGTTGTCTTGTTGTCAGTTCTTCTGTTATCGGTCCCTGTCTTCTGTTATTGGTCGTGACTTTCGTTTTTTTTGTTATTGGTCCTCGTCGCAGTTCTCTTGTTGCCAGTTCTTCTGTTATCGGTGCTCGTCTCTGTTTTTTGTTATCGGTTCACGTCTTCGTTCTTCTGTCATTGATTCTTGTCTCTTTTATCCTGTGTTTTCGTTTTCATGTTGTTAATTCTTCTTTCATCGGTTCCCGTTTCTGTTATCGATCCCCGTCTTCATTCTTCTGTCATCAGTTCTCTTTGTTATTTTGTTATCGGTTCTCGTCCTTTTTCTTCTGTAATCAGTCCTGGTCTCCGTTTTCGTGTTGTCAATTTTGCTGTCATCGGTTCCCGTCTCTGTTATCGATCCCCGTCTCCATTCTTCTTTCATCAGTTCTCGTCTATGTTATTCTGTTATCATTCCCTGTCTCTGTTTTTCTGTTATCGGTCGACCTCTCTGTTTGCTTATTGTCAGTTCTTCTGTTATCGGTCCCTGTCCTTTTATTGGTCCTCGTCTCTGTTGGCTTATTGTCAGTTCTTTTGTTGTCGGTCCCTGACTCTGTTCTTCTGTTATCGGTCGACGTATATATTCGCTTGTTGTCAGTTCTTCTGTTATCAGTCCCTGTCTCTGTTCTTCTGTTAGCCGTCCTCGTCTCTGTTCGCTTGTTGTCAGTTGTTGTCTCCGTTTTTCCTTCTGTTATCGGTCGTCGTCTTCGGTCTTGTACTTTCGGTACTTGTGTCCTGTTCCGTTAAGGTATTCTCTTGTTTCTATCGTTGCCGTCATTCTGTGTCTATGTCCTGGTTTTGTCAGTCTTGTAGTCATTTATTCGTTCAGTGGAGTAGCGGGGGATCGAACTCACGACCCCTTGATTTGTAGGCAGACAGTGTTACCACTGCACCATAGCGCCCGCTCTGAAAAAAAACCATTTTTGAAAATCCTTTATACATTAAATACTATTTCAATGGCTAACAATGGGTGTATTACAATTATATTTTAACACCTCTACTATGTAGCCAACCCACGTGACTTTTATATATGGTCAAAGAAAATATTGCTCGATTTATAACAAATAATATTTTTATAGATAACTTTGCTGTTACTTTAAGATGTCCTGGAAATTTATTGGAGAGTACCCGGAATTCTAACGTATATCGAATGATGTGATAATCTTCTTGTAGAATTTTCTCAAAACCGTGACTGAATTCCAAAATTTTCGAGAGCTGCCATGGTATTGCAGGCACACGTAGCAATCTCCCGGTTTCAGACATGTTATGACTCGATGAAAATATGGTGTTGTTATTGTTGTTGTTGTTGTTTTTAACTTTAACTTTAAATTTCAAATTAGATAGTCACTTATTTTTAAACAAGATGGTAAACATTTGTTGTTTTCTGTATTTTTGTTAAGAATGTGATAAAGTATACACTTCTTAGTTTAAAATGACTTTTTAATATTATCGATTATCCATCGTATACCTGAATGCAGTTATAATTGAATCTAAAAAATGAATTATGCAGATATTGTTTTCGGCAGAAAACAACAAATACAAACAAAACAACACACACAAAACCTACATGCAGCATACATGTGTAATGTTCACAATGTGCTGAAAAACGGCTCTTTATTAATTTCAACATTTCAGCAAGTGGCACATTTTTAATGGGACAGAAATGTTGTTGTAACCATTTAAAAAGTAGGATATGAAAATTTGTAAGTTGGATATTTTTTAACCTAGTTTGCTCAACACTCAATTAACACATTTTTATATATAAACCTGAGGTAAAGAAAATTTACAGAAAACAACTTTCATAGATTAAGATAGAGCCAAGATGTCGTAGATATTTGGGTTACAAAAGGAGTTTTTGATCCTGATAATGTTTTAAGTAGGATATACATATTACAAGCTTATATTCTTAAAATTTTGTACCGCCTTAATTCATTTTTTTTAAATACGTGCAATTATGTAATTATTATGCCTTTAGTTAGTTTCTGGAGAAAAGGCTTAACAAAGGTGGTATCTTTTATTTAATAGATAAATTTTATAATGTGTCACATGTCGCCTTGAAAAAAGATTTTGTGATGATTTTGCGCATACTTAATCCCGCTTTTGCATGTTTGAACAACAATAGTTCATTTCTTTGTATACACAGCCTCATTGCTTATTTTGTATAGTCTTATTTTATTGACCTGTCAATTATGAATACATTACAGCACTAATTGAAATATAAGATAACACTTCGATTTCGTCGGTAATGCTTACGAGAATTAATATGGAGTATATAGAGGATATTTGTTTGTTTGTGTGTAAGATGAAATTTATTTCATCGAGTGGGCTTTTAAAACAGCATTCCCACGAGTGGACTGGCCACGTCAGATGTGTAAACATTTAAAAAGTGGCTAGGAAATTGGAAACTTGGAATTGTTGAAAGGCTGCCTTACGAACGCTGGGGTGTTTGCTTATTCTTCGGGCTGATATCTGTCAGCGCATTGCTTTTCAAGTTTTCATTAAGCATACATCGTAGGAAACTTAAATATGCCCAAATGTCATCAAGAGCAGTTTTGCATGTGGAAGGAATGTATTTTTCAGACTGTTAAAATGAAACAAAAAAAATTAAGAGACGATATTTGCTTATTGGTAATTTGGATGAATAGAAGTAAGTTTTCTTCTTTTTATTACTTTTGACATTTAAGTTATTTATCAATTTTAGCTTTGCTTTTCTCTAAACAGCCTGACATTGTCAGAATTGTCAGCAAAAATAAAATTATGGTACCACATGGGGAAAATCTTAAGAAAGTAGTTTCGTCATTGAAAAGTGTGAAATTATATTTTTATAATTTTCACTGTGAAATTATCAGATATAATTTTCACGGATAAATCAGTATTCCACTTAAAAGCATAAAGTAAAAAAACTATAAAACTAATGTTAGTGAAAGTCATATCTGCTAAAAATGTACACGTCATCGTTACTTCCGCAGTAGCACAGCCGGTTAAGTGATTGACTGATGTGTGAGAGGTCTATGATTCGATTCCTACTGTTGCCTTTTTTAAGACCTGTTTTTTTTTGTTGTTGTTTTTTTTTAATGGGGGGGGGGGGGGCGCAGTATATATTTTAAAATACTATTTGTCTCGGTTTGTGTTGTGTTTATGGCATTGAAATGACATTTTTTGACATTTCAAAATAATTTTTAAATATTCATTTTTAACCATAAATACCATAACAAGTGCAAAATATATGAAAACAAAATGAACAACTTAAAAAAAAATCATAGCTACAAATAATGTTGAAAATTACGGAACACCTGAAGTGACATTTTCCACATTTTCTCCCTGAATTGAATTCGTTTTTACGAGATAAATATTTCCCTATTAGAAATATTATTTCGTTGTAACGAAATATAAAATCTTAATAACGAAATATTGATTCGTTATTACGAAATATTATTTCGTAATTACGAAATATTAATTCGTTATTACGAAAATATATTTCGTAAATACGAAATATTAATTTGTTATTACGTATATACTGTTTATTGAGCCATTAGGCTTATAATCGCTATATTTGGTGGCCAATCTCATTAAAATCTGATCTTATTGAATGATCATTTGATTTTGACAAGAATAATTAATTGCATCATATTGTATCATTGTTTTATGACCAATTTTAGTATTTTTAAGAAGCCATTTTGAATTGACCTTTTGAAGGTCAATGTCAATTTTATTTTCTTGGTATCCACCCTCATTGTCTTCAGCATACCCATATTAGGTTAAAACACTCAAGATATTACTTGTACTTGTACTATAAAATGCCTCTAGCGTTCATATTTTCTTAAAATCAGTCCTGTCTACTATGATCGCTTATTATCACAATACTACACTCCCTTCGCAGCTCACTGAATGCACTTATGCTACTTCAGAAGAAAGTGAGTGATAGTGAAACATTCGACCGATGCGTAGGAGAATCAAATTACAATAATAACCCAGTACTTTCTGGTGACAGGACCCATGGAGGGGAGTTGGAGAATTGATCAATTCAGAAACAGAGGATACCTTAGTATGATCAATGGGGAAAACTTATCACGACGGCCTAACCTCAAACTTCTTTTCACAAGAAAATGCAATGTCAGTTACATCATCTGGACAGAATAGTTTTCATAGACGAGGTTTTCAAACTCATTGGTCATTTCCTATTGTTTTGACTCAATCTTAGAAATGTGTTCAAGTCTTGTTTAAGGGTTGACATTACTGATTTAACTTATGAATACCTTCTTTAACTACATTCAAGTCAGTCCATGTTTTAAATTTTAGATCGTCTATAATAAGGTCTCTAAAGTTACTCCTGATCCTGGATTCAGCTTAATGTCAGCCGACGGCATAAGTCGCCTCTGTGAATAGTATTCTTAACTGATCATACTGTGGTTCCAAGTTGTGTTGCACATGACACGGTTCAGAACTGTTAACTAGAAGATGTGTATGCCGCCTGAGAGGCTGAATGGTATTCCGAGGGTCCTGGGTTCGAGTTTCGGTCAGGCTGCGTTTTTTCACATCCTGTATTATTTTGCGCCCAACGGGGGACTGTGACTGGATATAGCTCAGAGTTTAAATAATATTTCTCTGTAACCCTGAGAAAATAAATGACGAATTTCAGTATAGCGGGGAAGTATGCCACGGTTCAGAACTGTTCACGATTTAGGGGGAAAATGTGTAAGCTGCCTGAAAGCTCAGTCCTTAGAGCCACAAAACGGTATTCCAAGGGTGCGGGGTTCGAGTCACAGTCAGGCTGCACATATTTATATCCTTTGACACACAGTGTATATAACATTGTATTTAATGCAATCTACGCTATTCATCTGTGTTTGCAAACACAAAAATAGTCAACTTTATAAATATATAACCAAGGGATAGAACCTAAATCATGTAGGTAGGTAAATTAAGCGAGAAAAACGTGTAGTCTATGACTAATGATGGCGATTTACTCTTACTTTGCCTTTTACTAACATATCTTTGTGACAATATCCTCACATAAAACGAAAAATTTGACCACCAAGTAGTTGCCTCTATGTCTAAACGAACCAGGCATGCCACTTCAATAATGCACACTTGAATAATTTGTATCTAGATCCTGTAACACATTTTTAATGGTTTTATATCATAAATATGATGCTCAAACTAAGATTTATCAATATTGTAAGTTCCAAAAAGCATTATTTATAAAGTTATTACCGAATTTAACATTTCATGTAAATAAAGGTAGGCAATTATAAATTTATTTTCTATAAAGTCTAAGTCAAATTTTCCAATAAGAAAAGAATGCATATTTTTTAATGATTACATATAATGTGCACAAATATTTGCAGTACATATTTTACATATTCTTCGATGTTTGAAAATTGTTTTATAAACATATATAATTATGTGCACATATAAAGTTTCACTTAAGTGTGATTTACAACCTCAATTACAACATACAGGATCTTTAAAAATGATTTTTTAAACTAATTCTTTAAGAATATATTTGTATGAACGCGTATTATTCATGTGCTTTATATGCATGTACTCGAATAAACCTAAATTTGAATTCGACGCGTACATAAACGATAGGCTGTTTAAAATCGAAAGTAGGAATACTAACAACGGTATTTTTTCCTTCTAATTAAAAAAGTTGTAGATCTATTGACTATTATATCTTTTCTTTCCTAAGCTCTAAAATTTACACGCTTACTAAAAAAAAAAGAAAAAAAGTTAAGATCATGTACTGTGTATATGCATTTAACAGAAACGAGGCTGTCCTATTCCGCCATATTTATCATGTGTGATTTCCTGAAGATTAAGTCAGTAAGAAGCCGAAAATAATGGGATAAATGGGTAAACTGAAGAAATCATGAGGATCAAACAAGGGAGCGGTAAACAACACGTGTATTTATATAGATATATATATCACATAACTTGTTGATTTGAGTAACTATGTCAACACCCGGTACAGAAAAGTACAGCAGAATTTTGCTGACAATAATAAAAGGTGGGACAAAACTTACAAGAAGACTCTGTGAGAAAAGAGTTAAAGATCTAAGTGAGAATGGTGGAGAAGATACTATCGATGATTTTTTGTCAAAAAATAAGTCTGTAATATTAAACAAGAAAACAGGGAAAAACAAGGAGAATATATATTTTCCATCATCAGGAAAGACGAATCTAGAAGAATGGGACCTTGGTATGTTTTGTTATATTCTTGAAGAAGCATGTGATCTGTCACCTACTGCAAAAATGTATGTCCAGGATCTTCAAAAGGTCAGAAATAATCTTTGTCATTCAAATGACCCAACATTAGAAATTGGTAAATTTCAAGTTTATATTGAGAAAATTAAATGCAGCTTCGAACACTGTTTGAGGGTGATAAATGATGAAGAGTTCAAAAAGGAAATGAAAGCACTAATTACGTCATTTGCCACTGGTCCATTATCATTAGATGATACACTTATAGCTATGCATACGTGTTTCCGTATAGAGTGGGATCAAAAAGAATTTTTAGAAAAAATTGTGAAAGGTAAGATTTTTTGTAACTTAACTCATATCAATTAAATCATTTTCTTTAGTTCTTATTTATGACATGTTATATCGTAAATTAAATCACAAGTTTATGATTATTAAAATTGTTTCCGTTTCTATATGTAATATCTATATATACGCATGAAAGCAATTGATATTTCTTATCGATCGATACTTGCTAAATTTCGATACTTGTAAAATTTATACCTAGGTCAGGACTTGACGAATGAAAAGCTTGACAGAAATTTCGAAATGCTTGAGAAAATTGATTCACGTTTGCCACCTGGTGATTCTGTCGATATCCAAAGTAAGTTTACTTGATTAAAGTTTCACATAGGAATCATACCTTTGCTCCAAACCGACATACAAGCGCATCAGATTTAAGAAAAAAATTCCCCAAGCAAAAAAAAAAAAAAAAAGAAATAAAAATAAATAAATAAGTAGAACGGAATCGGTATGTTTATGTTAAATATCTTAACTGCGCTTTGTGTATAATTTACCCCGTTTCGTTTAAACATATCTCATTGTAACTGATCTTCGGTTTAACAAATCAATACCGACAATGATATGGGTTATCACATTTCGGTATACCCGTAAATCAATTGTAATTTAAAATATGCACTTCACAAACTTTTGTCAATATTCTGAAGATACACGTAACCTTGCAATTTTAAACGTTTTTTATACGAACGTAAACTATTGGTCTTAAAATTATTGTTTTTGCCAACAACAACAAAACAAATAAATAAAATAACAGAAGAAAACCCGTATCTTTTGTTTTAAGACTTGATAATAAAGTTTAATGCGTTGATAATCGATAAAAAAACCTTTGACTTAATTGTTTTAAACATTTTGCATTTAACACCCCATTCATTTATTACGGTCTAATTATTGGTATAATTGAAAATGTATATTTCCTTATTAACTAACATTATTTGCAGGTATTGGTATTGTGATAGAGGTTAGAAATTGCAGCGCAGAAAAGGAGAAAGAAGTTTTAGATATCTTAGTGAAGAACTTTAACGAGGCTATTAACAAGACAGAATCAAGTCTTGAAAAAGAACTGCCAAACGGTGCTCTACATACATTAAGGGAAACTGTTACACAAGTGTTCAAAGAATTTTTAAACATGGGAAGAAATATAATAAGTGTGCAGCAAAAATGTCTCTTGCTTACAGTTAAGTGTACATCAATCACAAGCTTTGTCAATATGATCCGCGATTACAGAACGGATGCACTTTCAATGCAACTCTCAGGGATTGAAAGAGCTATAAAGAATTTGCAAGGTTGTGAAAATGTACAGCTTGAAAGTCTGATCTTCAAAGAGGAATTTATGGCTGTCATGGATGACCTTGGTATATTTAAATTAACAAATACTTAATTGTTTGATCACTATTTTCAAATTTTACCTTTAAAATCTCAATCAAAGCCAATATCATAAAACATTTTAAACAAGAAGAATTTTTAAAAAGCTACTCAGACAAGGTAAAACTGCTTTCACTTCCATAGGTTATGTCAGAGATTTTTTTTATAGCATTTGATTTTAAGATCCAGGAAACACTGCAATGTATGTTGTATCTAAATTGAACTTAAGTGTGCCCTTTAGTGTACTTTACACTAACGTATTTATGTACGCATTAATATATGCCATATTAATATGCCAAAATGTATCAAAATTTTAGAGTTTATATCAATTGAATTTCTCATTTGTCATATATTTATATCATGAACTTTAAACATAAGCTTCTAAGTGTTCCAGAAAAGTCCGAGATTTTTTTTATTTGGTGTCTTTCAGGTCTCAAATATCCGAGAAGTTTATCAAGAAAGTTCATTCCAATACTCCTTTATCATTATATTATAAATTGGATTTGTATACGTTTCAAAAAAGATCCTTGATATTATTATACTAATTTTAGAATGGCCAATGGGATTCCCTTATTTCAGTTTGTGATTTTATTATTTTAAGATGACGAATGAAAATCCTACTCATATTCGTTTCTTTCCTTTAAATTTCAAAGGAAATCACACCGTTTTCAGACGGACTTTGTGCCAAAATTGCACTTCATAATACCTTTCAGTTTCCAAATTAGATGAACAGGTCCAGCCAACCGAATACGCGGTCGTACCCTATATGTCTCAAAGTAGTATGCAAGTAGGCGCAAATCAACCAAGAACAAACGGGATTGGAACTATGCATCTGTCAGAACAAAGTAATCAACAAACAACTGCCACTACAGAGAATTCAATTCGGCTATCATTTAAATGTGCAACAATTTCACAAAGGGTAAAGGTACAAGAGTTCTTAAAAACAGGGATGTTTGGAAACGGTATGAAGCGTATTGAAACACAACTAGGACAAGAGCTGAATGTACAAAATATGTCATTAACAACAAAACTAATCAAAGAGGACAGAACAATTAATGTCGGTAAGTAATGCTGTTTAAAGAGAAGGTTTCATTATTTATAATTTTACCACTTGCACTGATCCACATTTTACAGGATTTTGCTGTCTTGCGGATCGAGTAATATTACTTCTTGTAAAAAGCTTGATATCAATATCTTTACATAGAATGTTTAAATCATGCACACCTCTGAACGTTTAGTCATTTAGATTGAATAATTGAAAGGATCTAGCCGTATTTAAGTATTCAAGAGTTATTGGAAGAAATATATTTATTTTGTCTTTTTAATCAGAGGTATTTTTTGGATCAAGATTAAAAGTAAAATTTGATAAGAAGTAAAGGTCATCAACTTTGAGACAGTGGGGCTAGGAATATGAAAGTTTAAGAAAAATCTGGATATACTCGTTTGTCTATTTTGAATTTTCAAATATAAATGCAGAATTAAATGATGTTACACATTGCATGATCTGTCATATGAAAAGAGTCTTTTTCACCTTTTTTATTTTCCCTGAGAGATTCCCTCTTTCTCATTTGTTTACTCTTAGTGACAACCAAAAGGCTAAAATAAACATAACAACCAATAGGACATAAAATGTAACGTAATTTACCATTGGCGTTCAAATATGTCAAAAATGTCATAACTGAATTTAGAAAAGGATTAAATAAGCCCCCTACCCTATGCAAAAAAAAAGAGTAAAAAAGAAAACGATTGAAAAAAGGAACTTATCAAGAGGAGAGCAAATAATTTTTGGCAGTTTAATTAGATTGATTAAATGATTTACCAGACATTCCTGACAAAACAGATATAGACAACCTCACGAAGGATGAAGACCAAACATCACGTGTGGAGGATGTAGAACAAACCAAACTTAGAAGACATGGACTAGATTGTGCCACGGGCTCATTGTTAAAGGTAATCAAAACTAGTTTTATACCTTTTTATTTTCCGATGAAAATACGTAATAATATTTTGAAACAAAAATATCCTGACCTGATCTGCTTTTCCAATAAGGTCGTAATGCGTGTGTAAAGAAATTGAACTGATATTTTCATATTCACCATGCACGTTCTGTGAAGGCCGTAGAATTGGGAAGTTATTATTTTCGCATTAAAACGACAAACCGGTGTTAAATAGCCGATTAACACCGCTCAGGTCGATAATGTTTCGATTCTAACCGGAAGTCAATAAATTAGGAGATTAACACTGCACGCGGCGTCTAGTAGATATGCATTTGTCCATACAGTAATGGGGACAATTTTAGACTATATTTTGTGTTTTTTTTGTTTTAACAAAATCAAACTGTTTTCAAAATTTCTAATAAAATAGCTTTTCTGATGGACAACATGCCACAGAGCTTTAAGGGATTAGAATTAACGTGACTGAAATGATAGAGCCATGTTTGAATATCATATTCTTTTTATTATTATCCAATTTTATCTACATAATAAATAACGTGCCAATGCAATTAGCCAGTCTATAGTCGATCGTTCTAAAACTTAACCGTTGTGAGAGGTAACGACTGAGGCAGTGTCACTTCATTTGCTCCGCCTCTGTTGTAGTACGGCTTCGCCTTAAATTGCCGCCAAATTTAATAGCATTTAGTCTTCGTTGACGGGGTGGAAGGGAACCAGGACAACTTTGATCAATATCACTTGTCGAATCATTAAATTACAAGTTACAAAGCCTTAACCACGCCCACTATCCCCTCAATCGTTTAGAAAGTACGTCAGGCCAGTAAGGGGAGATCACTGCAAAATGTTCGTCCTCAAAATCATTCGAACATTATGTAGTTCGTACCAATATTTAAATGGACATATTCTCGGCACATATTGTCTTGAATTAATTTTAAAAATACCAATCATTTCAATTTTACTTGTTCTCATATTTATTTTGCTTCGACCAGACGTTTCAACCCTTGTCGCAACAGACAAACATTTCAGAATTTCAGACATAGCATTACTTTGTGAATTCATGCATTAGGTTCTACTTTTACACAAAAATATGCAACTTGATTATTAAACAACGAGCACCTAACAAGAACATTGAGAAAATTGATTTATGCTTCGGATATTCAACTGTAATAGATAAACGATTTTCAATGCTGATTGACTGTTCACATCATTTGGCGGCGTCTTTGATGTGCAGCATTAACATTTAACTTGTTATAGTTATCATTTTGAAATATTTGTATGTTTGACAGAAAAGTTATCGTAATATGAATATCATACAGATTATAGCGCAAAGAGATCAATATTCTTAAAGATCCTTTAACACATTTTTTTTGGTTTTATATCATAAATAAGATGCACAAGTTAACATTTATCAATATTTTATGTTCCAAAAAGCATTTTTTAAAAAAAAGATATTACCGAATTTAACATTTCATGTCAATAAAGGGAGGTAATTCGAAATATACTTTCTATAAAGTCTAAGTCGATTTTTTCAGTAAGAAATGAATGCATATATTTAAACAATTACATATAATGTACACCAATATTTGCAGTACATATTTTAAATAGTCTTCGATTTTGAAAATTGTTTTATAAGCATAATTATATACATATATAAAATTCCACTTAAATGTGTGGTGCAACCTCAAATATAATATACAGGATCTTTAAGTATCGCATCAATCTTCTTATCACATAGTTACATCATACAAAAAATTAAAAACACTGATTTAAGAAAGCCAAACATCAAACTATAGGTTAAACTTAAAGCTGACTTGATTTGATTGTGTTGTACAGCTGATTTTCTTATAAAATGCAACATATTGTTGCCCCCAAAAGAATACCGTAGTGATTGTATTCTCAAAATGTTCTCTAAGGTATCCATCTTAATCTTATGGAAATGGCAAAGAGAAAGAATAATAACTCTCACTTATACAGGTAATCAGTTTAAAGTTCTATAATACTCCAGGCAGCATATGTGTTCTATAATGATCTTATCTAAAAACAAAACAAATAATTTTATTCTGAGTTGTTTAAAGTCTGTTACTTAGATAGACTAGGACAACAGAAAGAACAAACAAAATCAAAATGACATTGAATTGAAGCACCGACTAGCAAATTCCCGGTATGAAGACTAAAAAAATTTAATATTACGATACAAAAATCTTAAACATACATTGACTTTAAAAGTTAAAGACCTTGCAATAACATCACACTCAGGACAGACTCTCGTCAATGAATGCACCCAGATATTTGAATGACTTATTAGCCTTAATACTTGAAGACTTGGAAATTAAATTTAGCTTAGTCGCAAAGAGAATTGACTCAGTTTTCCATGGTGCATGACAGGTGTTATCAACAATCCACTCACTGACAAGCTCCAGCACACGAGATAAAATAACTTCAATCTGTTTTACCAGACACAATAACGTCCTCAATGTTTTTACAGGACAAAGAAGTGGTGAAAGATGTTTATAAAGAACAGCAGTCAAGTATGAAACAAGAAACAGAAAACCTGAAGATTGAAGTAATATTTATTTTACATTTAATTATTTGTATGTTTTTAAAGGCTCACAGGCAAAAATGATTTAAATTATATAAGTATGATGTAATATTTGCTTTTCCTGACAGATCGTGTTAACATACAGTTCACTTAAATGAAGTCATTATAATTTTTATCTGTTTGTATTGAATTGTTACTATACACACTTTTGTTTGAATTTAAAATAGAAAGTTAAAGCTAATTTACATTTAATGCGCTAAAACGACAACAAGACAGATGTTTTATTTATTTAAATGAAGGGTTAGCTAGTTGTAAATATTAATTAATCCACATTACTATTAATATATTTTTCTAATGTACAGGATCGCGTTTTAAATAAATTTCATGTCAGCATTTCCTTTAGCACTACTTAATTTAACGCGTAATTGTTTTAAATAACTTTTTTAGAAGTCTTTGATGAAACTTAGCTTGACTATTTGTCGTTCAGATTAAATTCTTTATTTGTTTTCTTTGAATTCGTTATCAGTTACAAATTATTTATCATTTTAGTGATAAGCCTGTCCGTGCTCTGCCTGGTATCCTGTCCTGGTTTTGTTTGGGGTCCGTCTGGGCTCCTTGCCGCTGGTTCTTGTTTTTGGTCGTGTGGGGGTTGCGTTCATTGAACGCCGCCTTTCCGTGCTAATCTTGTTTATCATATTTGATTGATTTTTTAATATTTTGAATTTGTTCTCACTTGATCATATTCAACACTTCGGTAATTCGTAAAAGAAAGAACTTAATAATATATATCAAATAATTCGCTTCTATATAATTATGTTACGTTTGTTATTTCAATAAAGTTAGTATCATTATATTTTGATGTCAGTACTGAATTTTTTATTTGTTAGAAGATTTTGTCGGAAAGTAAAATTTTAGCCTATTTGTTCCAAATTACAGAAGTACGTTCCATCAAAAAGCATTGATGAACTCATTAAAGATAGTCGTATTGAAATGATAAGGGGCAATACTAAAGACGCTGTTGACATAGCTAAAAAGGCAACTGTTCTTATTGATGAAAAAAAAGATATTTCACTTACAAAAAAAGAATCACCAGTATTGGAAGAACACTTATCAGATTGGTATGGGGAATGTTATTCAATTCTGTACTCGGTAAGTTTTATTTCGTTTACTTCATTGAATAAACTTTCCTTTATCTAACCAGTTATATATTTAATTCCAATTTCTCTTTAACCGAATGAAGAGCTTCTGATGAATCATTCTATACTAACAAGTTTATTATGCATCTTTAAATATAGAAAATTCAAAACACTTTTTCAAATAGATAATAAAAAATAACAATTGAATATACTTAATAAATAAAAACAGAATTCCCAAAGAAAGCCCAACACTGTAAATATGAAAATGTTGCAGGCTTTGTTTGATTGAGCCTGTTCATGACTGTAGTGGATAGTACATGTTACCGCCAACGATCCCTAGCACCGGTTAAGGCAGGCTGCAACATTTAAACAAATAATGACTTCCCACCCCCAGATTTTTACTTGTTAAAAGACGTAGACATATTCATTCTTTTTCTTTTTTCTTGACTAGATATTGTTCTTAATTATGAAATGTGTTCATTTCTTTTTAGCTAGGGCAAATAGACAAAGCAACAATGTGCTACTACAAAGGTAATGTTTAAAGTCATTAAAAAGTAAGGATTTCAAATTTGTTCTTTTAATGTTTCTTATAAGAATAGTCAGCTTTACTTTTACATAGAGTTGCAGAAGTTTTCCGCAGTTTAGTACGAACACCTAAAATCTATTGCAGCATTTTAACTTTACGAATTTACGGTTTCAATTTCATTCGAGAATTCAACTTCATGACTTCACAATTTCATTTTTATGAATTCAAAGTTCTATAATTCATACCTTACGAATTGACGATTTCATCCTTACGAATTTCATAAATTACGAATTGAATTTCATAAGTTCAAGATTTTAAGCTATTGAATTATCTATATGAATTCGTTAATTTGAAATTATAAATTCATGAAGCTAAATTCATGCAGTTGAAATTATGAATTTATGAAATTAAGTTTGTTTAGTCGAAATCTTTAAGTTAGGAAGTTAACTTCATGAAAATCGAAACGTAAATTGTGATGATGAATTTGTGAAGCTGTAATAGTTCAAATCGTGAACTAGTAAAGGTGAGATTCATTAACTTGAAATCGTTAATTCATAAAGTAGAAATCGTGATTTCATGACTTTAACGTGCTAAAATCGGAAATTTATCTAGTTTAAATCGGTAATTGATGAAGCTGAATTGATGAATTTAGGAAATTAAAATTTCAATACCGGCCTTTCAATATAGCATTTACTTTCTTTTTTTCAGCGAACGTATTTGATCCAGAGTGGGATTATGATGGACACTTATCTGTGTCAGAGATGCTTTGGGAAAATCTTGTTTTTTTCAAGTTAATCACTCCATATGATGAAGTTTCAAAGGTTTCATAGTTAATACTTTTTTCATCATCGTTTTTTATTTCTTTAAAGAAAAAGTATGAATAAAAGGTCGTATTACATTGAACTAATGTATATGAGTAGCTAATGTATAGTTATGTATTTTTTATAGTAACTAGTTATTTGAAATGTTTCACTTGCAACCAACTGTTAGCCACATTATTAAATTGATATGCAGTTTCAAATAGAATAATTGTACTTTTGGTTTATACAGAATTTATTTTAGTTCGATTGTGCAGGAAGCTATAAGCTTATAAACACACTTTCGAATCCGTTCCTGGAACCAACCAGTACTGAGCAATGAGTGTAAAGTTTCTTGCTCAAGGAAACAACGACTTAATTGTACTTTTAGTATATATGGAAACTTAAATTAAATAAAAATTGCATTTAAATGACAACCGATTAGTTGTTTTTACTTTTTCAAAAAAGGATAGTTAATCTTGAATATTCATTATAATAATTAGTAAGTAAAAACTGTTTTATATTTTATATAATAGTAAGAATACCGATTTTATTTTGACAGCATGTTGACGTTTTACTTGAAGAATTAGATGGACTTGCAAGATATGCCGAAGCCAGAAAAAAATGGTCTTTGTGTGTTGCAATAGATGGTGATATTGAAGCAGTATACTACTTCTTAGAGATGTTGAAATTGTTCAAAATAAAACCTTTCGATACAAGCAGGAAACAAGAGAGAATAGATATTTTAAAACGCATGTCTAGATGTTACCTAAAAATGGTAAACACAGAAAAAAATATTTACTTTATGATACAATTTTAAAAAAGAATTATAACATCATGAGGCTGATTATTTTCATCGCGGTGTATAAATTGTAAAGAGTGAATGACTGCATTTAGAAAATGAAGCTATATTAATCTTTTTTTATGTTCATCTTTTTTTACTTTTTAGGGCTTACACCAAGATGCCATAAAATCTTGCACTAAAAGTAAGTGTACAATGTGTTAGTTTGTGGAATGAAAGTAATGCTCTGTGAATTACACATACCATAGCTTGTTATTCGGTATGACTATAAACATTTACGGTTTTGAAAAAAAGTTGCTTGAAACACACAACAATTCGTCATAAAAGTAGAAAATTTCTAACCAGGGAAGGTAAACGACACAGTGATTTTAGATTACAGATTTGTCTATCAACTTTAAAAGGAGCAAAACATTTTCAGTATTTTATATGCCTAAAAGATTCTGATTTCTTTGTTCAAACTTCAATGAAATATAATGTTCATGTGTAATGTTTGTAAGTTTTTAATCTAAGAAGTGTACATACAGTTTCAGTAACTGTGTGATTTTAAGACAGCAAATGAAAGAAAAATGAGCATTCAAGTAATTCTAATATATTAAATTGCGCTGAAGCTATTATTTTGCATTTTTAGTTGCTCAAGAATTAGGCGGAAATGGCGACACGGAGACATTTGAAACCTTGAAGCAGTCACTAACACAAACAAACAATTACGAAATGGCAGCAAAGGAATGTTCATTAGCCTTCAGATATTACATGGTATTTGTCATTATTTAGATAGTATTTTGTTCTATAACAGTTTTGTTATCTGCTATATAAATAAATGCAATACCGAATCATGCATCTCACATTTGCCAACAACTCCCATGTATAATTCTTTAACGGTATTAGCAAATTGATTTAGATAATGTCACCAACAGGAGAGGAGTACGAGTTATTTACTTTCAAATATCATTTTATTTATACACAGAATGATGCCAAGAGTGAAAAGCAGCTACAGATTTTGCAAAACGACATTGAAAAGAAGAGAAAACTGCCCGACGAAGCCTGGTTGGAAGGTACTAATGCTATTTGTTTGGTAAGTCAAAACTGATTCAGTGAGGAATATAGAAGTAAGCCAATGAAAAACAAATATTCACTCCCTGTTTTAGCTTTTAAGTAAAATGAAATAAACCGTTTGTTGATAATCTTTTATTTTGGTTGTTATTTTGCTGTTTAACAAATGCAAGACTATGGAAATACAATGCCTGTCTTTTCTGGAATATAGAGCATTTTAATTTGTTGTGCTGCTTTTTATGCCCCCACAATGTGGGAGCATATAGCGTTGCACTTGTCCGTCCGTCCGTCAGTCCGTCCGTCAATCCGTTCGTCAGTCCGTCCGTCAGTCCGTCCGTACGTCCCGAAATCTTGTGAACGCAACTCCTCTTAAACCGGATGGCAGATTTTGCTTAAACTTACAGGGATGAACAACCTTAATGTGTAGATGGTAGTAAAGGAAGGAATTTTTGCTGTGACCAAATTTAACAGAATTATGGCCCTTTGTTGATTTTTTCACTATATACTATGTAGAAATTTTGTGAACGCAACTCTTCTTAAACCGGATGGCAGATTTTGCTTAAACTTACAGGGATGAACAACCTTAAGGTGTAGATGGCAGTAAAGGAAGGAATTTTTGCTGCAACCAAATTTAACAGAATTATGGCCCTTTGTTGATTTTTTCACTATATACTATGTAGAAATTTTGTGAATGCAACTCCTCTTAAACCGGATGGCAGATTTTGCTTAAACTTCCAGGGATTAACAACCTTAATGTGTAGATGGTAGTAAAGGAAAGAATTTTTGCTGCGACCAAATTTAACAGAATTATGGCCCTTTGTTGATTTTTAGTTTTCAACTTGTGGCACATGTAGTCCAAAAAATATTTGACCTAGAGTCATAAGATTGACAGAACAGTGGCGTGTGGGGGCATCCGTGTCCTATGGACACATTTCTAGTTTATTCATGAAATCGGTAATAAAACAAGGAAAACAATTTATCAATTGCAAATGAAAAATAAACATAACACTTTGGTTATAATTTTGCAGGTTATTATTTTGATGCAACATTATATCACATCAACCACTGACGATATTTGCTTTTAACTTTACATTCTTATTTGGGAGCACAATAGAAGGTCACTAACCAAAGCCCACAACTAGGAATTGGACAGAATAATGACCCTTTTCGAACTTATATTCGTGAAAATTTTTCATGCAATGACAATCTTCAAAGCTAGTGAAGGTTATGGAATTATTAACGGATCTGACTGTCTAAGGTCCAAATTCTGACATTTCAAAATATTGTATAGAATGTACTGTACTTACTTATTACGAAGTGCAAGTGTAACAATTACAATATTTTTTTTGTATTCTGAAAAGTTAAATCTATATAGATTGCCATCTTTACTTGCCATTCAATTTATTTGATGTTTTTTGACGAAAGTTGAAAAATCTAACCTTGAAAGTGTTTTCCCCAACAACTCAAGTCAAATGTTTGTTTTCAGTGTCTGATTTTCCTTTTTATCATTTTCTATAAGAATAAGTATCTGATATAACCTAGATGCACAGTTTCACTGGCCTTATATTTAATAGGAAATTTTTCATATATTCTGCTTAGACATTTATTCACGGAGGTGTTAAATGGTTCGTTTCAGCATGCGTCATCCTCGATAGAACCTCAAGAAATTCCCAAGAAAAATAAGCACAAACGTCGTCGTCGTAAGTATATTCTTTAATTTTGATCAAGTTAAAGAAATAACACTTATTTGATAAAAGTTGAATTAAACACTAAAATGAGGCAAATCCATGTTTGTATGATTCCTTTTGTTATGCACTTGAACACATTATGACACCAGTAAAGACTGAAGAGGATATTAATCATTATCCTTAAATACAAATTTGGATTTTCTTTTGTAATATAATAGAATCTTAATAAACTTAATGTAAAATATTACAACTGAAATTCATAAAAGACTTTGCTATTTACAGTTACTTTTTAGAAAATTTAATAGCTTATAATGGCCAGTTATGCACAAAACTTTAAAAAAAATGATCGGAGTTAATACATAGAAAACGTAATTGTAAAGAATGGATTGGAGTAAAATGGAATGTATGACTTACATTAATCTTGAATATATTTGTTTGAAACTAATGAAATACCAGCTTCTTATTAATTCCCCTTGTTAGATACGATATTGCGTGTTGAAAATAAATTATTTTTTGAAATACTAATTTCATGGTTGTTTTACTTTGACCATTTTAAGCAAAAGCGAAAGACCGTCAAGGACGCGAGTCAGTTGGTATACATAGGGATTCAAATATCTCCAAGCTTGACGTTACAAATGAAGGCAGTCATGAACATTTAACAAATGATGCAGCTGTAAGCTCTCTAGAAAAATCCTTATCTACAAAACATGAGGTAGACAAAGAAATGTCGGAGTCAGCCCTAGAATCAGATTACGAATTTTCAGAAACGTCGCGTTTTGATGATTCTGATGAAGAAGATGTCAGTAACAGTACTTTAGAGATATCGGAAGACAAAAGGTCTTTTTACGAGAAGAGCCTTGACAGCCAGTACCGAGGTACAGATATGGAAAGACATTTACAAAAAGGCGTATATCTCAGTGACAATTATCTCAAACAGTTCAAACAAAATCGTCCAACTTCATATCGTCAGTCCTTTTATCCTGAATTGTTAGACGAGGCTTCGTTGAGAAAATTAGTAAGAGATTCACCAGGAAAATATATAACTGGTATTATATATTTTGATTCAACACATGAGGCGCATTGCAAACCTCTTGATTCAGCTCAAAATATCAGTATCATTGAAATTTCGGGACGCTCAAAAATTGGTTTTGAAGTGTTCAATGAAGATGAAGTTGTTGTTGAAATACTTGATGATTTTGAGTCAAAAGAGAAACGATACGGGAAAGTTTGTGGTATTTTACAGAGGAGGCGACAAAGAAATGTTAAACACCCTGTATTCCTTTGCACATTAGATGAGACAGAATGTCATCTTGTTAAGCCCCTTTGTAGGACAGTACCAAAATTACACATCCTCACAAAAGAGATTAAAAAGACGTATAAGACAAAAAAGGAAAAAGAAAACAAGCTGGAGATATACCAGTATGATGAAATTCATGGATGCTTAAAAAATCCTAGAATTATAGATATAGTTCCAACTGAAAAACAGTCGTACGTTTTAGCAGTGGCATATATAAAATGGGGAACAAGACATTATTATCCGAGAGGAGCAGTTATTGAAATTCTCCCCACAGTAAGAAATAAGAATACAGGACTCACAATCCTAAACTTGCAGTATGCAATCCCTGGTGTGTATGACAGTGGCACTTTAAAAGATACAGGCGAATGTATTCAGCGGTACGAAAAAGAGCTCGAAAATATAATGAAAGGCAGGTTAGATCTCACAAAAATTAATACATTTTCCGTAAATGAGTCAAATGTTGTTGATGTGAATTATGCATTTAGTATAGAAGAAGTTGAAAATGGATACAAAATTGGTGTACATGTTTCAGACGTGTCTGAAGTTGTGAAAAAAGATTCGAATTTAGATAAAGAAGCTTTTCGCAGATCAACTACCTTTGATTCTGGCATTTCTAAGCTGATTCATATGTTACCTGAGCCTCTAAGTGAAGATATATGTAGTCTTCTACCCGGAAAAATTAGACCTACTATTTCCTTGTTTCTGTTTATTTCCAACGAAGGCACTCAAATGCAAAGGGAAGATAAAGATTATGAAGTTTGTTTGTCTTTCATAAAGTCAAGCCGTAAACTATCATATAAAGATGTTGATAGACTTTTATCGTCTGACGATTGTGATGATGAATTGACAAAAGACGTCTGTACTCTAGTAAACCTTTCTTTAAGAATGAAAGCAAATAGAGAGAAATATCCAACGGATGCTTCCAGCATTGCCTATGATGAAGCATTTGGATTTCGCCAGTCCGGTTCTGAATGGACAAAAGCAAACATCATGACAGACGAAATTCTGGACATGGCGAACAAAAAAATTACACTTTATTTGCAAGGAAAATATGGAGATTGCCTACCCGTTATGTATACCAAACCTTCGAGTAATGAAGCTGTACAAGCCTTCCTCAGAAATGCAGATAATAATTTAGATTTAGTATGTAAGTTGCAAAATAAACGCATTGGCACAAAAGTTCCAAAATACAGTACTTGTGGTGATAAAAGAACAAGCGTAATTTTGTCTAGAAATGTATGGGAAGCAATAAAAGAGTTACCAAAAATGGCAGGGGACTATATTCAAAACGATGATCTTCATCCGTTTCAGCGTATTTTATATTCAAAGTTACAATCAATTCTAAACACTGTCGAATACAAACCATGTGGTTCTTTGAAGGAAGTCAAACCAAAGCCGTTAAAATCAACCAGATTTACTTCTCCAATATCTTCTTTTATTGATATGATTGTAATACGACAACTGCATTCCGCTCTAGTCCATGGGGAAAATCCTTATACTATGAAGGAGATCAACAGCATATGTATGTATGCAAACTCTATGAGAAGCAAAGAAAAAGAATATAAACAGGCATGTAACATTTTGGCAACAGCTACAGATCTTCAAAATAATCCTATGATGATACTTGCAGTTGTGAGCAAGGTATCTAATAAAAGCATCCATTTACTTACAAACATCTCAAAGAAAGAATTTGAGCTACCCTTTAGTCTGTTAGATGCAGCAGAAAAGCCAATTGTCTTTCAAGATACAAAAACAAAATTTGATAAAGTGAAAGTTACTTGGAAAAAAAGGCTATACAATATCAACATCGGTGAAAAAAAAGAAAATGAAAAAGGGTTTGATTTGGCCATTAATCCTTACAGTGATGTTGTCTTCATGCCTTTACATGAATGGACAAAAATGCTTAAACTAAGCAAAGAAGGAAATGAAGAAGCATTAAGTCGTGAAATCAAAAGGGCAAATGTCAGTAATGAATACGAAGGATATGATGATGTTACAACAGAATGTGTTGATTCGTTAGAACTTAAACCTGATACAAAATTTTCCATGACGTTTTCCTTAGGACAAATTGTAAGGGTACAGATTACTGCAGAACATCTTAGAGGAATGCTCAATCCAACTTTAATGCTGTACAACATGACCAATAATGTAAAATTTTGTATCCAACACCAAAATGATCCGTTAACAATCTTTATGAATATGCATTACATGCATCGTGTCAACAGTATGAGGATGTGGAAGAATACTTAAATATTTGGGAACCAATCTTGCTAATGGAGTCATCCATTGGTGCTGTCAAGAATGAAGAAAACTTTTGCATAAAAGACGTTCCCGTAAAATTTAATGGTAGAAAAGGCAGTTTTGCATTAGGCTTAGCAGAAATGTGAATCTAGAAATATAGAGTTCTCAGGAACACTTTCTGATGAGGATGAAAATGATGATAATGAGGAAGATACAACTGGGAAACCATGCTATGATTGGTTGTGTATAAAGACAACAGTCCCAAATACTAACGTACGATCCCACAGCTTCACAGATCCTTTATGGGTTGGTCATGCAAAAATAGAGAAAGTTCGTCGTAAAAAGGTTTCGTCATCAGCAAAGATTACGGTGAAGTTTTCACTTCACGAGAAAGCTCCATCTAGGCCAAAATCTATTCGTACTGTGGATACAAAATACAGCGTGGAGGTTTTAAGGAAAATGGAAGTAGACAGGTATATTAAAAATATTTATTTTATTCTCTTCATTTGTTCAAATCATAATTATTGCTTTACGAGACCTTAATGTCGTATTTATATAATCATTATCAACACCTTACCTTTAGCGTATAAGACATAGTGTAAGAATGAAGTTTTGATTGAATTAAAGTGTTCCTTTATCCTGTATAGAATATTACTTAATTTTCACAGGCGATCAGAAAGTTTCATCAAAATGCTTCGACATGAAAAGGAAACATTGGCAACGAAAATAGCATTAAAAAAGGCTATACCACCCTTAGGTATGTACACATTTTATAAACATATTTTTTAATATTGTTTTAATTCATACAATTGTTTGTTGGCTTAAAGATGTTTAAAATGACATTTCAAAGACTCTTGTTTTGACGAACAATTTGCATGCAATTTATATATATTTTGCCTAGATGAAAGTCGAAAAAGCAGTGCCGGACAGATAAAACATGACCTATTTTATGAAGCTTCAAATGAAGATTTGTTGCAAAAACGAATGCCAAAGAATAATGAAAAACAGAAAGAAGCAATCGAAAAAGCCCTTACTTCGAAATTTTCTTTAATACAAGGACCACCAGGTATTGTATTTCTTAGTTCTTCTTTAACTTGCATGTACGTTTCAAGCGTAAATGAATTTGAAAATAATTACCTCATATATTGATTTTACAATAGACCTCTGCAGTCGACAAATTCCTCAAATATACTAACAAATCGTTTTACAACTAGATATGGGGACGAATCACTTTTAAAAGTAATGCATGGAATTATTTGTCAGCTTTATGCTTGAAATTAGCACCAACATTATTTTGAAATGAAATGCATTAAATTAGATTAGCATCATATCAAAAAGTAATGAACTAAAATTAAAGTTGTTCAATCCACTCATTAACTTCTGATAAGTGCAAAATATATACAATATTTATCATTTTCCATAAAAAAAGAAAGAATACCTTTACTTTACAGTAATAAGTATATATCTGTGATTACCAGAATTGCTATTTCAGCGTCATTTTGAGCTATTTTAAAAAGCATGCAGAAATTAAGTTTTAAACATTTGAGAAACGCCCTGACTATAAGGTTTTATTCATCTGTATATGGTCAAATAACCGATTTCTTTATTCTTAAGAAACAAGTGAAACAGTAAAAATTTTGTCAGAAGTTAAAACAGGGTTTTTTAAGGTTGCTCTTTCGAATATTACATTTTTTGAACATGGAAAAAAATTGGATAAGGACTTGGGCTTCATATCTGCGCTGAGTGATAAGGCGAAAATGTCTCCATATCAATTTTAAAATAACTTTTCTAAGTAAGTCTGGAACATCCTGAAGACCTTATATTCAAGCAAAAAACGGGATATGTTTTCTAAAGTGGCACCTCAAAGACTTATAACAAAACTAATATTAGTACATGTATATGAAGTTTAATACAATTTAAGCCTTGGTTAGACTTTACTAATAAGATGAAAACCCATCTTTTGATACCTTAATTATCTAATTTAATGCTACTTATCACACATTTAAATGTTTGAACTAATAATTGGCTGCGATTATCATAAAGAGTAAAAATACTATACTTGTAGCATCTACTCACATGCTGGTTTTGCTGAAATATGAAACAAGAAAGTTTGATAAAAATTTTAGTATACATTTCCACAATTGATGACAGCAAAATCTGAACAATGGGAATTTATGATATGAATTAACAATTTTGTGGCAAAAATAATGCATTGAATTAGCATTGATAGATGCAAGATAGGTAGCATAAATCATAACCTGTTCTACTTGAAAGAAACTTATATACACTTAACTAATGGACTTATATGATTTGTTTTAAGGAACTGGAAAATCAATCACTGGTATCAAATTGATATATCTCTTCGATAAAATAAATGAGAAGATACACAGAGAGAAAAAGCCGAGGAAGCAAGTATTATTTTGTGGACCATCAAATAAATCTGTAGATTTAATTGCAGGTTAGTACATCGTTATCATTAATTATGGAAAGGGAATTTTAAAAGGATTATAGCTAATCGATAACGACTAACGCTGCTATTTTGCTCACAGAGAGCAGTAGGTCAGAAGTCAGATTCACAGAGACGGTAACTAAACGAACATGCATGTTTATTTACAAGGTCCTTGGTATAAACGAACCCTACAAACAAAGATTAAGTTCTATCAACTGTCAAAACTTCCACCAAGTTCATGGCATTTTATTGAATTTGTTATGTTTTAGCAGTCTGGGTTCCGATTTTTAATGGGCTTCTGCTCTCCAAATCGACACTTTCTAAAACACGAACAAATACGAAATAGCCAGTGTGTTATGAATAAGCAAAAAGTATGTTATAAATAAGCAGAAACTATCAACGCCAGGATCCTTGGCTAATGTTTTAGCAAAATGATACAATACTTTCTAAATGTAATGACTGGCTTATATCATACATATTGTGTATATATTCTGTCTCACAGTATGGATGTTAAAAAGAATGGGAAACCATCGTCCAAACTTTGTCAGAGTGTACGGTAGATCAATTGAAACGATAGATTTTCCGGTACCAGGAAGAACATTTCAGTCCAAAAAAAGCACCCGAGCACAGAGAACATCACCTGGGCTTTACCAAATTGCTCTTCATCATCTGATTAGGGAAAAGGGCAAGAAACATGCCGACGAAATCAACAAATTCGATAAAATGTTTAAAGATGCAAACTACAAACCAATGCCATTACAAGTGAAGAAATATGTGCATCTGATCAGGGAAGCATCAATTGAAGAAATAAGAAAGCACGATGTTATACTATGTACAACTGCTGTTGGGTCAAACCCAAAAGTTCTTTCTGCAGCAAGCGTTTATCAGGTATCATAAATAAAGCTTTTTAACTATAAAATGGCGTTTTCAGAACAGTACTTACATTGCTATTTCACCAATTTTGACAAAACAAACTATTTTGAAAAATGTTCTTTACAAAAATAGTATGTGTTATTATCAGATGCCTGTGCCGCTTTTGAAGATATTGCACCACCGTGCATATATTTTGACGTGACGTCGTTTGCGTTATTCAAAGATACGCGCTAAATGTTACTTGTGAAAAAATGAAAAAAAAAGTGAATTATTTTCACCATAAACAGTTATTTTGATATGTGATAAATAGAAGATAAAATTCGTGTAGGTTACTACTAAATTTATTATATTCATTGAGTGAAATAATATTATGCTGGCCAGAGGGTCAAATAATAAAACTCGTTAAATTCAGTTTTAAGCATATCCTCTGTATAGAAGACATAGTGGTTTGTTTATGCAATTGTAATATTAATAGATTGTTAAGAACACATTTCAGTTTATAATTAAGGAAAGATCCATACTGTTGGACTGAAACCAATTCCAAGTAAATTTGAAAATATGAATTTTTATTAACAGAAGGATAAGTCATAAACAAAAATATCTTTTTATTTTGTTGGTTGCATGTTTGGGTAATCTTCTGTATGATTTCCGTCATTTGTTAAATCATTTTACATGTATATTTATTTAAAATACTTGATAACCTATTTTACAGGTAATCATTGACGAGGCTGGGATGTGTCCGGAACCACACTGCCTTGTTCCTATTATTGCTACTAAAGCAGAACAAGTTGTTCTTATAGGTGACCATAAACAACTTAAACCGATTGTCATGTGTAAAGAGGCAGCATCACTTGGACTTGAAATATCTTTATTTGAAAGATATGCACTGTCAGTATCACGAGATTCCTCAAATGTCGAGTTTACAATGCTTGAAGAGCAGTATCGTATGGTAATTATTACATAATTTATTTGACAAGATGACGTGAAAACAATATAGAGATATAAATAGTTGTGCTTATTAAATGTTGCATCCTTGGATAAAGATCATCATCAATACATTATGAAACTTCAGAACACGTGTGTATGCGTATACATACTGTGTTTAAACATGCAAGTCATAGTGATATTGATCAATGGTAAAATGATCTTTTAAGTCATTTTATGAATAATATCAAACGGAATAAACACATATGTTATCGATAAATAAACATTATAAGGTAATACCAAATTACTGTATGTTTGAGAAAATTCATAAAAGTCGTATGCAGCTAGCTAAACGGCTAAGCCTACAGAAAAAAACAACCTGCTAAATTTGCTCAGTCTTCACAAAGACCATCAACATCTGGTCTTACAAAAGTGAAGGAGCCCCCATTGATTCAGATATATCATTGGGTGAAGCTCCAGATACAGACGAGCAATGCTGTGTTTGTAAAGGTTTTTTTCCGTCCATATAGGAAGATGGGATGTGTCTCTTTATTTATGTTTATTATGAAACGAAGCCAGTGTGATTTTTGTGGTCATATATTGCATTAAGGTCAGGTGTCTTAGGAGGGGTAGCACATTTAGGTGTGTTATTATCCAGAAGAGTAATTCTCTAGACAGTGTATTGTTACAGATACTTTCAAGAAATTTCAGTTAGCTGAACATTAAGTTAACTGAGTAGAGAACTTGGTTGATTGTGTGTGTGTGTGTGCGCGTGTGCGTGTGTGCGTGCGTGTGGCATTTAGTCCTATGTAACCTATAAGAGTTATTGACATTTTTTACCTATTTTCCGCTTAAGATTTGATATGACATGACGGTTCAAAATGGCTGCTGAAACTTTATATTTTGATACTTTAAGTTTGCAAAATGAATATTGACCCGGATTATGAATGAGAGACCGGAAAAGGGAAGTTAGTTTTTTTTTGTTTCACCATCAAAAATTGAATACCTAGTCACGCGGAAATACAGATAAGCGGCAAAGTATAGTATTATAATTATGATATTAATTTGCATTGTGCCGAAATCTCTACATCTTACTTGATCATTTTTGTTTTTAGATTGTTTTGAATATAAAAAACATTTACGTTTTTATCATTGAAGATTATTGTTTGAAAATTAATTTAAAAATTTGTTATAAAGACCAAATTAAGAAATACTTCAGCTTTCAACAAGGCTTACAAGACTTACTTTTTTGAATAATACATTATCTGTGTACATTGAAAAATAAATCGCATCAACTCCTACACTTATCAACCATAAATTAATATGGTAGTACTTATGAGTTTTCTTTTCCTAGGACCCGAAGTTAAGCGAATTTCCATCTTCTGAGTTCTACCAGAATAGATTAAAAAACGGAAACGACGGTATCCGCTGTGGTAGTAACCTTCCCTTTTGGCCAAAAGACGGATCCGAGATATATCCCATGGGTTTTGTTCATGTCGAAGGGCAAGAGGAGACATTGCCAGTCTCAACCGAAGATGGAAATGAACAGTCTAGAAGCAATGCTGCTGAAGTTGATCTTGTGGTAGAGTTTCAGTTATTTCAATTATTTTGGCTATGAAAGTTTTGAAAAATAAGTGTTGATTTTAAAGTTTAATTCATTAAATATATAATAATATACATGTATACCAACCATTTTTTGTCCTCTTTTCAATCTGTAAAAGGAATTTTTATTCATTTAAATAAATGTCGTTATGAATTCAGAAGTACATGTATTTATCTGAAAAAAATGTAATTGAACAATGTTAATTATATTGCTACATTCTGTTGCATTCATATATATGTTCATTTATTTTACCTATTTCAAGGTTAACGCGTATAAATACCTGAAGAAAGATGAGCATAAAGTAAGCATCAAGATATTGTCCCAGTATAATGCGCAGTGCTCTGAAATAAAAAAGAAATTGGAAAATGAAAGTTTCGCTGACGTCGGCACTGTTGTATCAAGTCAAGGTATCAACAATTTATCTTTTAAATTGATTTTATTTTTAAATTTTGATAATATTGTGTAACATGACCGTATAAGAATGAAAGACTAATTTTTTGTTTAAAATTTGTCATGACAAAATGAAAACTTATAAGGTACGACAAAAATACTATTATTTTAGTCTGGTCTTGATTGGAAGTTTTCATTTATATTTGCAGGTGGCGAATGGGACTATGTAATTTTTAGCACGGTTCGATCCTTACCTGACTACAAGATAGAAATAAACCCTACCATTGGATGGTGTCAGCATAATCTAGGATTCATTACGGATAGAAATCAGATAAATGTTGCATTAACAAGAGCAAAAAAAGGCCTGATAATTATAGGTATACACTTCGTAAATATGAGGTTGTCAAGCCAGATTAAGCGCTTCTTTTGTTATTTAAGTCCCGGTCCCGGTGTTACAGGGTGTGGGGACTTTAATTTGTCCTTCGCACGTCTGTTTGTCCGTCTGCCCGTCTGTTAAGACGATTGCATGACCTTGATAGTAAGGGATGTTTATCCGGTTGCAAATTGACTTTATGAGGCTCGACCTTGTTAATAGAATACAATAATATTGCGCGTGGGATTTTAAAGATAAAAAAGATCAAAGAAATAACAACATAATGCCTACTCAGTAGGTACGTTAATCTGTCTTAAAAAATCTTTGCAATAAGTCAACAAATACTTGAATATTTTCATAAAATTGAAAGATAGAAATATGACAATGGAGTGATTAGGCACATCATTTCGTTTTATTCCTATAGTTATCTGTTTGATTGCTATGGTAAAAAAAAAAAGAATTAAAATGCAAATATCGTGACACACTATTGAAACAAAAGACCATGTCACAAAATGTGTCTGATAACTGACAAAAACAACAACAACTACAACCAAACCAAACTAAAGAAACAAACAACAACAACAAGAGTGTTATCATCATTATAAAAGACTTGTGTTTATATTTCTGTTTACTGAGGAAACACGGCCATGATCCCAATAAGGTTAGGACCAACGATTCCTAGGTTCAGATGAAAACACTTAAGATTATTTATTCACACCAAATGTACAAATTTATTTACGACAAATGTTCATTTATTACCTTATACGGGTAAGCATGTTTTACCTTCAGATAATGTTTTCTTTCCACCAGGTAATAAGAAACTTCTGCAATGTGACGCTGTTTGGAAGAAAATGATACAGCACTATGAAAATCATGGCTGCGTATTCGAACCTGATAAGTTTGAACCTACAGCAGGCTGCAAGCGACAAATAGAAAATATCTCACAAGAATACCAAAACAGAATAACGCATATAGGATCAGGTGTGAGAGGAACACGGTCGAGGAAGGAAAGGAACTATTGACTATATTAAAGACAACGAAAGTTGATGAATAATTACACATTTATGTATGAAAACAAACATACTAAAATGTATTTAATATGTCTTTGTTGAATTACAACTAATATGGTAAGATAGATATTATATATCATTGATCTCTAACCAATTTGTTACGTTGCTTGTTTTGAATATAAACAGAAAATTTTGTTAGTGTTGAAATTTAGAGTCTGTAAAGTAAGCACTATTTTTTAGCGCGTGCTCGTGTGTATATGTGTAAATGCGTGCGTTTTTACACAAATCGTTCATATGAATTAAATTGGTCCTATATGGAAAGGGAAAATGTTGTTTTCTCTGATTATATTTTTTTTCACAAGACATATTAGTCGATAAAACATTTATTTTATTTTTCAGTTTGTTTGTTTTAGCGAAGAAGTTTCAATAGTCATAACAATTTTGTTTTCTAAAACATAGTTTGTGATAATTACCACATTGTCTTTAAATTAGTTCTTTTTTGTTTTTGTTGTTGGTGTGTATATATTTTGTTTTAATTTTAGTATCTAATGATTAGTTTTTGAAGCATATATGATAATATTATCAGATACTCTGTAGAGAGTGACAATATACTCTTTTTAATATGTTTAAATATGTTTAAAAATGTTTTCTTACATTTGATATGTTGTATAACTTGTATCACATTGATCAAACTATAACAAAGAACAAAAAAAAATTTGAGAAGATTATGCCAGCTAACTTTAGATTAGATAACAAGTGCCCGCTTGTGTTTCCAAAGTGTACGGATGAAAACACGTTATCTTCCAACCACTTATTCAGGAAAGTCGCCATGTGATCTAATATTGTCGGTTTGACGCTTTGCCTACTTAGTTCAACTCTAAAATGGAATTAGAATCTAAACTCTTTTGGCGTCGAACGTTTTTGAACTTTTCCTTCAGTGAAAATTCTAAAACATCGTTCTTCATAAGAAAAGTAAGCATAAATAGGCGCATTTGTGATAAATAAAATATTTAGATGATATACAGCATAATTATTGTTTTTTACTATAATGTGATATGCTTACGTTTCAGAAACGAAACATTTTCTTGTTGCTTTTTCAGTACTTTGAAATTGTAATATTACCTCAATTTGTTCAGTAACGCATTTAAAAATGCATATCTGTGTAAAAGATCTTAATACAATGTCTTTCTGTACGTTTTATATACACTATGGTATATACATAATTGGTTCTTATGTCAAAAAGATATTGAATTACCGTTGTATTTAAATGTTTAGCTGATGAAATAGACACAGGCATCCCTTAAATATTACTATACGTATTGCTTTACATACTACTAAATTAAAGTTTGTTATTAATTACAATTAATTTTGTGTGGTTTGAGATACGTTACAATTGATTTAATGCATATTGTTATATTCATTCAAATTCAAATAAGCTTTTTTATCAGCATTATGTTAATGACAAACTAAATCTATTATAAAATAAATAGTTTTGCAAATATTGGTTCCGATAAAAAAAAACTATTCATTTCCTACTCTATTTCTCTCTCTCTAAAGCCACTCATGTATTGTCAGCATGGCAAGTTAAAAAAATATGATTTTTATGCCCCCACAGAGTGGGAGCATATAGCGTTGCACTTGTCCGTCCGAGTGTCCGTCACGCCGTACGTCTGTCCGTCCGTCCGTCTGTCCGTACGTCCCGAAATCTTGTGAACGCAACTCCTCTTAAACCGGATGGCAGATTTTGCTTAAACTTCCAGAGATGAACAACCTTAATGTGTAGATGGTAGTAAAGGAAGGAATTTTTGCTGCGACCAAATTTAACAGAATTATGGCCCTTTGTTGATTTTTTCACTATATACTATGTAGAAATTTTGTGAACGCAACTCATCTTAAACCGGATGGCAGATTTTGCTTAAACTTTCAGGGATGAACAACCTTAATGTGTAGATGGTAGTAAAGGGAGGAATTTTTGCTGCGACCAAATTTAACAGAATTATGGCCCTTTGTTGACTTTTTCACTATATATAGTATATACTATGTAGAAATTTTGTGAACGCAACTCCTCTTAAACCGGATGGCAGATTTTGCTTAAACTTCTAGGGATGAACAACCTTAATGTGTAGATGGTAGTAAAGCAAGGAATTTTTGCTGTGACCAAATTTAACAGAATTATGGCCCTTTGTTGATTTTTTCACTATATACTATGTAGAAATTTTGTGAACGCAACTCATCTTAAACCGGATGGCAGATTTTGCTTAAACTTCTAGGGATGAACAGCCTTAATGTGTAGATGGTAGTAAAGGAAGGAATTTTTGCTGCGACCAAATTTAATAGAATTATGGCCCTTTGTTGATTTTTTCACTATATACTATGTAGAAATTTTGTGAACGCAACTCCTCTTAAACCAGATGGCAGATTTTGCTTAAACTTCCAGGGATGAACAACCTTAATGTGTAGATGGTAGTAAAGGAAGGAATTTTTGCTGCGACCAAATTTAACAGAATTATGGCCCTTTGTTGATTTTGATTTTTCAATTTGTGGCACATGTAGTCCAAAAAATATTTGACCTAGAGTCATAAGATTGAAAGAACAGTGGCGTGTGGGGGCATCCGTGTCCTATGGACACATTTCTAGTTTGTACATAATCTTAAATCGTTCTTGGTTTGTTTGACGTCGTTTGTAATTGATGCATATATTTTTGTATTGTGTTTTATGCCTAATATTTTGACATCATAAAGGTTGCTATTGCCATGCTATTTTGGCTAAGAGAACGAATTAAGATTCTGGATTTGATTTTTAATTCTTTCATGTGAAAAAGCTAAGGAACGGAAAAATTGTGTTCTGCCTGTAATGAATGATGTAGTGCGTATGGGCTCTTGCTTTCTTCTTCCAAACCTGGAAGTCGTCATTTGACGTTTTGTGTCAATGGGACTACAAACCTAATCAAAAGAATGTCATGATCTAGTTTTGATTGGATCATACGTCGTAACAAACACGGTATATGTCATATGGCGACTGTCTAGCTTTACCGGTGAAGGAAGACGTCAGATTCACATAAATACATTGACACGAACGGGTACCTGAGTAGAACCATCGACGTTCCGTAAGCTAGCTGGATAGCTTCTTCACATGAAAGCATCTAAAGTCGGGATTTGAACCCACAGCGGTGATAGCAAGTGGTTTGAAGTCAACGAGCTCAACCACTTGGCCACGGACGCCCCATATGCCGTTATCTCTTCAGGACTCTTCGAGACAACCTAAGATTAATTAAGGAAGTAAACTTATTTGAAAATCGTACTAAAAAGCTCTTTTCACATTTGTTATGATAAGTATATCAAACAGTTGCTGTGATACGAAGATTTAGATGTTACATTTGATACTCAAAATCAAAAGAAACTTTGCATACCTTTTGTGTAATACCCATCAATCAAATTATTTTTATTACCATGATTTTATAACCTCAAGATCTGTATAATTTTTTTACAAATACAGAGCATATGTTCAAACTAAATCTTTGTAAAATGTTGATATATTTTTATTTGAACAGCTAAGATCATATACTTTACACACCGTAACACTGACTAAAAAGTTACTCAAATGTGAATTAAAACTTGTTTTATGTATACTTAAACTATAAGGTCTGCTTTGCACATGCTTTTTGTGCATTTTGATTTTCAAATATTTTACATGTAACATCACATGTAACATAATTTCTATGGACTTGTATAGTAAAATTGTCTTTAAAAATTTCTCCTCAAAAGCTATTTAACCTGGGGTTTAGATATTTTTTATTATATGCCCATTCATGTTTATTATATGCATATGTTATTGTAAATAATTCAGCTAGTATGTTATGAATGAACAAGCTCATTCATCATTTTGATGGAAAATATATTTACATGATTATTTGCACAAATAGATTGTTGTGATATATGTTATGATAAGTATATCAAAGAGCTGCTGTGATACGAAGATTTAGATTTATATTTGATACTTAAATTCAAAAGAAACGTTGCATGCCTTTTTATGTTATACCCACTATTCAAATAATGTTTATTACCATGATTTCATAACCTAAAGAGTTGTATAACTTTTTTTTCAAATACAGAGCATATGTTCAAACTAAATCTTTGTGAAATGTTGATTGATTTTTATTTGAACAGCTAAGATTATATACTTTACACACCGTAACACTGACCAAAAAAGTTTCTCAAATGTGAAATCAAACTGGCTTTATGTATACTTAAACTATGAGGTCTGCTTTGCCAGTCTTTTTTGTGCATTTTGATTTTCAAATATTTTACATGTAACATCACATGTAACATAATTTTTATGGACTTGTATAGTAAAATTGTCTTAAAAAATTTCTCCTCAGAAACTATTTAACCTGGGGCTTAGATATTTCTTGTTATATGCACATTCATGTTTATTATATGCATATGCTATTGTAAATAATTCAGGTCGTATGTTAAAAATAAACAAGTTCATTCATTATTTTGATGGAAAATATATTTTCATGATTATTTGCACAAAAAAGATTGTTGTGATATATGTTTACGTTTTATCTCAAATACTTTTTTATATTATGTTTGATTTATTTCATACGAAAATTATTTAAGTTTAATTAAAAAGAAAGTTATAAGGTTATACACCCACTCTCGAATCTGGTCCTTGAACCAACCAGTAATAAGATATAAGTGTAAAGTTTCTTGTTTTTCGCCCCTGACTTGTTTTAAACCCATCCGGCTAGAATTCCTTAGATTATTAGTCCAATGCGTTTACCACTCGGCTACGCAGACCAAACGATTGATATTCATTCATAATACATGTACTTGTTTTATTCTTGATACTTGAATTTCTTTAAAAATTTTACTATATTGTTAATTCTATAATCAAAACATTTTTACCTTAATAAACTGATTTTTTTCCTATGTATGAGTGTAGTTATTATTAATAAAATGAAGATTGTGACATTTTTGATGAAACGCTGTTTATTTCTGAATACGAGTATTTTTAGTTTAAATGCCTGGCACGTTATATAAGTTATTCTATAAATACCTCTTAAAAGCTCCTGATTTGTCCTGAAATTCTGCATATCGTTGTTTTCTTATCCACGCGACAAGGTAGATATTGATATTGTTGTGTAACCCACTTGACTCTCATCACTGTGTGTTCTAATCCCGCTAGGGATTTTCGATTCTTTTGTGTGAGTAAGCTGTCAAGTTAGTGTACGGTACGCCGGTGGTTTTACTCGGGTGCCTGTTCTTGTCTGAAATGCAAGAAAGGGCACCTGAGGTCTTCTCCAACCGTTAAAGCTGGGAAACCGCCAGGTGTGACGTGAAACCCACTAATCCAAATACTAGTTAAAGATAAATAAAATAGAAACATAGGTGTGTACCCTGTATGCTTACTGCACATCTTTTTAAAGACGATTTGACTACTGTATTTGACATCTTTTGAATGAATTCTTAACAAATTTAAATGTTTATGCAATGTTTGCATATTAAGCGAGAAAATCCACTCGATATGCTGTTTGAACAAAGCCTAATAAAATAGGAAACTCGTCTTGCCCCTTGTATTTTAAAATGGTATTTTCTATAGCCCCTTTCGATTATACCACTTGTCCAACTCCGCAGTGATTTCCAATTCCGTTTGGGACTTTAGGTTTTTTCACGTCGGTGGTTAAAAATGTTCTTTTTAAACCGTTGTTCTTTGAATTTATTTATGATAACGTTCAGATTAAATGTAATTATTTACTAGTTACTACGGTCATTTCCAAAGTTTAACCCATAACGCGATATACACGCCTTTTAACGTCTTTTCCCCCCTCCTTTTTTGGTGTCTCAAATGGTGAAAAATGCCTTATTTAGGCCCCCAACACTTGGTTTTGTTTGAGAAACGTTGTTTAAAAAAGTGACCACTTTTTCGGCGCGGCCCCCAACCAAAAGATACATGAGGGGGTTGCCAGAAGGGGGATGTGCCCCCTTCTATTTGGGGGGTTTGAAAGGGGGCGGTAGTCCCCCTCATCGCCAAGCAAATTTTGGACTTGTGAGAGGCTAAAAATGACCCCTGATCGTTCATAAGGTAACGTGTAACCAACGCTGAAAAGCATTTGACTCTATCTCAATCCATTGAAAAGTTGCAGCACTTTGAAATCAATTTTGATGGAAAAAATTAACGCAAAATAGTGATGTTTGGCAATTTTGAGATGTCCTCTCGTTGCCATGGTAACAGGAAATCTAAGCCTGAGCATGTTGTTGCAATGGCAATGGTCCAATCAACACTTGTGCCAAGTTTGATTAGCATTGAAGCAGTTTTTATAGTTTAATAGCAATTTGAACTTGTAACGGGAGACTTTTCAATGAAAACAGCCATTTTTCACAAAATACTCATGAAGTAACGGGTTAAACATATTTTTCCCTCATCCAACTAACCAAGCGTCTTAAATTCAGGAAATCTCGGTTAGAATGGCCCCTCGTTTTAACAAATCATAACTTCGCGAAAATTCAGCATTTCTCGTCACTTAGACTTGCAATATGCACACATGTATCATTCAGAACTCATGGCAGATGAAACATAATTATAAACCGATGAACGACGGAAAGACCGACAAAGTGCGAAAGCTTGATACATGTTACCATTTTTTACCAGATTTTCCGATGGAACAAAATATGATTATTAGATTGAGCTAGTCGGCTGATGGGCGTACACAATTTCTTCCGTGCGTAACTCCTCCTTTCTTTTTGCAAGGGATTTTGTCCAAACTTTTAGAAAAGCTGAAGCATCAAGTGACCTGTCGTATATTGTCACGTTTTTGTGATTTGATATATTTTTACTTATTTATGGCCTTTTGGTTTTTTTTCCTTATATAAAATATATACAAAATATAGTGAACAATTTTTCTTTACGCAACTCCTCCCACATTTTTGACTGGATTTTGACCAATTTTCACAGAAGCTATGAAACGAGTGCCCTGGTTTAGTGATTCGATAAGTTTTGACCTAATAATGGCCACTTTTTTATATGTAAAATATGTAAGGTAACATGTAATATATAGTGTAATATCCTTTTAATCATATTTACTACTTTATAGAGTTATTGAATGGAGACCATCTGGTTTGATATACGCATGCCAGCTCTTCTGCTTGCTTTTCTGTCCCGTAAAGTCAAGGTAAATGAGACTGGTTCTAAAAATAGAAAACCTGTTTCCAGTCCATAACTAGAGTAAGGAATGAGATACATATATTTCAATTAATTTGGTGTATAACAAGCTTTATATGTAAAAACCTTGCTTTGGATTGCTTTTGGACCCCTATGGTCAAGTTCAAGGTCACTGTTACTAAAAATTAAAATCTGTTTTCTGGTCGATAACTATAGTTAAAAACGAGACATTTCAAGCAGACTTATAGCAAGCTTATTTATGTGAAGATTCGCTGGGTATTGCTCTGGATCCCTTTTACCAAAATAGAAATATGAATTCCGGTCAATAATTAGAGTAAGGAATGAGATTTCTCAAATAAATTTGTACAGCAAAATTTTGTGGTTTCATATCAAATTATGTCGGCAGGCGGGTGGATAGGTGGCTTGCGTAAACAATTGCTACCGTGCGTATCTCGTACATTTTGCAAGGGATTTTGTCCGAACTATTACAGAAGCTGTGTCATCAAGTGTCCTGGCGCATATGGTCAGGGTTTTATGATTTAAATATTTCTGACCTAATAATGGTTCTGTTTTTCTGCCTTTTATTGGAATATATAGTGAACAATGTCTTCTGTTAATTGAAAAATGCTCAAAATCTGTATGAAAACGGACTGACAGAATTCGTGCGGATATATATACAAGTGGACTGTCAAAGAACAAAAAAGGAACAACAAAGTTGTGTACTAAATAATAAAACACCAAGCAAAAGTATATAATAAAACGAAGAAGTAAATATTTATTGAACGTTTAGGATTGGCAATAACAATAACAACAGTAAATTTATCAAATTCGAGAATTATTTTTGAGTATCATTTGAAACTGGATGAATATAAAATACTATTGTTTAAATAGAAAAACTAAAACTAATAATCATGAATAGAAATAAAAGTAGAAATAAATACACATAACATTTTGTTGTAATAAATTGCATTCTACTTTGTCAAGTTCATGAGATATAAGGTAAAGTGAATCAATGAAATAAATTGGTAAACAAACTTTAATTAGTTTAATCGTGAACAAATAACAAAAACGAATGCTACATAGTGTGCCATTATTATTGTTTAAAAAGAATTTCTACAATAATCACAACTATAACTCATATGCATCATATTTTTTCAATGAGAAATAATCTTCTTTCACGCCACCTGCCGGATGATACCTTCTTGGATTTTTACATAGAAGCTGTGAATCAAGAGATTCGAAGATTGAACCAAAACGGATGAATAACACGAAGATTTCAAAACCTGAACTCTATTCATTTTGAAAGTTTATCCAGCGATGAAAGAATATTAGTGATAAAAAGGCTTAATAATGAACAAGGAAGAGTAAATTGCAGTGGTGATTAAACAACAACTTAATAATCCAAAGCATATACTACACTTAATCATGACCCTTCCTCTTCAATTCATAGCAATATTTTAAAATGCATTGATGAATTTAGGAAACGGCAATATTTTTTATGAATTTGACATTTTTCCAAAAGATGTACTACTAATTGGCGACATAGACAAATAACTCTCGATTATAATGTTAAAATATAATTGGCGACATAGACCTCTCGGTTATAAAATGTACGACCATATTATAAATACCACTTTAAAGCTACATGTTATAAGTATAATATTGCACGTAAATGTATATTTAAACTGTTAAAACACAACATTCGGCATAAAATAAACATATTTCTATATGACACGATGATACAATGCAATACACCAATGCAATGATTTCACAATTAAGGATTGTCTTTGCCAACTGTATGCATTCTACGGATCTATTTCTTCCTGAAATAATAAGACAAATTATCGACCATTATCAGTTTAACAATAAATGGTTTAATTATTCAACAGAATTAAAGTGTTGTCAAATAAAAAGAACTGGACAATTTTTATGTTAAAGAAGCAATATTTATAACTATATAATCACCGAAAAATAACAAACTTATATTACGAGTATGCCAAGATTCATTGAGGAAGTTATCCAGCTATCTTACATAAGGTAAGTGGTTCTTACTCAGGTGCCCGCTTTTGCCTTAAAATATAACCGAGGGGACACATGAGGTCTTCCTCCATCAGCAAAGATGGAAAATCGCCATATGACATTTACAGTTTATGTGTGACGGAACAACAACAACAAAACAAAGAAACCTACTTGTCGTATCTTTGATGGCTTTTCAAAATGGCTTCTCTCATTATTTCCCGTCGACTCCTTCTTATATTTTGCGGCGGGAACTCTTCGGGAGTCTTTATACACCCTCGTACTTCGTAATGTTGTATCAACTTTTTCCATGTGCAGTCACATGCGAGTAAATTTCTGTTACCTGTCAACGTTTAATAAGAAAATAGTTTTTCTTGTAAATCATGAATTGTTCTTTTTATGTTTTATCTATATCTTTTGACTTTGTTATTATTCTGTTTCCAATTTTCTGAGATACTACGATGACCGCTCTTGTGAAGTAGGTCATCATTTTGTTTCGTAGATTCTTTATTGTCGAAATGATCTTGAATTTGGAAATTGTTTGAATTAAAACAGTATACAATTGTTGACCATATTGACTTTACGTCATAAACTTAATTTTTCTAGTGACATGCTCACCATAGATCACAAGATCACCATAACTTTGGGTACATATTTCTATCTTCAAAATCTTCAAGTTTCATGTAACTGATGGATACTAGTATATAGAAAATATGACCTTTATGTCATCTTGGGACAAAAAGTCAAAGATAAATGTGACTGTGATTATAATTATTGACAATAATTGTCTGTGTAACCCTCAACTTTACCGATTATCGTACATGTTTGTGGAGAACAAACGTAACATCTTATTACATTAATATAGCAAAAATATGCTTCTAGAAATAATCGCATTTTCAACAATATCTTGAATAATTATATCTTTCATCTACATGTTTCAATGCTATGTTTCTCAAATCCTCCTTGTAAAGTGCGAAACAGATTTAAAGACACAGTTTTTTGCCTATTTGATAAAATTAAGGTCAGCGGAATGTTAACAGTTTTAGTTTGTTAAATATTTGCACTCATTTTAGTTAAGTTTGAAAACTGCAAGTTTCCTGTTATTTGGTAAAGGTAAACAGAAAGCCAAGTATAAAATCTGTGCACGTATATATGCAAGATGAAAACATGGATTACGGATAAAATCATGCGAGCTCGCGAAGTTGCCGCACGTTTTGAAAATGCGTGACTTAGGGCGCCATGTAACATAGTTTTTTGCAATGACGGCCCGATAATTTCATTATCAAAACATAACTGTCATATTGTAACGCACTACCACGTAAAAAAGAGCATTACCACGTAAAAAAGAGCATGACGTAATTAGTTTCGAAACATTAAAAACAGATAACGTAACGCAAAATCACAAGTAAAGTTTTATGCAAGAATAGCGCTTATGCTCTCTGACACAGTTATCCCTCACCCTGCGGGCATGGGCTTTAAATTCGCCCCGTGTATCTGAAGATATTATTGCATTAACCGTCTATTATAATGATGTTCTTGTCAACTCCATGAATATCAATTAATGTTTTGAGGAATGATTTATTATCTTGACCAAAACTTGCATCTATAATACAAAACAAGCAATACATTTTGAACACAATATCTACCTATGATGATGAGTCCCTTCCGAGCTCTAGTTAGGGCCACGTTGACCTGATTCATGTCGTTGATTAACCCCAAGTTACGCTGGCACCATTCAGGAGTAGGATTATTGATTATTTTACATTCCGGTAATGACCGTACAGTGCTAAATATCACATAGCTACATTCGCATTCTGTAAAAAACGTCATCGAAGTCTTTGATTAAATATATGACACTACACGTTTAGTAGACTCATTATTATAAGTTATAATAGCAATTATGTAGCTTATTAATCGTTCCACGCAATCTGGCTATAATAAATTGAACAATATATATACAAAAATCAAAACCAACAATTAAATCAAAATATTTGATGGCATTTAAAAGAAACACAAACATTAAGAGGACCGATGACCTATCAATGATGTAAACATTTTAAGACAAATTTTTGAACAGCGAGTTACAGAAATCTTTTTTTTTTCTCTCAAAAGAACCGAAATAATTGCACTTAAAAAACAATAAAATACATGAATGAATATGAAGTGATGAGTGAATAACAGTATTCTTTTGTCTGAGTAATTCAGTTAAATAATACTTTTATAAACACACCTTGACTTGAATTGACTGTGCTTACAATGTCATTTGCTGTTGTAATACCATTTCCTTCAAGCCTTCTTTTTATCTCAGAACATTGCGCATCATACTGCGTCAAGATCTGAACTGTTTCATTTGGAACTTCTTTAGTCAAATATAAGAAAGTGGCAATCTGAAACAAGACAAAAATATGCTCGCCACTACTGCTCAGTCTCATAATATTAAATCCAAAATTCATAACGTTTAAATGATCAATACTCACAGTTCCATTTTCCCCTCCCCTAAATTGAACTCTATCTGTGACAATGGCATTGGCAAAAGGAAAATAAATGTTTAATCCAACACGATGTCTCCCAATCCTTACAATACCTTAATGTATGTAGTAACTTAATCATGTGCATTTGTTTTCCTCACACCTCTACCTGACCTTTGATATAGCGACATGCAATTTGTGTCCAACACTAATACACATGATGGTTAACATGTTTGTCAAAAGTAAAATAAATAAGACACCTCTGTAAAAGATATAGTTTACACAAACTCCCCGCAGACAGTCACGGCTGGTGACATTGACATTACATATATAATATTGACTTGAATTATGCTAAAACACCAAGTCTTATGCTTGTGAACATTCCTTCCTTATGTCTCATGGTGGTAAACATCTGTGTCATGTAATTCTATAATCCATGCATGCATGCAGAAACTATATGTTGTATACTCAGTCATTTTTTATACTTAACTGCAGAAGCCTGTTTCCTTTACGCGGCACCGCCTCGCAATTGTTAACAAGTGTTTTTTCACCTCTAAATTTTACCCTGATATTTGATCTAGAGAACTGTTTCATTCACCCGACAAAACGTTTGATGGTGGTAAACATTTGAGTCCAGTAATGTTAAAATTCGTGTATAAAAGATATAAATTGAATGTTGCCTTGAAATCATCTTTAGTGACTTAGCCTTAAATATATTGATCTAGATTATTTTGGCTATACACACTTTAAAATTAAGGCCCTTTTACTCAATACAAACAAGTTGTTCAAATAAACATTTTCATTTTATTTATCTGCCTTTTGACGTTCAAGTGTGGCATTGACTTTGTTTTTAAGGACTTGAATTTCGCAACTGACACATTGCCTTACAATGTTGAACATTTGCGCCAAGTTAATATCTTGAAATATTAGAAGTATCTTGCATGCAAAACGATCAAGGCAATCGTTTTAAGTGTCAAATTGACCTTACAGAACGTCTCATAGTGGTGTTCGTTTGTGTCAAATAACATTCTAATACCAACACGTATGTAGAAGATCAACTCCGGACAAAACTGAATGTATTCTGCAAGTCACCAGTACTTTTTGTGTGACATGAAATATAAGCGATTTTCTTTTATCATATTCTATAACTATCTTCCAAAGTATAATACTGATATATTACCACGTGATTGATTTCAGCATCATTTCTCCATGATTGCACATTCCCAATAATGGACAAAGTTACCATGTGCTCCCCTCCCTCAATATGAATAAGTACATGCGGATAAGTATTTCCTTTTGCATCCTTTGGCCATATGTGTAGACTATCTTCTCCCCAGGTTCCTCGCATCGTTCTTAGTGCTGATTCATAAAAGTGTTTTGAAGGCAATCTGCAAATTTCAGGGTTCTGAAAATAAAAAACATATCAAATATACAACATGATAAAAAATAACTCGTTAATTTTCTCCCCCTTAAACAAAACTTTTTGAAAACAAATTAGAATGCATCAGCCAACGCTGTACGTGAATAGCGACATTCATTGATTTGGTAAAAATATTGCTAAATAAAACGCACCTTCTTTCTGGGTAATTTGATATACAAGTCTGTATTGCCTACAAGCCAAAGAAACTGCACGGTTTTAGAAGAATTTGTCGTTAAAGTGACTTTTTCAAGACAAAGGGAGAGTCAACAGACGGCAATGAAAAGGTCGGTTTGACTTGATACAAGTCGCGGAAAGTCTTTTATGTCATTTCTCTTATTAAAGCGTGTGCTGTGAATACTTTCTTCTTATTGTTTATATTTTACAATTTACAACGGTGAAAACGACAAACAGAATATCTAATTTAGTTATTATCTTCACATGTAAAGATATAAATAGAGTCATTTTAGCGGTGAATCAATTACGTGTGTTTAAATATGAATTAACATAAAATTACATAATGGTTTTACAAATGTCAGTACCATCCTGTATTGGTCTGATAGTCGAGTAAACGGAACATTTTTAGAAGATTCTGTCGTTGCATATCTTTCAAACAGTGACTTTTCCAAACCAAGGAGAGCTGCTTCTCTGCACTTTACCACTGGCCTTAATTGCTTATGATCACCTATGAGAACAACATGCTCAGCCTTAGTTGCAATGATTGTAGCAAGTGCCTGTGGTTCTGTACACATTGCGGCATCGTCAATTATAATCTAAAGTAAAAAAGGTAAAGATAAGAATGTGGAAATTTATAAATGTCATGTTAAATTAAAACTTACACCTTATAACTTTTTTATTGATGAATCATTTAGAAGAAAATGTAGATGCTTATAATTTTCTTTTCTTTTTGTAAATAAGAAAACTTTTTCGGATAAATTGAGAATAATGTGCATGTGTTTTTATACAACAATTCTCATATCTTATATAAAAATCGTTTCTCAGATATTGAGAAAAAGAAAAAGAAGTAGAAAGATAATTGTATTTAAATGGATATTCACTATCATTATTATTGTTCACATTACGAAGAAAGCAAACAAATAACAGCGCAGTATATAACCATGTCTATTTCCTGTTATCGCAGGAAAGGTTACAGGCTCCCAAAGAGTTACAGTGATAACAAGAAAAGCATTGATGCAAAGCATCAAAGGGCGTCCAAGCAGCAGGTGCAGATGAACTAGTAGATATATGATGACAAGATATTCTTATATACTTTTCAATGGTTCATTGGTTTTTACCAGAATTGTATATCACTTATGAATGAACGGACGAAAGACATTGTTCATTATTTATAACTTTGATTGGCATGCTAGAAATTAGAATATTACTTGTTATTTCTTTATGATCGTGGTTATTAATAGCAACGGATATACATGTATACAATCATTTATAATCCATATGTGTAACGCATGATCAACACCATACTTGTGTAATTGTCCCTTATTATGTTATCGCTATTAGCGAGGACCCCCTCTTAAGGTATCTGTTCACACTTAGTAACAATATGACACTTGTTATATTACCATGTTGATCATGTTGAGCATAATTGTTTATTATACAATAATTGTAATATCTATTTTAATAAAAAAATACAGATTTTATGAATATTGTTTTTTTTTTTTGTGTTTTATGCGCTATTTTAATACTGAGTTTTTACGTTTACTACTATTTTAAGAATTTAATTGTCATATTGACCTACGATTATAAGTCCAAACTTAACTGGAAAAAGTCAGTAAATCATGGTTAATCTTTCAATATATAATATTGTTTATTCTTAAACCATATACATGTACATTTGTATTTTTCTTTATCATTTTTTTTAAATTATCAATCAATTGAATAATTCATAAAATCTGATTTGTTACTTTGAATAATTCCTCGGCATCTATACTAAACACGAATAACAAATTAAATAAAATGTTTCAAAGTTGAAAGTGTCATATTAATGCCATAAAAATGTACATTTTTCTCAATTATTGTACATATTTATTGTTTTTATCTCATATAGATAAGATAAAACATGCGATTTGTTTTGTTGGTTTTTTTTTCGAATTGTATGAGTATGTATAATAATAATCAACAAGCAATTATCATAGTATTGCAAGCAATCCATAAGTCCCCTACCGGTAAGAGCCCAAGCAACATTCTGAAGGGCCATTGGCCATTCACTTATGTTCCTATTTTAAGTAAATTTGTTGAAAAAGTTCTTTAAAAGTGATCACAGGAAACAGTTTTTATGTACAGACAGACGGACTGAAGGACACTCTAAAGTTATTTTTTAAACATCCCTGTTATCAAAATATAACATTTTTAAAATCCTATCATGATTGAAGAAGTTGGAGTAAAAATTACCAATTTCTCAAAAAAAAAAGTCTAAGTTCAAAAGGAGCATAATTCTGGAAATAGTCTTGCTAGAGTATTGAGCACTAACAAATGTTGAGTGATAATAAGAAACATTTATATGAAGTTTGAAGTAGATACATTCAGAAAAAGAAGTTATTAAAAAAAAACAATGTTTTTTTTCATGAAAATTTTAAGTTCAAGGGAGGTAATTCTGATAAATTTTGTGCTAGAGTTGTAAACCTTGTCACATATGATGTGGTTGATGACAAGCAACTTATATTTAAAGTTTGAAGAAAATACCTCAAGAAATAAAGAACTTTTAGTGAAAAAACTTAAAAACTAGAATCAGAAATATTGAAATTCAGTCTATTTGTTGCCATAGCAACCAGAATTTTCAACACAGGAAGATAAGAAAAGGATGTGCATAATTTCCATACTGCCATCTACCCATATGTCAAGTTTCATAAACATATTTTCAGTACTTTTTGTGTTATCACTGGATCCAGGTTATGTGTAAAATTTGCCATATTTTCAGTCTATTTGTTGCCATAGCAACCAGAATTTTCAACATAAGAAGAAAAAAAAAGACGTGCATAATTTCCATACTGCCATCTATCCATATATCAAGTTTCATAAAAATATTTTCAGTACTTTTTGCGTTATCGCGGGATCCAGGTTATGTGTAAAATTTGCCATATTTTCAGTCTATTTGTTGCCATAGCAACCAGAATTTTCAACATAGGAAGAAAAGAAAAAGACGTGCATAATCTCCATACTGCCATCTATCCATATATCAAGTTTCATTAAAATATTTTCAGTACTTTTTGCGTTATCGCGGGATCCAGTTTTGTGGACGGACGGACTGACGGACGGACAGACGGACGGACAGACGGACAGACAGACGGACAGACGGACGGAGGGTAAACCTAAAGTCCCCTCCGGTAAACCGGTAGGGGACTAATAAATTTGAGAGTTGATCTGTGTTTATTAATTATTGTAACCAAACATTCATTTTGAAAAAAAGCTTATTTATCCGAAAATATTTGTTCTGTTCTGTAACGAAATCAAACATCTTCTCCAAAACCGGGAGAGACCGGACAATAAACGTGTGGTACTATTCGCCGGTCACTAGTAAATCCCGGAACTGACCGGGAATTACCGATAGGAGTACATCCCTCTATAAATAGATTTTCGGAATATTTAGGTCATCAACTCATCATTCTATTTACAGCTTTCGGAATAACATACCACAATAACCCACTGTGTACTACAAAATGATAAACAAAAATACCCCGAAGAGCGCGATTTATTGACGGAAAAGGTTATTTCATTTGAAAATGTTTGCATTGCAAAATTCTCCAGTTCGCCATTCATTGTACATATCGCGACTAATTAATAATCAAGCACCCTCATACCGATCGGAATGATCGGCTTTTATTATGAACAACTATAAAAGGCTCGAGAAGTTGCTGTCGCCCTTTCACAAAATCCGATTTCATTCCATAATAGGCGCCGCGCTTCGGCGCGGACGCCAATAAGAAGCATGTGCTTGCAATTGCATGTCCATGTTCACATTGCATTGTTTAGGCTCGCAAGACAAAGTACAATGATTTTGTTTATATCTACTATAAATATCCTTACCTGGTAAACATCCAGTGTCTTAATAACCTCCTGTTTTATACACACATTTGTTGTGCAAAGAATTACATCATATTTTTTTATCTCTTCTATCGACACCTCCCTAACTGTATGGACATACTCTTTTACAGTCTTTGGAATATACTTATAGTTATTATCTTTGAAGAATTTATCTTTAGCCAATATTTCTTCAGCATAATTCTTGCCTTTCTCTCGAATGAGATGATGAAGAGCTACACAACGTAAATCTTCACTTGCACTTCTTGTGCTACTTCTAGAGTGAACAGTTTTCCCGGGAATCGGGAAGTCTAGTTCCTCAATTTGTCTGTCATATACACGGATAAAATTTGGTTTGCAACTGCCCATTCGCGTCAGCATGATAACTGAAAAGAAAGTACAATCTATTCAGACACATGATCGAAAGATGACTCGGATAAATGATCATAATTTTTAAAACATATTTTTTTACGTTTTGTTGTTATAAACATTTATGCAAATGCATATTTTGTATTAAAGGGGCTCCACTGAGGTTTAAAAGCCTAATACATATCATTTGAATTTCTTAAATAAATGAGCTGGGGCACTTTTAACAGAAATTTATGCAAAGATAGTTAAGAAATATACTTTGATTAATCGTATTTTTATTCTTTTCATAGCCCGATTTGATTGAAAAGTGTTTAAACGCTTTTCATTTTTGGTCATTTTTTACAATTTGAATAATTATTCTGCAAAAACGAAGTGCGCGAATAATCTGAAATGTTGCGCAAAGATTAGTGGTCTAAACCGACATCAAATGGTACATTTATCTGGAAAAAATATTTTTAGTCCCATCATGTCAAAAAAACCTTAGTCCCTTTAATAAGATACGGATGTAATTTTAGTTGTTAGCATTTAAATGCATTTTTTACAGAATCAGACTCTAAAAACTCGATAGAGAATGAATTTAATTCTTAAAAAAGATTACATGCAACTAAATCGGTCAGTTCATTCGAATGACTGCAATACAGAACTTGTTTCTTAGGATGACCTTCTTTACTCATCTGAAAATTGATTCTGTCGAATAGATACACCAGTTTGATGGCTGTGTAGATTTTCCCCGTACCTGTGATGATTAGAAAATATATTTTGATGCTTATACAACAAATCAATCCATCATATGAATATGTCGTACAAATAATCATCTCAGCTGTTCATACTGAGAACAGTATGTGGACGTACTAGTACATAAATATGTTTGCTCTGTAATAATGTCATAAAAGGAAGTAAGTGACAACAATATCCTGGAAAGACGAATGAATATACTGGTCAAGCAATTGTATGAAGCTTCTGTTTGGTCTGTTGAAAATTCAATATACCTACACGTTGAGATACCCGAATTTTTAGAGAAAAACAGAATTCTTAAATAAATCCCAAAATTGCAAAATTTAAAATGTTGCAGGCTTGGTTCTTAAGTCATGTCACATAACTTTGACCTTTTATTTTCTTCCCTTTTCCCTCAAAAACTAAATATTTATGGAACCTTTTTATGCATGTAATTGAGACTTTATACAAGCATGAATATCTTCTTTAACTGTCATCTATCATTAATAGCAAACTTATTCTGTTCTTATGGCATGAAATGTATTGTTCTGTAAACAATTAGATTGTCCAATATTTCGTTTAAGGCGACTGGACATACAGACAGACAGACAGACAGACAGAGGAATCACCTATAGTCCCTTCCAGTACACCGGTAACGGACAAACAAAACAAATACAATTTAACCAAATAACAAACAACAACAGTATTTAACGTCCATTCACGGACGTAATATAGAAAAAAACAGGAAAAAAACATTTACAGTAGTCTTAACCTTCATCAAAAATATAACTACAATCAACAACTGATCCTAGGCAATTCCGCAATTGTTATTTATCCTGACAAATACTCTACGTATTATAATGTTACGTACATACCTGGTGGTCCCTGAATCAACGAAAAACGTGACGTAAGTGCTTTATTAATTGCCTCTTGTTGCTTTATATTATTAAGTGGAAGACCTGTTTTTCTCTGTTGAGGATCATCCAGATTTTTAAAATACAAATCTTGATTATGTCTTAGACTTGCAATGTGAGCACGGCTTCTGTCTGCAATTCAGATGCTTACATTTTAATTTTCTGAATTTAAAACGTCATACACATTTAACCGTTTCTAATACAAATATCAAAATTATTTGCTTGTAAATTGATGTATATAGTTTCTAACGGACAAACTACTGTGTGCTAAAATTTTATTAATATTTCAGGTGCTGACTGACGAAGTTTATTACAGTTTAAAATGATGCGCATAGAGCAAGTTTATTTCCATGAATATATATCATAATGTTTTGTCCGTATATTCTTAATAAGACTAAAGCAAATTTAAGATTAGATTCAACATGGCTAAAAAAAACAACTTGTTGTTTTTTGTACAGATACTCTTAAACATTAAATGGTATTCAGGATAGTATTAATGCATTAAAAGGTATGTAGAATGTTATGACAATAAAGCAATATTCTGTCGTCATTTTGTTTGTATTTCAGGCTATTCAATATAGAAAATGGATAAATAAAAAATTTCCCATTAAAATATATAAATTGATTAGTTAATCAAAAAGCGCACGTGATGCACTAACATATTATTATTGTTTGAAATTGAAGTCTTGAAAAACGATACATTATTTCACATAATCGGGTTCATAATACAAGGTCAATTTATTGTGTTAAAATTTACAGTTTTTTTTAAACATCTGTTGACCTTACAATAGTTATATCACCAATTTTAATTTTCCTTTGAATTGTATGCCTACTTATCAATTATCTGCTTATAATTGAGGGATATAAAGCGTTTGAGCGATATTTGGTAAGTGTTAAACTGTAGAACCTTTTAATCTAAATCAAATCATTTTTGTTTTTAGTGCTATGATACACTTTATATATGGGTAAGAACTGCCTCCGATTTATTTTTACCCTTATAGTAAAATCTTACATTTTTTGTAAAATTGTAACTATATCATGTCCAATCAAACAAATGTTTGCCTTTACAGGTCATGAAACGTTTTCTTATGAATTTGTCTCGTTATGTTTTAAATTTTTAGATAAAGCATAAAGTGTAATTAAAGTTATCATTATATTTAAGAAAAGGGTTTAAAACTGTTAAATGTCGATTTAAATCAATAAGAACGTTACCATGTAGTTGTTATACATGTATATGCAACAAAGGTTTGGTGTGTCAACAATTTTTCAATCTATTTTGTTGCTTATATCGCTCCAAGAATTATCCCTTTTCAATATATTTGCGACGGTGCCAATTTTTATTCATGATAAAAATATATTTTTTTGTTTTTCTTTTGAAGTCTCATGTCTAACATTTTCCAGAGATCGGTTATATTTGTGTGTTGTTTGAAGAGTAACGATGTAAACAAAGGAAAGTAAGTTTTTTAAGAAAGAAATGTTGTAATTAACTTACCAAGATCTGGTATGCGTATGTTAAGAGCTATTTTGGCTGCCAACGACTCACATTGGCACGGAAGTTCTCTAATGAAGCATTCAGTTCTCCTTAAAACATATTTGAGAATTGCAACATGACGTGTTAAAGTTTTAAAACAAAAGCTGGCTTCGCTTAAAATAAAAAAAGAAAACTTACCAAATGTAAATTGAAATGCTGTAACATACAATTAAATGTTAACAGTCAAGACAAGCTTATAATTTTACAGGTTCAAATGTAAAAAAATATTTGTGGGATAGAGCTGTTGCTTTTCCTACTTATATTATAATTTGCAATCAATTTGTAATGCTTATTTTATCAAAGTCTAAAAGTCAATACACAATTATATGATTCTAGTTGAGTTTTAATTTGTATTAGTAAATATAATTCTTTGTTTTTCATAACTGATCAACTAAACATACCTGTCAATTTCCAATTTCTTTAATATTTCAACACAGAAATTCACATCTAAATTAACTGGAGGAACTTCAGATTTTTCATGCAGTTTAAAAGTAATGATAATTCCACCCTTCTCGTTTTGCAGATCTTTTCGTTTTACAATTTTGATAACTTTAGCATGGCCAATCCATTCGGTTTCGTATTCATTCAATGAAGGTGTTCTCTTGCAGGTTGCTGATTCCTTTATATTTTGTGATGTTGCCTTCAAACATAACCATTCGTAGGATCGTTTTGATTTACTTGTGCTTATACCATCACAGTCTTCTGACAGTTCGATATTATTGGCTTCACATTTATCGAGATCAAGTGAAAACCTCCCTTTCCTGTCGTCAAGAAATTCAATTGTTACGTCATTTATGCAAAAAGATTGATCGTTACGAACAGCACCTGTTGCAGCTTCCATTAAGATAACTGGAATCCATCTTTCAAGATAGCTTTGAACATTCGGGTACTTATCGCATGTTTCTGTTTTGGAATAACGATACAGGTAGAGAACTGGATTCTCTGTATGCTGGACACAAAACGTTTGTTTTGCCCCCTGATTCGAAAGCTTCTCATCGTCCAAAACAGCTTGATCTTTAAAATTTTAAAGAATAAATCTACAAGTTTTTGATAGAATTAATGGAGATTTTAATCAGTATAATAGCGTAATAAGAACTAAAAGTTAGTTATTTGTTGTGGATATGAAAATGTTGGAAGTGTTTTGTTCTCTGAATTATTTTTTTACAGACTGTCTATAAAGCTTAAACATGAACACAAGTTTTGTATAGGCTCTAGCATCGACCGTTTTTATTATCTTTTTATTTTTTGTACCTCCTTTAGAATCGTATTTAAAGAGGATTTGGGTAGTTGAGAACTATGCCCAGTTCTGAATTTTGCTAAATATTTGATACCGGTATATTAAAAACTAAATAAAGTAGTATTTTTTCATAAGATACACAAACTTTACATTCCGTTTTAAAATTCATTGTAAAACTGTAAAAACTAGATTGATTTCAAGGTAAGACATTTATTTATTTACTTAACTTGATCGGCATTATAGTATTCTTATCGAAGCAATTGAAAAATAGTGTCAGGTTAATTGAGCATACCATGTTGAATAGTTATATCCTTGTCCTTTTTTAACGTATCACAATCTTCATTAGAATTTGTTTCCTACAATTACAAATATGAAATTGCTTTCTAAAATTCAAAATTAAATTCACATGTCAGGTGCCGCCATATAACCAGAATTATATCTCGATTGACACAAAACAAATATCTAAAATTCACGAATATAATGTGAAGTGAAAACAAAATAAACATGTTTAATTTTACAAGGTGATTTATCAATAATTCTTTTTATGGTTTTATTTTTACCTTAAAAGGTTAATTATCTCTTAACATTTTACATCTCACCTGGCATCTTTTTGACTTAAGTTATCTTATCATGATTATTAAAGGTTTCTGGAATACAAATCAACATAGATTAAACCAGATGTATAATTGATTATTTTACAGAAGCTAAGTAACATATGATTTCAGTCATATAAAAATGTACTTACAATTAAACTGACCTCACCATGATGAGCAGATTGAACGTTTGCAGCTATTTGTTTTTGTATATCTAACCTTAAAGCTTCCAGACGTTGCTTGTTGCCATGTTCCTTTACCGGAAAGATAATAGATGTTCAAAACTATTGCAAACGGTGCATTACCATAAAATCTAATTAAGATTACCTAAAATTAGTATAGCTTCAAAATTCAGACTAAATTAGTTAAGAATCACAATAACATGAATTACAATTTACAATTTCCTTCATATTACAGCATGTTTGGTGAGTATTATGGAATATTGGTAATTTGCAATTCACAGGGCAAACTAAATATATTTAAATCGTCACATGGGGTCAGTATTTACAATATATAATTTTAGTTAAGGGTCACTAAGCAATTCTACATGCACAATTTTAAGGCAATATGCATTGTTTTTCTCAACAAGAAGATTCCTTTATAAATAAATTTATAAATAGTCTGGTGAGTTAAAAAAACCTGTCCTGTAAAGATATTTTGCAATTAAACTAATGATCAAATCATTAAGGATCTTGATTTTCAGCGATCAGCACTATTTAGGTGCTTATAGTTTACATTTTTACCCCGAAAATTACACTGAACTTAATTTAAGCATGAATTTTAAGAATTGAATCAAATGCATTATCAATACTTACTTTACAGTAGTAAATAGCCAGGTCGCACTTCTCTAAAGCGATATCAAAATTGTTGGTGTCATGGAATGAGCGAGCCCAAATCTCAAATGCCTCAGAGTCATCATAGTTACATGCATGTTGGAGAACTATAGAGGATACAATTTATTAATAAATGATTTTGATATCTTTTTTTCTATTGATGATAATAGATTTATAGAATATTTTAACCGAAATCGAGTTAACTTTTAGTAGATTCTTTTAAATTAAAATTAGTGAATGTGAGCTTTCATATTAAGGAAAAATTTTCTGGACTAACACATTTTTGTATTGATTTTCTTATATATTAGCATTTGTAAAAGCAGCAGCTCAAATTAATCACAGTATTATTTTTTGTTTACAATGAATACATATTGAGATCAGCATTGAATTTTAACTCTTGTTTTACTTGAATGGCTCGACAGGTCCCATACAGCTGTCCATAGTTATATATACATAAAGACCGAATGTTGCTGGTTCATTATAAGTGATATGTCTTAACAACAACATTTTGTCCTGATTTATCTCTTTTACTTATGGTAAATGCAATAAAACTTTTGGAAAATTGCATATTTTTCAAATATCTTTATAGTGTTTATAGTGCACCTGAGCAAATAGTTTCAAGTGAACTATTAGGATCGGTCAATGTCAGCCGTTCGTCCCCAACAGTTAAGTTTTAAGAGCGTAAACAAAAAATCATAATACAGCATTTTAATACTAGAACTATAGCCTATGTTGTGTTCATTATTTCAGTTAACACTTAATTGTTTATATCTGCTTTTTCCGTAGCTGAAATGCTGTAATCTTTTCAGTGAAAAAGTTTAAATACAAACATATCTGCTATCTTTAATCTAATAAATACATTTGTTTGTGACTGTCATCATTTTAAATGTCAATTAAAAATTAACCAAACACATACAAATAGATTTATTCTCAATCTATAAATTTCAAAGAAGAAAAGAAAATGCCAAAATGAACAGTTTTACTACTTCAACAATACCAAATAATATTAATAAGTCATTAAAAATGTCACAGAACCACCTGAACCTTCATTGGTATAAACAAAGTCAGAACTCGCAGTTTAAACCCACCACCCACAACGGTATGGATGCAATTTTAATGAATATTCCGATAAATTTATCATTGTAACTACTACATACTTCTTATGATTGAATTGCTTTGTTAAAAGTAAATTATTTTCTTAAACAAATGATTTTATATATCCAAAATTAAAAATATGTAGTGATATATAGCATAATTATTCTACATTTTCGCCTGATAAGATAAATTTTTGATATACATGTAGTGCTTTTGAATAGTAAAGAAGACTTTTAAAGGAAGAAAACATTTAGTGTTACATAGTTTTATTACAAAGTATTTAAAGGATAGAAATATTAAAATATAACTAATGTAAACTTTGTTTGTTTGTTTGTTTCATTTTACGCCTTTTTCCAACAGTATTTCAGTCATAATGTAAACGTAAGCACTTTTAAAAGTCACGATAATTACTCAGAAATAATATAACTATGGATACATGATAGTGCTAAACGAAGAGTTTAAAAGGGTGCTAATGTAGATAAACAACCGCTTTTTAGAGAAAAAACTAGATTTAAGCAATAAACTGAGATAAAGATTGCCCTTAGATTGAACTCACGTACTTACTTGTACTGCAAAGTTTCCTTGCATCTTCATGCATTCCCTTAAATAAAGTTGATATTTTATGCTTATTCAAAAGGAGTGCCTAATAGGTAAATTATCTACGGAGATAGCTTAAAAAGAGCATCATAATATGTTTTAAGCATTTGAAAGGAAATAACTTAAAGGGTTAAACTCATTTTGATCCCAAGGGCATGATTATTAAATCTTTTGTTGAGAACCTCAAAAAAATTGTTGCATCCCAAATAGTTTTGACATAGTAGTTCCGGAGGAAAGATTTTTAAGATATGGCTATTTAGGTCTAGATAAAAAAAGTCACCCTAAATTTGGAGCCCATATTGACCAAAGGGACATTGTTGTTTGTCATTTGTAGAGCTTCATAAGGCAAAACGTTATAGAAAACATGAAGCTTAAACTTTGTAGTATCACACAAAAAAAGACTTCAGGACAGATCCAATATTGATTCCAGAGGCATGATTTTATAGCTTCTCTACTAGGCAGTAATAAGTTCTAAACATTAAGACTCTGCGCATTGTAGTTTCTGAGGAGAAAGTTCTGTTAAATAATGACAATCGACACATAGGTTTGCCATTGATTACTTAGTTCTAAGGTGACCTTAACACAAATATTTGCATTAATTTAGAGCAATTATTTTCAATCATTCAATAACATAACGTCCCTTAACTATAGAACACTTTTTTAAAACGCAGCACCACTTTGTATTTAAAAACCTAAAAAAAATTATTTACCATTCGCAGGAAGCATCGAGCAGAGCGCCATAAGGAAGCCCTACGTCCTGGTTGTTTAATCAGCTCATGTTCCACTATGCCACATTGCATCAGGTACGAGAATATTTGTTTGATATCACCATCTATAGTCACACAGACATTACATTTTCCACGGCTCTCAGCAAGTTTCGCAAGGTCATCTATCTTTGCAAGAAGCCATCTCAGTTCCTTCTATAAAGAAAGTGTATTGCTCATTAAGTCAAAGTTCCATTTGTACATACTGGTAGACGAATATATTGTCTTTCCTTAGCAATAATTAATTATTGTGGTCAAGGCATCCGGTATTTATCATTGTGAAGCTGTATTTTCACGGAATCATTCTCTTCACATAGATGTGATGCAGATGGCTCTGATTAACTATAGACCTATCAATTATTGAAGTAAATACTTAATTCTTTCGGGCGTGTAGCGACATAATAATTAATAAATATAAAAGAAAAGATAAAATCTACATAGAGTCTGTCTTTGTAGGGTAAAGTTTTAAAGTATTACAAAATGTGTTTAACCCTTATTGCAGAGGCGCAATTTTCTTTTCCTGCTATTATTATGACATGAAGCTTGCCGGATATACATGTAGGATCACATTGATAATTTCTAACAATAAGTGCAAAATATGCAATGTATGGATACATATTGTTTATAAACCAACCTCGTATTGCATTGAAAGATCACACTTTTTTCTAGAAAAAACCAAGGAATTCCAAAGAACGTCAAATACTTTTTTATGGTTGTGAATATTCCAAGTCGAGTCGAAAATAATCGCTACAATAAATAAAAATAATATGAAAAGATATACTATCGTTTGTTGTTATGAAAACAAGATTCTAAAGACAAATATTATTTTAATGAAAATTATTCTTATATAAATATTTTACATAAGGGATATAAATTTTCAAGAAACCTAATCAGTTAAAAATGACAACATGAAAAAGCATATGAAAATAACCCGTCTCAAATAACACAACTATATTTTAAGTGCTCATGGACAAAGATAAGATATTAAATGATCTATGAATTAATTGTAAACGTTCTTCAGCTGCTGCTATCATATTAGCAGAAAACTGTCAGGATGTGCATCAGTTGCGGACACACTGAAATGACATAAAAGATTAGATGACGGTAGTTAAAACTTGTTCAACTGGTCTTTAAACTTCATTGTTGTTACCGGATCACTCCATTACTTAGTTGATATCTTTTGTAGGACTACTGTTGAAGATTAGAAAGTCGTATAAATTCCTCGGCATTATCATTTCTGTACCTTATATATAATAGAAATTGACGATATAGATTTAGAAATGTTAAGAACTTTTTTGTTAAATAAAAGTAAAAATACCTGTATAAAAACACCTTGTTGCCTCGAAGTTTTCCCCAATCTGCAATACAGATAAAAGTTTAAACTTTGCATTTGTTGCTGCTTACAAGAAAACATGTTCACCTTTCAACAAATATTCAAATATTTGTCTTGAAACAAAATTAATTTCTAATGTCAACGTTAACACAATGGGGACCGCCATATTGTAGAGGCTGGCTAGCACGATATGAAAGGTATTATTGGACAAATGCGCTTCATCAGCTGATGAAGAAACCAATCGAACGACCGGAATTAGGCTTATGAATAATTCATAAGTACGAAATATCTTCAGTCAGTTTGTGCAGGGTATTGACCGATACATGGACATGTATACGGTAAATAGCCTGGGTTACCGAGGATGGAAATAAAGTAAATGCTCTGGTCTTTATATCTTCAAAAATATATTATCATTTATTATAATAAATAAGTTTCTGACGGGATATACAGAAGAGTAATGAGAAAAATATGACCGAGGCGGAAGTCGAGAGTTTTATTCATGTAAGGAAACCTATATTCTGCCGTTTATCCCATCTGTACTTGTATAACGAATTTGTAATCACCTAAATTGTTTTTGACGTCAAGTTCATAAGTAAACCTAACAACTACGGGAAAATTACAATCGTTATCGACGGCCACGCCACATATTTAACCGTAGTTTAAGTATACGAGTTTTCATAATGGTTTAAATTTGAGCTATTTTTTTTAAGTAGTGACAGTTTAATGAGGAAATATGTCATAAGAACCAAACCAGATAAAAAAACTTTTATGCATATACGTAGTTAACCATCTACGCTGTAGAAATCCATTAAGAGTGGTGCGTGCTTCGGTACTTCACGGTATAAACGGCACAGTATACAAAGCGTTTAAGTCATAAGAATTTAAAAAAATGTATTTGCATTAGAAAAAAAATGAATAAAGTCATTTTCTTGATGAAATGAAATATGTTTATTAGCATTTAATATAGAGTAATATTGCTATACAGGCACTTCTACCATACCTTGTGCATAACAAAAGAACATCCTCCATACCAATCCCCAAATTGTTGCTCGTCTATATTCGTCCGCACGCCTGTTAAAAACTTACATTTCTCGATGTTGATATCCGCAACAGCTTGAAATGCCGTCTGCTTTGCACGTGTAAAGTCGTTGACCTCGAGGGCATCTTGACTTTCTTGTATTAATCTTGATATGGTTTGAACTGCCATCTTACACAAACTGTAAATAATGAAATAAACACGAAGCTTGAAAAGTTATTTTAATGAATATATCGTATCAACTTGGTAGAATTTAAACATTATAGAAATTGAATAAACCATTATGAAAAGAAAATCGGCTCTTTTCAAATAATAATGTCGTATTGACACATAAATGAATATATTTTTTTTTGCAAATTTTATTTCTGCGGATGAATTACTGTAAGTGTGCATAGCAAAAACAATCTGTTTAAATTTGTTGATTTTAAAGGCAATATTTCTATTATTTAGTCATAAACTGAAAAAAATATATTATTTCATACATTTTAGTTTTATTGTCCTTCTTGTTCAAATTTACGGCTTATCCTGATAACAAACGTTACCCTTCAAAATACGACGATGTATGTTTATTAAATAATAAAGAAGAACCTGTATAAAGTATTAAGCCAATATAAATTATCGAAGCACTGGTTTTAGCTTACCAGGAATAATATAGAAAAAGCTAAAATAAACAAGAGCTGTCGGTAGGACAGCACGCTCGACTATTCTAAGTGCTTGATAGTAAAAGAGCCTTGATAACGTAAAATTTAGAGCTTTGATAATGTTAAATTTTCTAAGTTCACAAAAGGGCTCATTTTTTTATTATAAATTCATGTTATAGGCCTTAGAGACAGTCTAATTATACAGTATTGGCTTGACTATTCGGAAGGTAATGTCACAAGGGTGTTTTATTGAGTATAATAATACTAATTACCTATGAATACATAAAATTGACAGAAAAGGAACAAGGGCTTGTTATTAGGATGTTTTATCAAGTTAATCACTGCTTTATTATTATGAATGCATATAATTGTCCCAAAAAAGGGACAAACCCTTCAGTAATTATAGAGATAACAGCTTACAAGCAAAACTTTACCATGAATTTCTAAGTTGAAAAAGGGGAGAAAAATCAGCCTAAATGCAAGATAGAATTATGGATCTTTGTCAGTGACCTACAATTATGACCCTAAATGCATATGTGAAGTTTTAAATAAATATCTTTAATAGTTATTGAGATATGTAAAACTTGCATGTAAACATTAACCAAGAGACTAAGTAGAAAAGGGGATATGAATCAGCCTTAATGCAGGATAGAGTTATGGAACTTGGTCAGTGACATACAATTATGACCCTCAAATTATGACCCTAAGTACATGTGTAAAGTTTCAAGTAAATATCTTTGAAGACCTTTAACCTTTAACCAAAATTTTCTAAGTTTCAAATTTAAGGGGCAAATAGTTCTGCAAATATTGCAGGCAGAGTTATGCAATTTTGCAAACTGATGTACATTGTTACTATAAAAAAGTATTTTAAATTTCAATTGAATATCTCAAGCAATAATTGAGATATTTGACTTTACAAAAAAACTTTAACCAAAATTTCTAAGTTAAAAAGGGGCATAATTCTGTCAATATTGTAGGCAGAGTTATCCAACTTGTCAATCTGATGTACCTTGTTACTATAAATAAGTATTGTAAGTTTCAATTGAATATCTCAAGAAATAATTGAGATATTTGACTTTACAAAAAAACTTTAACCAAAATTTCTAAGTTAAAAAGGGGCATAATTCTGTCAATATTGTACGCAGAGTTATCCAACTTGTCAATCTGATGTACCTTGTTACTATAAATAAGTATTGTAAGTTTCAATTGAATACCTCAAGCAATAATTGAGATATTTGACTTTACAAAAAACTTTAACCAACGCAGATGCCGACGCGGACGCTGACGCCGACGCCGACGCCGGGGCGACTACAATAGCTCTCATATTCTTCAAATAGTCGAGCTAAAAACGGTTTAACAATTTTCAGTAGTTTCATTGTACTTACCTTAGAAGAAACCGAAACACTACGCAAATATTTTAAGTCATCCTCTGACTTAGGTCCTTTGATACATATATCTCTTAACGATTGCTCCCCAAATGTATTCGTTATCTTTTATTGCGCCACCTTCATCTTAAAAAATAAAATAAACGCGGCTGAATACGGTAAAACTGAAAAAGTTAAATACGTTATGATAAGCTCATGAACAGATGATCATGTGCATCATCTTACCGGCTTAAACAGGCTGCATCATCCATTTGCACTACCTTGCACAAATTCAAGCATATTTCAGCAGTAAAATGTAAAAATGTGACTGGTGTCCTTGTTAAAAAAACATTAAAACACTCAAAAGTACGTTGTTGGAAATTTTCAAAATTTATGTTGACTGTAAACATGTCTACTAAAACATACCAAACTAGATTAGATTCACAATTGACCTTTAGATACAACATGCTCTTCATTAAAAAAATAACTTTTGTTGACAATTTTGTCGACTCGTTCTGTATGTATATTTCTTATGTAACGCGATTTATACGGCTACGAAAGGAACCAGTTGACTTTATCAATTGCTTATTTGGACATGTTATGATTGTCGTCAGTGTTGGTCATCTTGTTTATTTTGAAGAAAGAAATGTCTAACAGTGTTATAATTTTACTTTATTAAAGGTTTATATTGAAAATATCAAAAGCTATTTTTTTACTTTTCAAAATTATTTTCGAAATCATAAAAAATTGACTGTTTTTTGTTTGTTTTGAATCTAAAATTTTTATTAGACCTCGTTGATATTTCGTTATACATGTAATTGCATACACGTGGAGAGAAGTACTATAAAAGAGACCAAAATTTATGTCACCCGACATACGTTTAGCGCTCTAAAACATTACATACACAAATATTGAACATCACAATGAAATTCTACATTTTTTTTTATAATAAAAGAATATTTCATGAAAAATATATAACATCATATCATCAACGAAAATTTTATGCTTTATGTTATGATCATTATTAAAATATACCGTATAATAATAAATTTCAGAGTTTAGTAATTACAGAATATAAATATAATTAGAAGAAAAGAAGATATATAATAATTGACAGCTGATTGAGAACAAAACAAGAGAAAACTACAACTACAACATAAATGTAAGGAATTTCTTTATTTATAAAACTGCCCGAGATCTAACAATTTGGATAACGATAAGTGTCTGTTTGTCTGTCCATTCTGTCAAATTCCATGTCTCCGTCCTCGCGTTGGGTTTTACAGAGAAGAAAGATAAATTGAAATATAGATTAATTAATTAACTAACTATGGTTGCTCTGTCAGAATGTCAGAGAATTTGAATGTTAAATCATTCAGAATATCATTTTTAATGATTTATACGAATATTCAAGTACATTTGGTACAAGTGATTATAGATAGTGAATTTTTTCCGAAACGTTAAAAAAACAAAATAATGGCTAATTACAAACAATTATACCACTGTTTGACAATATTTTACCATTGTATCATAGTTTGGAGACCTTTCTGTTGAAAATGTGTCAGGGTTAAATCGTATACATATACATGCACAGCGCGGTAACTGGAGTGCGGGTATTAGTTACCCGCACTCCAGAGCTTGCCCATTGATTGGATCATTTTTGCTGGGGTTTACATATTGTGACGGCAGAGAAAGGGAAAGCGACAGAAATGTCACATTCAGATGTTCGTTCATTGGTTCATTTTTGCCGGGGTTTCATATTGTGACAACAGGGAACGTGCTTTTATGTTTGACTATGATACAAAAGAGAAAGAACACCAAAACACTCGGCAATCTGATTAATACTCGGGGGCTACGCCCCCTCGTACAAATCAGATAGCCTCGTGTTTCGGTGCTCTTTCTATTACATGTAACGTTTTTGTGTGTGTTACACCGGTCTCTTGATTACTTATAACAAAACATTACACTTTCTCTACACACATATATAACATGAAATTATGAAGCGTGGTAAAACAGAATACTACGCAATAAAGAAAACTCTTTATGTTGTAACATGATATACATGTTTTTACATGTGAATGTTTCATTTGATACGCCATTGTTATCTTTATTTCAAGTTTAAACATAATCTATAATTACTTGCCATTCGGTTTAGGATAAAAATTATGTTTTTTTCTTCATTTCAAGTCTATCCCTAGCATCATAGTGATCAGAAATAACTTTATTACAAGTTAACATGTTAACACTGATTCGAGTTGAATAGTAACGACAAAATCGAAAGTAGGTGTAAATGAATATGTTGCAAGATGCCAAATTAGATATTCTAACCTTCAAATCGTGAATTCAATCTTTCTGTAAGTTCTTTTAATTATATATCAATGTTACACTGGAACAGCAATCGAAACAACTCGGCAATCTCCGTCAAGTTCGGTGACTTCTTGAAGTCGCCCGAGGTTTTCCGATTGCCGAAACAGGTCATATTGTATGAACGACTCATGGTTGGTATCGTTGTCATCATTTAAGAGCGAGCTTCTTTAAACTAGTTAAACCATACAACTGAAATTATAGCCGTATATGAAGACTTTGTATCTATATCGAAAAAAAAAAAAATGGAAGTTTACAAAGGTTTACCGCTGATTCTTGTTGCTGGGGCGTGTCGGGTTGCGTTTATTGAACGCCACCCTACCATGCTGTTCTTGTTTATTTTCAACTTACGTCAAAATTTAGGCGTATTCTTTTCATTTAATTCTCGCATTTCAAGACTCGAGGCATTTGCAGGGTATCAAACTTGAGTTTGATTTTAGCGTAGGAATTTGGATTAATCAACATACCGGTAAAATTCGGTTATAACTAACTTAACGAGACCATTGTTTTTTGTATATGATTATTCGAGGATTTCGTAACTAATATAAGATATTACATGTCTGTTTATGTTTTTATACCCTCGCCACTGAAAAAATACCACATAGGTGAGCATACACTTAATTTTTTTATTTAAAGACGTTTTCGAAAGTTTTCATACTCAACTCAACTCAAATATTTTATTTAAGTCTCATCTTTGTGCATTTTTACATATATTTTAGAAATAAAACACAACATTTTTACACAACACAAAGCCACTCCTACATAAGGAGTTATAAGAGACTGTAAAACTATTAAAATAATCTCTAGAATATCTACTTTTTAAGAATAAAAAGTCAGTATTTAGACACAATCTAACATGAATTATATGATCAAAGAGGTCAAGTTTGTGCCTATCTGTCTATTTAATATAGTACTATGACAATAATTGTTGTTTGAGCTAACCCTGTGTATTAATACTTTTTAATTCATAAAATCGTTTAGCTAATACCCTTAAAAGTTAAAAATAAAATTCATGATAATAAATTTCCTTTATTACAATACTTTGAAGGAGTCTGTACACCTGAAAATTCCAGGCTGCTTTTTAAATTGGCAAGATCAATATTATACCACATAGGCATTAAATCCATACAATTTCATTCCTGTTTTCTATATCAATAGCAATATTCCTATTTTAACCTATTAATAAAAAAAATTTCTTGATAAAAGAACTTTAAATGCACCATACTCATACTTGTTGTACTTATATACATGTATTTACAACAATTGTATTGTTAAAACATGTAAAAACCATATAAAATTAAGTAAAAAAAGTAAAAATTCAACTAATGACTAGATTAGTTAAATTAAAAAAAAACAACAAAAAAACAAAAAAACAAAAAAAATCATATAGACATATAAACAAATTAAAACAGTTTAAAAGAATTTCTTTTAAGTCGGTACGTTGTTAAAAAAATTTAATGATAATAGAAACAATTTAAGCGAAACAATTATCTACCTTGATTTAAGCAATAAAGTTCAATTCAGGAGCAGATAACTCAATAACGAGGACAACACCCAAATTTGTTTTCGCATTTTTTTCATCATATTCTAACAATTTGCCAAGTTTTAGAAATTCTCTAGAACAGTTTTAATTTTGCCTATATATCTATATGAAAACTCCCGAAAAATTCTTTAAAATATTACAAGGGAATTTTTTATTTTCTTAAATAATTATTATTTTAATCATATCTATATCAGTGTGTGTGTGATATATCCCATACCAGAAACGTATCTTTTTACCAACAATGATATGTGAGCAATATCAGATAGATTCCATACTAAAGTCTATTTACTATAATTGTAAAACAGATGCTTATTAACAACATAAATGAAACAACAGCCACCCTTCAGTTTTTTGGCATTTTGTTACATGAGTTAGCAGATGAAATGTATTGATACTAAAAATAGGTAATCACTATAATTATATTCAAATAATTTCACTATTTACGTGGGTAACTCCGCCTACAATGTCAAATATATTTTGTCAAACTTATGGTCTGAATTTAAATCGTGTCCACTTATCATCATGATTAAGTTACCTTTTTGTCAACAATATTGGAGATGATTGTTGTATGTTTTGTTTTAGTGACAAGTATATTATCGAGAATATTGATGTCCAATAAAATATACTATTGTATATTTTTAACTAGAGAGAGACAACAAGAGTACGTCTTAATATTGCAAGATTTAATACACAAGTGATGTTACATGTAGCATGCTGTAAAGGCAGAGCTTATCAGTAACTAAAGTCTGTTTAAAGATTTATCAACATAGAATAACGATGAACTAGATATTTTCAACAATTTCACCTACAATAAAATCAAAATGATAAAGCTAAATGACAAAATACCAAAGTGCTTCGACTGTAAATCATACATGGTTATACAGGTACAAATCATCAGGCTACAACATCACCAAGGTAATTTAGTTACCACCATTTCAGGTGGTGGAAAAGCAATTATATTCAACTATACAATATATCCCCTAGAAAGCACCCGAACTTCTTCAGAGTGCATGTATCGAGTTTTCGTGAGAAATAACCAAGAACGAATGGTCTACGACTGAGATGTTTCAAAATTACATAACAAAATATTTTGCAACTGAAGACAATTTGTCATAAGATTCAACAACACTGCTACTTTATGATGTTTATGATGAGCACAAAACCAACATCAAGCTCACTTGTACTCAGTGGGCCAAAAGAAACAATAAAGTATTGCTTGTCAAGCCTTTCAATAAAAGCCATTTACCACTACCATTATAGTTTGCTTTTTTTGCCATTCAATGGTATGTACAGTATGCAAATGCAACAAAACCAAGAACTAAACATTTACATATATGTTGTGGCAGAGTTGATCTCTTAACCAGACTTCAAAGCCGTGTCTATTAAAGATCTTCAAGCTGCCTTCAGGAAAACTGTTTTTTCTTCTTCTAAACAAATCAGCAACTATTTATGTTTCCCAAGTTATCATAATAAAACAAAACCAACAACCAAGTTTCAGAACCATCATATCAGTCACCAAAGCTACAAGTTGAACTAAGAGTACACAGTGTCACGCCATCGATATTTTCTAAAAGTACTGTAACTTATGCTGTATAAAATAACCTATAATAAATGAAGTTCGTCCCACCAATCCTGAATGTAAATTAAAAAAGTTTATTTAAGTGTTAGAAAATGAATAAATGGAAATTTTTTTTACAAAAAATCTATGATAAAATGCCAAGTACAGCTGGTATAAAGGAATCTGCGGGGGATGTTGGGGCAGAGGGTGGGGTATTCTTTTGTCAGAAGATGGTGATAATAGTTTGTAATCTAACGATGACAGTCAATAGCTATGTCTGAAATTGGTGTGTCACTGTTGTATTTTTAGCATAGTAAAAATATGATTTCCTCACTGGACATACACGATATTGTTCTAAGATTAGACTGTTAAGAAAAGACAGAATCCTTTGATGCCATCATAATAGGAAATTCAAATAATGATACAGCACCCACTTTTTTAATGTAAAAATGGTTAAACAGATAAATATATCAAGTGTTATTTTTTTAAAACTTTATGATTAAAATCATTAGTTTGAATGAATTAAATGTCACTCTGTTTTGAATTTTGTGCCTATAGGACTCCATGCACAATATCTTACTGTTCTAAATAATTTTCTAATTATTTTAAAAGACATGTGTGATGCAAAAGTTAATCATAGTGTTATAAAATATTAAAATAACCCTTTTTAAATTGATAATTTGAAAAGACGCCTCTCATGTCGGCTATGTGGACAACGCCTTGTTTGTTCTCGAAATCATCAAAATAACCTACTCAGTATTGATTGAGAGAACCGCAAATACATGTCAGATATTTTTTCTTGCATATTCTACCATATTCCATTTTATTTAAACTCTTTACCTTAATAAGAACAGTTATTCCATGAAAATAATATCATTATACACGTAATATTTTCTAACAACATCTATGAAATTACAACTTCATTCATTACGGTAAAATTACGCCATCCTAAGCGTGCAATTGTACAGCACGCGACTCATCTGCCCCTTTGACCTCTCCTCACACCAGATCAAATTTCCGGCATGGGTAAAACTAACGGAAACGCCAGTCTGAATAAAAATATCAATCATATCAATACATAACACCAATCTTAAGTTTCGTATAACAAAACATATAACCCTGTTTTTTAAATAATTTTCAAATAATTCAAAATATGTCCTCTTATAGGCAGACTTTTCCAAGACAGTGTGTCAACAGTACATTTTCTCCATACATTTATATCTTGCAGACCAAAAAAAAACCCGTTTAATTATTAAGAAGACGAATGAAATTATTATGCTAAAATCGATCTTTAAAGCTCATTATATGATGTGTCCTTCTATAACAAAATAATAATTAGAAATTAAAGTGTAATTAAACATTGATTGAAGTGTCACAAAAAATGTGAAACACTGATTGATATTAACAATAGAGGCTTGCTTGTTCTACTAGTTTATAACATGACCAAGCTGCACATTAAGGAAGTAACATTATGCTAATGGTGTTAATTTACATCCTTTCCTTACATAGTATATGCCAATATAAACATATTCAGTGTCGATTGTTACTGCAGTATTAGATACACACAAAATATGTCAATTAATTACATACACTATTTAGAATTGTATACAGGATCACATTCAGACTTATCTACATATTTCCTTAGCACACAAATGATTAAGACAAAATGTTGAATTTGTGTGCCACACACTGTAATAGTTTAAGCCGTCAAGTTAAGAATTTATATCATTAGGGCAATAGATAACATATAAATTTTGTATGTTATTTATTTATTTTTTTATCAATTTTGCAATTATAATACATTATACCTTAATAATATCTGTCATATTTTGCGGTTCGGATCGGAATATCCGTCCCGAGGTGACCCGCCCATGGGCGGGCGACTGAGGGACGGATATTCCGATCCGAACCGCAAACATATGTCAGATATTTTTCTTGCATATTCTACCATTATACCATTATATTTTAAATTCTTTATCTTTATTTTCAATGAAAATTTATATCATTACAACCGTTACTACTTTCATTCAACAGCGTATGAATTACAAAATCATTCATAACGGTAAAATGACGTCATCTCTATCGTGCCATTGTACAGCACGCGATTCATCTGGAACCCCCCATGCCAGATGAAATTTCCGGCATGGGTAAAACTAACGGAAACGACAGTCTGATATGTAAGAATAATACATCAATGCTGTTCATGACATCGTTGAAAAAGAAAATAAAGAAAAACAAATGCATAAGATATGCACATTATTAAATGAAAAATGTATAACAACATGAATGAAGTAAACGGTATAAAATGTTTCTCTGAAAAACAAAACTAATCAAAGACATACAAAATAATATATACATTTATACATATATATATTTATACATGAATTAAACAAACATACCATCATGATACTTGTTGACTCATCAGCCAGTTGTAGTATTTTATTGGCAATAATTGAGGTATCAATGGCGGTGATATTATTCATTTTATCTAAAAGATATGAATGATCGCTTGTTTCAATAATAATAATAATAATGATAAAATAAAACAATTCTAGTAGAAAAGTTGCTCCATCCGACCTTATTTCCGTTACTTTAAAAACGGCTAGGAAATTTAAAGCATGGATTTTTGAAAGGCTGCGTTACGAACGCTGGTATGTTTACTTATTCTTCGGGCTAATGGCTGTCATTGCCTTTCAAGTTTTCATATTGCATTAAGCAGTTATTGCTCGTAGTATATTTAATCATGCCCAAAGGTTATCAAGAGCATCTGGAAGGAATTGTATTTTTCAGACTGTAAAAAAACCCAAAGAATTTGAATGAATTCAAGTAAGTTTTCTTCTTTTTATTACTTTTGAAACTTAAATTATTTATTGATTTCAGCGTTGCTTTTCTCTAAACAGCCCTGATAATGTCAGAATTGTCAGCAAAAATAAATTTAGGTACCACATGGGCAAATCTTAAAAAAGGAGTTTCGTCATTGAAAAGTGTGAAATTATACTTTTATAATTTTCACCGTGAAATTATCAAATATACTTTTCAAGGATTAATCAGTAATTCACTGATAAACATAAAATAAATACATTATAACATAATTTCTTGCCTTGTGCCAGTACAGGTACTAATCGTTTTAAATCATTACAATGTTGTTTTACAATACTTACTATGTTTTAATTTTGTGTAGTGCATATTGCGCCATATCATAAAATGTTAAAGTGTATAGTGCTATAGGCAATGTATTAACATGCTTTATGCAATAAACTTTGAATTGAATTGAATAGAAAATTGTATATTGAACCGTAGGCAATATTTCTGAATTGATATCTCAATGATTATAAAACATCTTTGATAATGTAGTTTGGAGTTTAAAATTATATAATAAAATTCTCTAGGTGGCAGCTTTGTAGAGCAAAAAAAAATACATTATCAACTTAAAATAGTTTATATAAAGAGTACCAGCAGACTTATAAGCACACAATAATAATTCATTTACAAAGTTGTTACACAACATTAATCAACACATACAATACTTAAATCTAGCTCTCTCAATTAGACTAGGTCTATGTCTAGTAACAGTCATAGATAATATTACTTTAATAGAATGTCCATTGTACATGCACTTGTGCAAAAAACTTAATACATAACTTGCTATAAGATTAATTAATATGTGTAAAAATACAGAAAATTGCTAGTCTATTTAATTTTACAGAGCTACCACAAATTACAAATTTACTACAAATTTTGCAATACTTCGGCGCGTATTATAATATTTAGGAATATACTGTATTCTTAATAATGTATATACAGGACATATCATAACAAAATATCAATATCATTTGTAACTCATAAGTTTTCATTTCCTTTCAGCGCTTTCAACATGGTTATGCCTTCCAGTCTCTATAACTAATTGGCGTGATGATAAAAGTAATTTAGCAATAATATTTCTATGTTTTACGCAACGTAACATTTCCAAACAAGGTGATAATTGAAAAACAGTTTTTACTTCTTTATACAGGGATAGTGATGATCTATTATCAACATCTTGTCTCCTTTCAATTGTAAATATATCTAAAAGCCGTAATCTTAAAATTGGGATAAAAACTTTTAACATCTACCGATTCTTGGAATAACCAGACATCATTAAAAACAGCACTTTGTAGTATAGAACAAACATTCGATGCCCAATTTTTAACATCACTATTTCTTTTCAAATCTTTTCTTAGGTCATCTAAAACAGTGTACAAAATACAATTATTGCGTTTCTCATCATTAGTCGCCGGTAGAAACCGGCGACTATATTTGTAACAGTTTAATATTATATCTATGGTAGGAGAAGGTCTTAAAATCTGAATATAAAAGCAAATGAATTTTTAAGGACCACATTTATTTTTTTATCATCTTAACAATTCAAACATAAAATTACGTTGCTCAATGTTATGAAATATACAAATATTGACATCTTCAAAAGCAACATTACAATTTTTATAAAATGAATAATAACGTATCCCTATGGACCAGTCATTGAATTAAGGGATACTTTTACTTTTTTTCTAAGTGTCAAGCGTTGCTATTTTATGATTGATAAATCATGAATGATATTTGAAATGACACATTTAAATTATTTGGTTGTTTATATCTTATGAGACCTATTATATAATTTATTATTTAATCTAATTATAAACCGATTCTCCCTGTTCTATTGTAAGAATCACGTGACTACACGTTATATGTTAGTGTTATAGAATCTATTAATAGTAACAGATTGCTGATAAGACATACGAGTAACTTGTGAATAGTTGGAAAACGGTATGGCGGCTATTAGATGCAAATGTATAAATAATTACAAAGTTATCTTTCATTAATCAGTTTCATATTTAATATCATTAGAAAGGTCTGTATACTCATAATTTGCACATTAAAGAATTAAATAAATTTTCAAAACCTTTTCATTTTTTCTTGGTAAAGGGTTAAACTTGGCCCTTTCTGTCAACGTTCAATAGTTTAGTTTAGGTTGAACAATACAAAATAGATTTATGCTAAATAGGTACATTTATTGAAATGAATAGTGGTAATCGTCGTCTTCGTTATATTCCGTTGATTTCCGTCGCGCAGGTTACCAAAACGGTATGGATACATAATAGAGAAAACTAATAAAATATCTTTTTGTTAATATTTTATCGAACTGAAAGGCAATTAAACGTTTACTATATCGTATGTAACGACAGGAATATTGATTTCAACTAAATAATTTATTTTTTCGATAGCGCAATTTTTTTTTAATTTCAGATACCACTTTTACGGTAGAATTGCATTGTTTCATGCAAAAATTAAAACATATATATTTTCAAATATTCGATGACCTTTGATTATTTGGCGGTAATTATCGGATTCTGAAGTATACAAAACGGATTTCGATGTCTGGTATAACGGTATATGTACAAGGAAGAATTACAAATAGAATTACAAGAATATCACTCGCCTTACAAAATTAATCAAAATTATGAAATAAAAAAAAATGCTAGAAATGAAATACGATTTATCAACTTATGTTTCATATACATGTAGTTAAAAGAAATAATAAAAAAAAGTAGTTTTATGCAAACTGCAAAAGGGATTTTCGAAGATTCGAACTTGGCCTACTAGGTCACAACTTCGTCCTACTTACCACCTGTGGGCCATCGAACAATATTAATTGATTTAATATCGAGATCTATACTATCAATAAAATCTTTAGCATAAATCATAATAAGTTACGTAAACTAACGAAATACTTGCTTATTTAATAATCATAGCAGTTTCTTGACAATATTGCTAAGCAAGTTTGCTTCATATATGATGTTTTATTGTGAATAAACAGTTACTCAACATATTATTCCTCTTTTCTTTATACCTGAACTATAAATTAAACTGAACATGTAGTTAAAAGAAATAATAAAAAAAATAGTTTTATGCAAACTGCAAAAGGGATTTTCAAAGATTCGAACTTGGCCTACTAGGTCACAACTTCGTCCTACTTACCACCTGTGGGCCATCGAGCAATATTAATTGATTTAATATCGAGATCTATACTATCAATAAAATCTTTAGCATAAATCATAATAAGTTACGTAAACTAACGAAATACTTGCTTATTTAATAATCATAGCAGTTTCTTGACAATATTGCTAAGCAAGTTTGCTTCATATATGATGTTTTATTGTGAATAAACAGTTACTCAACATATTGTTCCTCTTTTCTTTATACCTGAACTATTAATTAAACTGATATTTTTTTATTTCTTATACAGTCATTTTCGATCCGGCGACTTGATGCTTTAGCATCAAAATCTCTACTTGTAAATTCTGAGAAATATTTTACAATTCTTATATGTCTACAGTAACTATATACAGAGGGTACCGTCCTAATTTAATGAATGGTATATATAAACATGTAAACTACACGAATTGGAAGTGGTTTGAAGTAATGAAATAATGAGAACACAAGATTAACTTAACGATAAAAGTGTAAATGCGCTTGGTAATTTGTTCAAAATATATAAAGCTAAATGTTTATTTGGGATATTTACAAAAAAACCCCCAAAAACATGTTATAACAAGGTGTATTTGGTTCAAATATTTTTTAAATGTTGCGAATTCTAAAATAATTTTGTTCAACACAATAAAGTAATGAAAACAATGCTATCATTTTGACCACTAAATTAAATGGCAAATTGTTTATATGTAATTATATTTCTTTTTGAAATACATGTATTATCATTTCATACCTTGTAATGAACATGGGAAAATGTCAACAGAAAGCAACAATATTCAATCAAATCAAATAAAATATGTACAAATGTATATTCAAACAATCAATAAGTGAACAAAAGGTGAATGTTAAGATCTACTTGTGAAATTTAACTCGATTATAGCATTACAAAAAGGTATTGTTACAAATTCACTTTGTTTCATGGTAACGCGGATTTTAGCATATTTTGGTGGTATCTCGGCTGTCAGTCCACATATAAATAGCCAGCATGTAATTAGTAATTACCAATTACTCAGTTCTAAGAATAAGGAAATATTTACAATGTGTTACATTTTACTGTAATAATAAATAAAAATGAAAAGAGGTTACCCATACAGACATTTATACGCTAAAATAGACAAATGTTATAATAATTTCACCATATATAGCCGACGATTATTTCAATATTATCTAATATTCCGGTTAATTCTGTAAGTTAAGCACTTGTATCCAGAAAGTCTTGATTTCAATTATTAAGGCTGCAAATCTCTGAAACAATTAGTATTTTGAAATAATGAAATATTTACATTCTACTTGAAAAGTAGCTTAAATCCCGAGTTCATATATCACAAAGGTTCCCGGTGTAACTGAAATATTGTTGTGAAATATAGGGTAATTGTCTGATAAAAATTACATATTTAGGAGCTTTTTCTTTTTGTTTATTTCATTTCTCTTTTTCTTTCATATAACATTTTCAGCTAAATGAAAATTCGTATCTTAACTGTTGTTATTCTTCATGAAATCAGTAACATGTTTAAATCCAACTTTATTCATGATTGCCTTTCTTTAACTGAGACTTTACTTCAGTGAAAACTGGCGATTCTGTCCTACAGATGAAATAAAGCAATCGTTGTTACCAATATCCAAGAAAGGATATAGGATAGGTTGTGAGTTGACCCACTGGTCCCTGTAAATATTTGGTAGTTTCATTTAAAACATAAAGCGAAAAAATGAACATGAATATCCTATATAAAAATTAATAATGTACATTTAAATAGAAATTTATTGAAAGTAGAAAACAATTTGTTAGAAACGAGTGTTACTTAACTTAAAACATTTTTGAAAGATTCCAGATTGTTATTGATTTTAAAGTTCAACGCTAAAACCAATTCTAGTATTAATGATCAAACATTTACAAAATCAATAAATTTATTTCGATTTCAACAGGAGAAAAAAACAACGTACCTTCATGTTTACTCTTGCAATAGGGCTCTGTATAGCCTGTCACGCAACCAGTGTTACACTTTCCGGTTTCGGCATTGCATGTTTCATTCTTACTGCACATTCCACATCTGTATGAACAATCTTGCCCATAGTACCCTGTAGCACATTCTGAAACAAAGAAAATGTCACCATAAGATCATCTAGGCCGAGGAAGTAAAACCCTCAAGAATTAGAACAGTACCAAAGAGATGATTAAAAAACTTTAACAAAAAGTACATGTAAAATTCTTCTAAAAATATAACTTAGACATACAAAAACAGACAACTATCGCATTGCAACTGTGACTAAGAAGCTTTAAAACAGACAACAATGGCAACGCATCTAAGTATGTTAAATTACAATAATTAGTTCCTAAATTTCAAAGATAAATATGTAAGATAGAAACAACAAATGACACACCAATAAACTAATAAGCATTTTAGACAAAATATTTTCAAAAAAGACATTTAATAAACAATATAGAGAACATAATTACTGAATCAGTTTCTGGCAAAGTGTACTTAATGCATAAGATGAAAAATTCTTACTTATGTTACAGAAACATCCGCTGTATCCTTCCAAACATCCACTTGTACAAATTCCTTTCTCATGATCACACGCGTTTTTGTCCTTACAGAAACCACAACTCATAGCGCAATGTTGACCATAAAATCCTTTCGGACATCCTACGAAGCAGCAAAAAAGTACGTGATTATGGTACTGTATGTTTGATAACAGATAATATTAAATTTAGAAAAACTCATGAAATGAGAATATAGTTAAATACTAATGAAAATAATGTTACACAAGAACCAATAATTGCTACCTTTTTCTCCTTTTATTTAAGATCCAAATGAAAACAACGTTTTTAATTTTCTAGGATAGTTACGTATAAACATAGAACTATCCCACGGAACAAAAATATATTTCTGAACAGCATATTTGTTGATGAATAACTGAAAATCTCTTTTGTTAAGAAACTTTTATACTTTAACTAGATAATCTTACTCAAATTGCAAGTTTTTTCCCTCCAACCAACATCACAAACTGGCATAGAACATATCCCAGTATCTCTGTCACAAGGTTCTTCGTCAGCACAGTGACATAGCTCATTGCATTCGTCACCGTATCTACCAACTGGACATTCTGAAAATTGTGTCATTGCAAGTATCGTAACAGATTTCAATGAATGACACTTCAAATTTGAGTATGATTATTGTGTAGAACATATTTTGGTAATAAGTCCTCAAACACTAAAAAGAGAGATTTAGCTGAGGTATTTCCTTTTACTATAAATCAAATATCAAGAAATTTGTTGAATATAGAAACAGTTTTTATTATGGTATCATTTAGGTTAAGATCAGAGCTGGTTGTTTAATCATTTTTGAAGAAGATGTTTATATATGTCATATTTATATACCGCCTG